ATAAGACCTGTTTCGCTCCTGTTCCTTTGCCCTCCCCTGTATCTAGCAAGCTGCCAACCCCTTTCCATCCTTTGTGCCATCTCCTTCCTTCCTTTTCTGAAATCTGCAGCATTAGAAAATGCATTTTCAGTTTTTTCCGTGGGGCCCCCTGCTGAGTTCTGCGTCCATCGTCCCCCCTGACTAGGTGTCCTTCACTGTCCCAGATTTAGCCCACAAGTTCAGCCTCCCTCACTTTCCAGGCAGACCCACAGCTCAAATCCTATTTCCTCCGTCAGCCCTCTTCACCTGAGCTGGAAGTGCTCCTCGCTCTCTCTGGTCCCTGTGACCTGCCATCCATATGGCACTGGCTATCTCCGCCTCACATGGTTTCCAAATACCGTTTCAAAATTCCATTTTTAACTCTTTGTCTTTTCAAGTACATAGGTGTCTTTTTAATCTCCTGTGGTTCTGAGCGAGTCCCCGCACACATGTTGAGGTACAGGAATAGCACCCATATTATAGCCTTTGTGTATAGCATAAGTTTGTGGGGGGTTTGTATTTATATATTAAGTCTTTGATGTTTGGAAGGGATATGTGTGGGTGGGTTACAATATCATTAAATCTTTTTAATTGTATTGTTTTGTTCTCACACCAACTCAGTGGTATCTAATTTTAAATCCTATATTTTAAGTTTAACCTTGAAGGGAATATATATGATGTAGACTCTTTTACAGGCCTACAGTTCTTCACAGAACTAGAGTTCTTGAAGTGATTAATCTTTAAAAATCTCCTAGTAGGAAAACAGTCTCTTTTCACCTTGATTACTAAGAGCCTCCACTAGGCCTAAAAATAAAACAGAAATTGTTTAAAGTGATTCATTTGATATTGTCATCTGTTTTTTTGCGAAATATTATTCTGGCATTTACTTAGTGTTTTGTGCTAGACAATGTATGTCATCATCTTCATTTTCATAGCACGTATCAGAGTGCATATTGCATTTATTTTATCAGTAAACTTTGGGTCTTCATTTAGTAAAGAAACATTTTTACATGTTTACGCCTAAGAATTAACCTGGGAGGTAGGTAGGTAGGTAGGTTTTGGGGTTTCCTGTTTACTGAGGAAGGCCCAAAAGGCCTTGTTGAGCAGGTTGCCCCAGTGTTACCTGCACATGATTCTCACACACAACCTGGCACTTCGTTGTGGTCACAATTTCTCTCTTTTCAAGCATGCCCAAGTTCCGTTTTCCCACTGGTTAGTCATCCCGCTTGAGACTTCCTGTTTCTCCTCCTAGCAAGTGCATTGTGAGTAGGCTTTGACTGCCAGTGCCTTTGTGGTGTGGGTATTAGGGTGACATGCACCTGAGGGTGTGACCCTGTACCTCTAAATCATATACAGCACCGTAAAACAGTGCTGCCTCTATTAAAAAAAAATGGGTGCTGAATTCTCATACTACAGAAGAGTAGTGAAGTCTCTTCTCTTTCATGTGCTTGAATTTCATTTAAAGGAAAAATTCTTTCAGACTTGCCAGTTGCGTGAGGCTTCTGTGGTATGTTTAGCCCACTCTTCCTTTGGAAAAGAGAAAGTTGGGTTGAAGTTGAACATAGAAGTGAATTGGGGATAAAGTGAGGGGTTTGTGGGAAGAACTCAGAAGCTAAGATGAGGAGGAATTAAAGGGATGCTTTAAGGGAAAAAGGTATTAAATAAGTTTATTTTCTTCAACTGTCTAAAACTCTACTTTTATTTAATTTGCAACACCACCAGGACTTCAGAGCAGCTCATGTAAGCTGTTTGGTTTTGCCAGCAGAATTTGATAGATTATCAAGTTCTTGATAGCTTTATATTTGATGTAGCAACAGGTTAGATAAGTTACAGTACATCAGTATCCTCTGCTAATTAATTATAAGTGAAGTGAACCAGGTACATCTTGAACAGTAGGTAAAAGGATCTGGAAGGAGGAAAGAGCAGCTAGAAAATAGCCTCTTACAACATGAAGGACTATGTCCGGGTACCTGCAGCTGAACTGGAAAAGGCTTATGAGTTGACATCCCCACGGGAGCCCAGCACATTCCTCTGCCTGCGTAGGTCCAATGATTTCATTGTGCTTGCTTTTGTGATGTTTGTAAGTGCAACATTCTCTTGTTTTAAGTTGTCCATAGCGTTGTTTCTTTTATAATTTCTGTTGCCACAGTTATTTTAACTCTATGTTATCTTCAGTGTCCTCCTTTTATCAAATCTTGAGTAAACTGTAATTTCTAAACCCAGTTTCAGGTGTCTGTACAGATGGTAGCTTTTCATTTATAGTAAGTGGTCAGGGTCTTTTGTCTTGTTTCTTCTCAGGCCTTCTGGAGAGACTTTCCGTGGCCACCTATTTCCCTGCATGGCAGCGCATTCCTTACTTGTTAGTCAGACTCATACCTGCAGTCATGTTCACTGGCCATGGTTTGTGTTTAAAGTATCTTGGAAGTTGGCTGGTGTGGACATTAGTGTGGCAATGACCCTGTGCAGTCATCAGGTCGGGGCTGGAATCTCAGTTCCTCTTTTTACAGGGTGTGTGATGTTAGACAAATGTGTCTCCTCAAGCTTCAACCCCTCCATGACTCAGTGAATAGGCGGTGAAGTGTAGTGAGTGCACGTCCTGTTCAGAAACTGGCAGCTCCCCACATGCTGCTGCTGCTCTTCCCTGTAGCTCTGGGCAGCACGACATCCACAGATGTCACCCTCCTGCGGCTTGCAGACCATCAGTTTGCAGGAAGGTTTTCACAGTGTGGGGAAGACTGTCTCAGCGCTTCTCACTGCCTCCTGCTTGCCCATAGTAATAACTTCTTGAAGCGGCATTGCTAATAACAGCTGCCGCTTTCTTCAGTGCTTACTGTATGTTACGGCCTCAATAAGAACTTTATACAAGTTGTATTTCATTTTCCCAATGAGTGTGATGAGGGAATTATTCCATCTATGTAGCTGGGGGGCGGAGGGGAGAACATAGGTGAAGTGAGAGAAAATAACCTGCCCACCCAGCTAGACGGTCAGTCTCTGAGTTCACCCAGGGCTGCGAGGCTCAGAGCCTTCCCCCCTTGACCCCAAGCTGCCGTTTTACTCTCATGTCCCGAGTAGACCTAAGTTACCTGCCTGCACTTAGGGACTAGGTGATGTGTATATTCCAGTGTCACATTTTTTTGAAGCCTCTTTAAACTAAAAGCCTCTTTAAACTAATATCAGAAAATGTCTATGAAAGTGAAACAGTAACTTTTTAGGAAACCCCTCTTACTTATTGAAAATAGCACAGTTTACCATTCCGGCTGGAAACGTGAAGCTTTGAGACTTGTTTTTCAGCCTCATTGCCAGTCTCTCTGCCATGATAGTGATACGCAATGCACTAGATTTGGCCTTGCGTTAGTGCTAGCAGAGGATTCACTGTGATCTTACCAGGGACGCCCTCCTTTCATTGTTGTCACACCCGGCTCTCTCAGGGACCTGTGCAAAGTCAAACTCTCGGTGCATTTTAATTTATTTCAGTGTTTAGCTAAAGAATGTTTATACTAAGTGTAATAGACTCAGAAATAAGACTTTCACTTGGTCCCCGCCAAGTGAAACCATATTCACTGTTTCTTTAAGTAGCAGTTTATATACTGCAAGGAAGGCATCTTGCTGCCTTTATACTTTCTTCTGTCTGTGGCATCTAACGTGCTGCATGATGGCATGGTGTAGGCACATTTGATTGTGATTGATTTGACCACCAATATGTGCGGTCTGCTGGAGAGAATACTGGGCTTTAGAGTTAAGACACTGGATTTTTACCAGGATTGCTATTGAGTGAGTTACTTCGTCAGTTCTGCTGGTAATGAACATGATCTTAATATCACAGTTATTTGTTATTACTGGAAATGGTGTTAAATCCTGTCTACACAGTATTTTATGGCTACTGATGATGCTGTATTGAGTCTCAATTCTGTTTGGTGTTTATCATGACTCTAATGGCTCCACTATGCTGCAAACCTGGACTCAGTTTTGTTTTGGCTTGTGCGGGGCACTCAGCTGATATTTGGTGGATCACTGAATGCACGCGTGATGCATACTTCACGAGCAGGCTGAGAATGAAGAAGTTTCTTAAATAAGAGCCAACTGATAAGATAGTAGCGGAAGTCTGCTTGGATCTAAGTTCTCTTAACTTCTCACTCAAGTGTTCCCTCATATATTTTGGTTCCTAAGTACAGACAGTTGCATACTTGGACACACATATTCATTTCATAATCATGGAAATAACTTTATAATGACTCATGACCAACATTGCTGTGAAGTTATTAGCTTGCAGGACAAGAAAACTGATCCCTTTCATTTACATAGTTCTTTCCAGAGAGCTGATATGCCCTACCCCGGGTCATATAACCACTTAAATGAAAGAATTGGAATGAACCCATGTCTTTTGGGTCTAAATCCATTGCTCTTTCCAAGATACCAAACCAATACTGAATATATAGAGAGCAGCCTTTGAGCATTTCTCGACTTTCCTTTGAGGTTATTACCCTCCTTCCAGGCTACATTATGTAGAGAGATGTATTAATAGTTCCCACTGACTGCACTCGTGGGAATGGAAAGTGGATCAGGTCAAACAGGGAAAGTGAGGATCCATGGTGGGGGTGGGGTGGGGGCGGGGAGGAGTTGCTGCAGAGAGTAATAGGAGGTGAGATCAGAAAAGAGATTAAAGGGAGGATATGGATTATGTATTTGCCTTTGGGATGAATTTGATAGTTGTGTGTGCATACACATGCCCCAAATAATTGGTTTGGAATTTTGCAATAATTTATTAGCCTATTTATTTTTATTGTTTGAGAGACAGAAAAAATTCAACTTTTTTATTTTTTACTTAGTAATTGAATTTTTATACCTGTTCCAATTTGTGACAGTTTGAACTTTTCCCTATTACTTTAAATACTAATCCATTACAATTCAGAAACTTGAATTTCTAGGTCAGTTTATAATATAAATAATTGATGGACTTTGTGATTTTACTCTCTTTTATACAGGGGTGTGTTGCTGCTGTTCTGCGTTGCGTCCTCGCTACAAACGCCTGGTGGACAACATATTCCCTGAAGATCCAAAAGTAATGTGACCCACCTAGTGATCCTTCTCTTTGCTGACCCATCCTTCCCCCCTGCTGACCTTCCTAAGGTTTCCCTAATTTCATTTCTCTACTTTTCCCCCTAAATCTCATGTACACAGTAATTTTTATTTCTCTCGCTCTTTTTTTAACTTTTAAATGACCATTGCTTGCTTTTCTAATTTTCAGATACTTTTATTAAATTAGGAATAAATTTGGATGATGGACAGATATTCTTTGTCTATATAGATCTGAACTTTAAATCACACTCACATTAAATTTATTAGTCTGTGCCAGATTATTTGTACAAAATGCTAATAAGAATACAATTGTGAACACAGACATGATTTCTGGTCTACCAGGCTCAGAGATAAGTAACTAGGCAATTAAAATATTGTATGAAGGGGTCCTATGGGAGAAGACAGAGTGAGCTCTGATTTGGACTTGGGAGATGTAGGTCTGGGAAATCAATCTAAGCTAAGATCCAAAGAACAAGTAGGGCTGTCCACAAAGAGAAAACTGGAGAGGCAAAGAGTGGGGGGGGGGGAGGGCGCGCATATTCAGGCAGAGTTCTCTTTTTACTTAAATACCTGTAAGGTTTTTAGAAAAATTACTTTATTGTAGAAGATTACTGCTTTCAAAGTTACTGGGCTTGAATGATTTTGTTCGACACTGTCTTAAATTTTCAAAGACTACTTTAGTCTGAAATAGATAGGAATAAAAAAAAAAATCTTGCATGGGTTTGATTCTCAGAATTTGCTGTATTTATAGGCACCTCTGGTTAACTTATATATAGGCACCTCTGATTAACTTATGTATCTCATGACATATGATACATCTTTTTAATCAAATCTGATTTAAATATTTAACTTAGAGGAGTCTGATCAATTTGAAACTGCTGGTTGCCAATTATCCTAGTATTTGTGGCATGTGAAACACCACGGATGTGGTGCCTTTTTTATAGAAACTTTCCTCCATTGACTGATATAAGAAAAGAACACTAAATATTTAGCCTCAACACTTAAATCGGTGAGTAAAAGGTTAAGTAAAACAGGTGGTAAGGTTTTTGCCTCTGCAGTAGGGTGCATCACTGTGGGTTGGCAATTTCTGGAAAGTGTTTTCTGAGGAAATGAGATTTACTGACATCCTATGCCACACGGAGAGACCATCCTGTTTGCAAGTGAGAGCTAGCAGGAGATAGTTTGAGGTGAGGAACACCAGCGAAGACTTGTGTGAAGTTCCTGTAGCCGAGTCATAGAGTATAGTGGGTAGTGGTCATGTTGACCATGGTTTTGAATTTGAAATTTCAGAAGTATCATTTCACAGGTTGAATATTCAGGTCATTTTCCAGAGGAGTCAGGGGTGAAGGGTTACTGGAGGTGAGGTGAAGACCAGAGGATGGAGGACTGTTAATGACACACCCATTACGTAATTAACTTCTGGGTAGTGAGGGGACTTTGAGGACTTTTGACCATGAGAAAAATGAAAGGTGAATCAGAAAATGGTAACAGAAAGTGTGCTATTTTTGGTAAGTATTTAGATAAGATTTATTTAAATACATACATTTTTAAAAGGGGAAGGTTTATAGGAACCTTCAATACAAATGTTAGCCATAGCTCAGCTGACTGTATTTCTTGTTTTTAATTTATTAAACAAACAGAAATCTAGTGGCATAGCCAAAATTGGTGAGACAGGTGCCCAGAGTGGAGAGTCCTCTTCATTCATTACCCACATGATCTTGGGCAGGCCTCTCAGATTCTTTTTGTGAAATGAGAGTTATGACTAGCACCTACTTCATAAGGTTTTCTTACATGAGGTTAAATTAGTTGTACAGTTCTTCACTCACTCTTGCTTCCCTGATGGCTCTCACAGTGCTTGGCACATAGTTAGTATTTGATTAGTCTTTGTTAAGTGAATGAAAAGACAGTAAAAATATACAAACGTATAAAATAAGTGCTATGAGCTAAAAGGCTTTATAAGAGAAACAGCTCATCCAACTTGGAGGAGTGTTTGGAGGTCACAGTAAAGGCTTTTAGGATGAAGGTGAGGCCTGCAGGATAGGACAAATGAGTAGAATTTGTCCCGGAGAGCTGGAGTAGCGACCCTGGGCGGAGAGGTAGCTGAGAAGTCATGCCCAGAGGTGCTGCTGACACTATTGATTTGTACTGATAAAAAGCAGAGTAGTGGAGAGGGGCAGATGGACTGCAAAGGGCATGAGGGGTCTTTTGTACATGATGTAAATATCCTGCTTCTGCTTTGTAATGTTAGTTTCATGTACATACACACACTCTCATATAAATAAAGCTCAGATTTCAAATATCTGGGTGCAGTTTGAAGTATATCAATTATTCCTCAGTAGAACTGATAAGAGATGAAAAAAGTGCAGGAGATGCAGTCATATTTAAATAATGATGTGGAAGAACTCATGCAAGGGGAAAGTCAGAAAACCTGGAACGAGAGAGACTAAGTGACACACAGCCAGATCCTGAGCCTGGGAGGCAGACAGCCAGAGTGCAGGCATGCTGATTCTTTCCGGATGGGACAGACAGAGCTATCACTTAGCCTTGGGCAAGGTTTTCTAACTAGACTCTGTTGACATTTCGGCTCAGATAATTCTTTACTGTTGGAGCTGTTCTATGTGCTGTGGGTGTTAGATAGCATCCGAGGCCCCTACCACGAGGTGACAGACAGTACACACTCTCCCCCAACTGTGACAGCTCATAGAGTCTTTAGATATTGCCTGGGAGGACAAAATCACCCCTGGTTGAGATCTACCTGTCTAGAAGTAACTGAGAAAGCAGGGGTGTTTTTGCCACTAATTCTAATCGGATTGTTTTCTGTCTTCTCTGATGAGAAGAGCTCATTTGATGCCAGAAGGGAAGAGAGGTGGCAGACTATTAAGTTTGAGGAAGATAGAGCAGGTATAAAGTCTGAGCGGGTGGCCATTTGAGGTAGAAAACAGAAAATAAAGCAGTTTTATTTGTAGATTCACCATCCAACATAGTTTTGCTAACTCCCTTCCCATCATGTCCATCAGTTCTAACAGCATTTAGTTCCTTGGACTATATATGACCAAATTTAGGGTGACCATTGCCTTGGAGTTGCATGAAGGTGGGGAGCATCATTCGCTCTGTTGCATGTCACCTTTTAGAGGGCAGAGACCAGCGACCATTCAGTAATTCCACATTGGACCTGGTTTTGCTTTTTTAATACATTGGCTACACTTAGATCATTACAGTTCTTAGTACTTTCTTATTTATTAGTTATAACAAAACGTTATGGTATCAGCAAGTTCTAAATTATTTAAAAGCATTGTTTTTCATTGTTGTATATATATAAAGGAGTCTTAAAAATAGAACATTATTAGTCTTAAATATGTATATAAATAGTCTTACAAATAGAACATTTAAAATTTTTAAATTGAAGCAAATTTTGTTTGAAATCTTTTCACCAAAATCCATCCCAGTTCCTACATACTTCAGTTGAGTTATTTCTCTAGAATGGATGGTGTTAGAATAAATAATTGCTTTTGAAGGTTTTAAATGCTTTTAAATGCTTTCTCTCTAACCTTTTGAAAATTTTGTGTATCCCGAAAAAGATTGTTTGTATTAAAGAGGCTATTTTCTAATGAAGTGATTCATAAGTATGGATCACTGTAGTCTAGAAAGAAAATCGGAAGCAAGCAACACTTAGAAATACAAAAAGTGAACATGAAATTATAGATATAGTATTACCTACTTATTATTCTTATTTTTAGGATGGCCTTGTTAAAGCTGATATGGAGAAATTGACATTTTATGCAGTATCTGCTCCAGAGAAACTGGATCGAATTGGCGCTTACCTGGCTGAAAGGTTGAGCAGGGATGTTGTCAGACATCGATCCGGGTAAGGAAACTCATTGCTGCTAATATAGCATTTTTGCAGGTTTTTTTCTGGTCTAAACCATCCTGTAGATTACTTTGCTCTCTTGTCAGGCAAAGATATGGTACTTGGAGAACATCTGTAATACTGTATAGATGCTGTAGCTTTTATTTTCCTGGTGGTCAGGTTATAAGAATAGACTCAATTAACAGAATTTCCTTTAAGCATCCATTAGTTTTTGAAACTTCTCAAGTGGAAATAGTAGGACTTAACTCGGTCTATCAGCACAATACTGTAATTTTAAAAATCAGTTTCCAATAACTATGAGCTGATTTTTCACATAGCTTTAGTTTTACCTGTCAGAGGAGTAATAAAAGAGAGGTTAGTCTTAAACATTGAGGTTCAAAAGATGCAGGCACACTGATCGAAACTGCGCTAGCTGTAACCCACCTACAAATGAAGTTTCATCGTATTTGTCAGTTCTCTGTGCTTGTAACTCTGCAGTTTGGATTATGCTTTCCCACATTGTCACTATGATCCTAGGAGCTTAAAGTACTTCAAATTCTTTCACTACCTCCACATTGTTACCACTTACAACATTTTAGTGAGTCTTCATGTAGTTTTATAGTTGATTGTTGAAGCAGTTATTTAAAGCCTGCCTGAATTTTAATTTTTAGTACAAGTGTTAAAATCTAAAGAATTATGAGACATTTCTTTATAATATTTTCTGCTGTCAATCCTGTTTTCTAGACTCATATTTAGAAATACAAAAAGATTCTGTTGGAAATTTTTTCATATTGCTTATAGTAAACGTTTTGGGTCATTATGTTTGAAAGTCTGGAAATTAGAAAATGTCCATGCTTACAAAGAAAAATACATATAAACGTGTAAAATTAAAGAAACTTTGAAAGAGCTTTTGTCAGCAGGAGAAACTAGACTAGTACAGTGTTTATAGGTTTCAATGTGAGGATATTTTTATAATCTAAGATCTTTAGTGCTATATGAGAATTGAATTATGATTTTACTCAGAAACTACTATATTGATTTTCCTGTGTTCTGTATATTTAAATAAATATATTGAAATTATTCTAGTAGGAAGCACTTAGGAGAATTAAGGAAGCTAGTAATGCTTTGACATTATTTCTCTTACACTTAGGTATGTTTTAATTGCTATGGAGGCCTTGGACCAACTTCTTATGGCCTGCCATTCTCAAAGCATCAAGCCATTTGTAGAAAGTTTTCTTCATATGGTAGCCAAGCTGCTGGAATCAGGGGAACCAAAGCTTCAAGTTCTTGGAACAAATTCTGTGAGTAAAACTATTCTCTATTGAATTAGAGTTCAATTAGCATATCTAGAATTAGTATCTTCTTGAATGTCTATCCTGGTAAAGGCAGATGCTCTGTCAGGCATTTGGACAATGATAGGGTCACATGTGATTATTAGAGCGCTTTGTCTCAGCTTTTTCTGTTGCTCCTTGTGAAATCCGGAATGGTAACCAATTGTAGTGATGAACAGAAAATCAATTGGCCATGAAAGTAAGGGTTCTTTCCCCATGCCTTCTTTCACTTCTTAAATACTTCCACTTAACACACTCACTTCTATCTCAAAGGTTAGTTTAAACATATATGGGATTAGGGAGGCATTTTTAAAAAGGAAACTAAAATATAATGATAGCCTTTCTCTCTTTAGTTATGTTGTTTAACTTCCAGCCTTTCAGTGCCAACTTCATCTCTGAGGAAACTTTGAAGCATTCAGTCAATCTGTATGGTCCCGTTCATATTTTTATTAGAAGCAACTGAATTATATATATATATATATATATATATACACACACACATACATACACATACACACACACATCACCTGCTAGTGTTAATGAATAATTATTTTATGGTTTAGGGAGAGGATATACAGGTAGTAGCTGGACAGTGTGATCCCAGAGTCCCATTGGCCTAGTTTGAACTTTTCCTGCTCAACTTTCTTGTTCTATATCTTGGGCAAGTTACATGATTTCTTCTTGCCTCATCTTTTTTCATCTATGAAATGAGGGTATATTAGTACCAATCCTATCTTATAGGATTATCGTGTGAGATGAGCTCTTAGAGCATTGAATGGCATTGCTAGTTGTTATTGGTAGAGTAGAATGTTAAAAAAAAGCAAGTGTGTATAAATAAAATCCTCTCTAAAAGCTTTTTATATGATTTTATCCTTTGAAACAGGGAAAATATTGAATATTTCCAGATACAGTTAAAATGATGTGACAGGCTCAGATTTAGGCAATATAATTGGGTTTTCAGAAGAATCATGACACATTTTTGCTTGAAAAGCAGAAAAAAATACATCATGACTTTTCCAACAATCCAGCAGTTCCTTGAACTCCTTTTAATTCCTTTGTAATTAGGTGAGGAAAGTTTAGGGAAAATGGTGTAGTGGTTGGAGGGGGTTGTCTTAGTGTGTATCCCCACAAATGCCTTTACTTACATCCAACAGCGCCATCATGATTCCTTTAGTGAGTCATTTGGGCAAAAGACTTGATTTTCCAGTTACCCATTTTGATTTAAATGAATTGTATGGCATGAAATGCTGTAATATCTTTACCAACATTATCTAGTATTCCGTGAATGTTTGATTTTAATTTCTTAGTGGTGCTGAGTTGTCGAATATTGAAAAGTAAACATTGAAAAAATATTCAGACATGATCAGTACTCATTTAAAACTTTTATATTTGTTAATGATCTTTGTACATTTTATTTGAATTTGATGGCATTTGCTGTTGTGAATGAGGAGTATGACAGTGCCTGGTTGGCTTATAGTCTCCTGCTTGAGAAATTGTGCTAACTACTTTTTATTTTTATGCTTCTTAAAATTTTTTTTTTTTTTTGGTGGGACTCTCGCCGGGGGCCAGGGAACAAACTGGCGCTGCAGAGGCTGCGGGCAGTCGGGCAGTCTCGCAGCCCAGCGCTCAACCGCTGCGCCACCAGGGGAGGCCCCCTTTTTAAAATTTGTTGAACTATTTTAAATTGTGAATTATTTGTTTGGTAAAACTTTCGTTTGTTAAATTAACAAAATGGATTAAAGACTTGAGTGTAAGACCTGAAAGGTGATAATTACCTTGACACCAGCCTTAGGAATGTAGCTTTTTAAAGCTTGGGCTACTTAGTGCACAAAACTAAGACGTTTCTGAATGAATGCGTTCAAGAGAAGTGTCCATTTGAAGGACTCTTAGAGTTCATATCTGTAACACATCTCAGCTTTTTAAAAATTTCTAACCCCCTGGCTCTCTCTTTTCTCTCTCTCCTTTTTTAATCATCGAAGGAGGTGAAGTAAATGTCATCTCATTTTTCTTTTCTAGTGAACTTGCGATGTTTCCTTCAGTTTGTGTTCTCCCCTTTTCCCCCCCGTGTTATTTTTGTAAATATTCATTTGTATGTTATGCAGGAGGTGCCAAGGAAGATTTCATATCCACAGTTAGAATAACATTCCCTGGAGGTACGGGCCTCTCTGAGGCTCTCACTGACGCGATGTCATCGTTTAGGAAATGTTTGAGAGCTTTAGAGTTAAGACTTTTCCTCCTAGAGAGTGGGGTCGCTCTCTCAAAAGGAACTGGATTAAGAAGTTATATTTAATACTTATTAGGCTCTGTCCTTGGTTTTGAAGCCCATTACTTTTGTTTCTATGTGGTATTTATGATTTTTCATTTGCTGCTTATGTGGCTGTTTCTAGTTAATGTAACAAATAATGAGTGAAACTATAAATGTGCTTGCTTCACATTTTCAAAAAGATGCTAACACATTTATATTGTTTTTGTTTTTCAGTTTGTTAAATTTGCAAATATTGAAGAAGACACACCATCCTACCACAGACGTTACGACTTTTTTGTATCTCGCTTCAGTGCTATGTGTCATTCCTGCCACAGCGATCCTGAAATACGGACAGAGTATGTGTGGTGTCACTTTCTGGTCCCTGAATTACCCATGGGCTAATTCATTGGCAAATACCACGTTTACGTGTGATGTAATGATCACCAAAGGAAATGGGGGAGCATGTGCCTTATTCTTGAACTATACCTGCATTGTTCTTAGAAGTTACAACAACTTGCCTAAGTAGCAAATTGAGAGCAGTTTTCCAATTAACTCAAAATAAAGTTCATACTTTCTGTGGGAGCCCAGAATGCCCCTTAGTGCTCCTCCTACCTCAGTTTTAGATCCTGTCATTGGGTCGTTTCTTCCTCCTCTTTTTGAACACACCAGGCACACTTCTCGGGGTAAGCATTCTCTCTGCTTTGTATTACTCCCAGGATACCCACATAGCTTGTTACCTCACTTTGGTCAGATTTGTGCTCAAATATCACTTTATCAGGACACACCTCCTTTGGCTACCTTTTACTTATTAGATACCAAACCCTATCCCCAAGGGTAGGGTTTCACTTACTCTTCATCTCCTGTCTGTGTCTGTTTCTCACTCCTCTGTGGAAAATGAGCTCCAGGAGCACAAGGGCTTGTTTTGCGGATTGCTCTGTTACTAGCTCTTGGAATAGTGCTGGGCACATAGTGGGCGCTTGTTAAATACTTTTTGAATAAATTGAATGAATGGATATTACTGAATCACTGTCATTCTCAGGTTCTCATGACAACTCATTTGGATATTTATAAAATTTCTTATAAATGCATCCTAGTACTAATCTGAAAGCAGGTACTTATCTGCAAACATCTGTAGATTGTTATCTATCTAGAAATAGGAAATTTTAAAGATAAGAGTTAAAGTCAGAATGACTCTGGCAAATATAGAGTAGGTTGAGCATTATTGTGACACACCTAAAAAAAAAAGAGACTAACCTGAATTCAGTGTAACTTTCTCCCATTCACCCCTAACATTTTCTTTCTCTCCCTTATAGACATTTAAAAAATGTATTATAAAACTGTTCCCTGTTCTCAGAGGCTGACATTGTTTAATTAATGGACAAAAGTATATGGTGTTAGCTAAAAGAATATAGCAGTTTTTTTCAAGATTGTAGCACTTTTGTTTTCTTTTAAAATACTGAAAAGATTGAGAATGTAGTGTTTTTTTGTTTAGTATTTTAAGGATTAATAAATTATACAGATACTGCTCAGATTTTGGTTAAGGTGGTTTTCACATATAAACCAATGTAGGTTTAGTGTTTACAATGTCTGATTTTAAAGTTTACAATGTCTAATGCATGTAAGAAATAAAATTTTTTTTTACATAAGGTACCTTATTTTTAGGTCTTTAGCGCCACCTAGTGAAAGATGTCTTTTGAACATATGTTCAACTAACATTTTTCATTATAAGGAAATAAATAACACTTTTCATTATAAGGAAACTTTCATTTATAAGGAACTGAAATTCTCTATATGCAAATGAAAGACCTTGTAATACTTTTTCCTAATATTAAGTCTTTCATTATATGAAATATGAAATTCAGAAATGACATTTGATTTGAATTACTGAAAAATAAATGAATAAACTAAAATTATTTAAAATATATGAGGCTTGATTTTTTTTTTTTTTTTTTTTTTTGCTGTTTTACCTGGAGTAAAAATCCTTTTTTTTTTTTCTTCAGGTTCTAACTTAGATACTTATTATAGGGTTTAGCAAAACCCTGTCAGGGAGCATGAGCAGTGAAATGGGACCTATAACTGTTAGGATTTTCTTAAAATATTTACCTTGTGGAAATGGTTTCCAGTTGTAAAATCATGCATCACAATTCTAAACTGTAATTCTTAATTTCCTGAGCACCCTTCAGCTATAGTGAAATCGCCATCCCTGTCATAATGATAACAGCAGGAGCAACTAACGCTGAGTGCCTACTATGTGCCAATTTCAGGAACACTTTATTGGATAAACACTTTACATGAATGAACTCATTTGAATCTTCATAAAATTCCAATGACAATTACTCTGGTTTACTGATGGAGACACTATAAAATCCTTCTCAGGATTATGTTGATTATGCCAGAGACCAGGGCTGGGCTCATTGCCAGCTGCAGCTGTAGAAGCTATTGGTGCTCCCCATTCTAAATGAGGCCACCGCCCTCCGCTCTCCTCCATTTATCATAAGCCAGGAGCCACCCCCGTGTGTTGTCTGACTGTTGTGTTCCACGCTGCGGTGTATGATCCTCTCAGTGCCCCGGGAAAGCACCAGCTACACAGCACAGGCTCCGGGTTGTCATGCTAGGCTAGCGCAGTGGGCATAGCTGCACAAGTCTCAAGGTTTTGTTTATGTTGAGGAAAAAGCACATATACCCTTTGAAATAGACAAAATTTGTCTTTGTCTCCCCGTTGACTTTTCTCACTTGTTCACGGTCATATTCCTGTGGGTATCCCGCTCTCCTCCTGCAGCCCCTGGTGCCTACACTGTTTTCCCATGGGCTTGTAAATATCACCCCCTGCCCCCCTAGCTCCCATTCCTTAAACTTAGCTTTTGGCAGACAGTGGAAAGTTGAATAAACCTCTAATGGTGACCATGTTCAGGTCATAGCAAACAATGAAGTAAATAGCAGTCAGACATGGCCAGAGGGAAGGCATTTGGAACAAATGGGCTACCAAGGCAGGTGGCTTGAGAGGTTATTCTTCCCCAGCTCTTAAATGCTGTTTTTTGATCACTGTTCTTTCTTGAATGGATAGTGATTTTGTGTGTGTGTTGTTTTTTTAAGGCAGAATAAGGACAAGCTTGAGGAAGTTGGGTTTGGGGGTGAGTGCAGAAGATGGGAGGCTTAAGTATTTGCTCACTGTTTTGATAAATTCTGAGTCACATGTGTAGGTAATAGTGCGTGTCAGTGCACACAAACGATGTATTTTTACATCAGGGGTTATCTGTACTCTATTTTGATGGTTCTCATCTTTTTATCTTTAGAGGAATCAGCTTAACTAACCTTCCATTTAGGTGGCCTGGGGAAGAAGCAGTGACGGAGAAGTCTGATGAAGAATTAGTTTGAATTATCATCCTCTTAGGAAAACCAAGTGCTTTTGATTACATTATTTTTTTATTGAAAAATAGACATAGACTAGATATTTCTATTTAATAGTCCTTTTAAACTTTAATGCTGATTTTAAAAAGATGGTTTTTAAAGTAAGCTTTTTTGGGAACTGCCCTGACTCTCAGATTTTTGAGATTTTAATTTCCTAGACTTGTGTTATTTTCATTTCATTTACTTGAAACACAGTACTTATTTGGCATCCATCTCTTAGCTAAGCAAGCATTACTTGTTTAAGAAACATTTGTTTTTGTCTCAATTTTTCTTCTTTTTTATAGAATCCGAATTGCTGGAATCAGGGGTATTCAAGGTGTGGTTCGCAAGACAGTTAATGATGAACTCCGGGCTACCATCTGGGAACCTCAACATATGGATAAAATTGTTCCATCCCTGCTGTTTAACATGCAAAAGATAGAAGAGGTCGAGAGGTATTGAGTCACGATGTCCGGGTTGAGGCTGTATTGCTGCATGTATGCGTGTGTGCGCTTGTTAGGATAAGAAAGTTTTGTCTTTATTATGTAATTAACAGTCTCATAAACTGGATGGAGTTTACATTCCTTCTCTTGAAAAATGATTCATCTTTAGTGATCACATTAGACTTAGCAGAGCACAGATTCTTACTCATACACTCCAGTTTTTATTTCTTTCAGAATAAATTTGCATTTTACTTGTTTATTATTGAGCATCCAGATTGCTATTTAAATTAATCTGTAGAGTTGCAAGTGTGAGAAATAGAAATCCTAGCTGAACTTTTGTTATTCTTTAGAAATCCAGTATGCTTCTTCATAGAGTTAGAAATAATCAAATAATAGTAATTGCTATTCATTATATATATATTTTTTTTCAGCAAAAAGGTTAGACTGTTTATTTCTTAGTTATTCTTCTAATGTATTTTGGATGTTGGCATGGAATGCTGTTTTGGGGTGTATTATAGTTTGCTTCCCTTCCAATATCCAGTTACACTCCCAATTCTATAATTTTTTTCTGCTTTTCAAATTCCTGCAGCAAGCTTTCTGCCCACATTCTTGTTGCTGTATGCAGAGATTCTGTGCAATTAAGTTTCAGAACCAATGTTCTCCATTTTGGCTTATTATCCCAGTCTTTCCCATACTTGTAGTTTGAAGAGGAAAATCTGAATCACATTTCAAAGATATTTCTCTAAATCTAAGATTGGAACTTTATAATTTTTTTATAAAGATTTATTTATTTATGCATACAAGATCTGGGATACAGGCCAGAGGTGCAGGGGGTGAGAGGATTCACCAGAGACAGAATGGGGAACAGAACAGGCAGACTGACTGAAAATACACTGCTGAGGGGAGCAGCAGGCGTGACAGGAGAGGTCTGCTATGCCATGTGGGTCAGCTCCCTGGCTGGCCATGGATTTAACTCCTGATGCAGTGGCTGCAGATAGCTTCATAGTGCTGTGCTTAACCCCTTGCGTCACCAGGGAAGCCCTCTGAATTTTATAATTTTTTAAAAGATTTCATTTATTTGCATACGAGAACTGGGATGCAGGCCAAAGGTGTGGGGGTGAAAAGACTCACCAGATACAGAGTGGGGAGCAGGACAGGTAGATATACTGGAATACACTGCTAAGGAAAACAGCAGGCAAAACAAGAGAGGTCTGCTATACCATGAGGGTTATCTCTCTGGTCAGTAGATGTGATAGCGCTGAGACAACCTCTAGGCCACCAGGGAGGCCCTGAACTTTATAATTTTGATGATCATATGCACCATGTCAAAATTTTTAAAAGGAGTCTAAAAAAAAGATGAAGTTGATAGCTATGGCAGCACTTACATGTTTATCTAAATTTTTGCTGATTACAGAATAGTTCTGTGCATAATTCCTTAGATGTCACTTTGAACGTTGCTTCAACTTTGAAACCTTTTCTAACATGTAAAACAATATATTTTAGAATCTTCCATGTTTTCCCTATTCTGGGCACCACAGCAGAGGTAAAATTTTCCTGTCTGAAGTGTTTACTCTGGTAAAGATAACTAGCTAGTTGAGAAACCATTCCTCATGATCATAACCCTTAGTCATGATTAGGGTCATGACCCAGAATTAGCCTAAATTATATACAGGAAGCAGAGACCATGAATTGTCAAATCTTTAAGAAATTGTATTTTTTTCATGGTGTTAATCCCAGTATGATGAATATGCTCTCTTGTTTGTGCAGGAATATATTAGTCTAGAATATTGTTTCAAATTGTGAGCAAATAGTCTCTGTTCAAGACACTATTATACATGTGTTCTAATTAGGTTTTAAAATTTTTATGTATAGATTGTCATATGTATTTACTTGTCCTATGTTTTTAGTTCATTTTACTTTTGCCCATATGTAGTTAAAAGTAAGAAACCTAAATACCTTAAGGACTGTCATCTGACTGATTTTGCTATAAATGGAGAGAAGTTATAGAGAGTGCACAAAATTGCAGCAGCTGAGGATTTCACCTAGTGCAAATATGCTCTAGAAAGAAACAAGTTACACAACTGAACTTACTTCTCCCTTTTGGGAGATTATGTGATTAACTTTGGTGGTGTTGAATTCATGAAGTTAGAGTCAAGTTTTAGAATCTTTGTGGGACAGAAAGAAAATATTATAACATTTTTTTTTTTTTATTTTTTAAATAATAAATTTTATTTTTATATTCCCCCATACAATTGCAAACCCCCCATTCTGACCCCAATCCCTCCCCTCCCAGCCCCCACCCCCCAAAAAGTGTCTCTGGTTCATAGTTTTTTGTTGATTTTGATTTTCATTTTCTTATAGTTATTCATTTTCCTGGTCCCTTATTTAAGTTTTCTAGATTCCTGCTATGAGTGAGACCATCCGGTATTTTTCTTTTTCTTTTTGGCTTATTTCGCTGAGCATGTTGCCTTCCAGCGCCATCCATGTTGCTGCAAATTGCATGTGTTTATCTTTTTTGAATCAAAAAAAAAAATATTATAACATTTTAACAGACTTCTTTTATTAGAACTGGTGTTAGAGTTCTTGCATTCATTTTTCTCTACTTCTCGTATGTTTTCAGTCGAATAGGCCCTCCTTCTTCTCCCACAGCAGCTGAAAAGGAAGAGAATCCTGCTGTGCTGGCTGAAAACTGTTTCAGAGAACTGCTGGGGCGAGCCACTTTTGGGAATATGAATAATGCAGTTAGACCAGTTTTTGCGTAAGAAGTTTGTGTTTTATTGCTTACTTGTGACTGTCGTGTAAACTCTGCGTTGATTTACTTTCAGAGGACAAATCATTTTTCCCTTGCATGAGTTAGTTATGGAAACAGTGCAGCATTGTGGGAAGAGACCAGGTTGAGTCAGACATGAGTATTGGTTCAGCCATTTACCAGCTTTTTCCCTTAAACATAGAATCATGTACATCATTTAACTTTAATTTCTACTCACTGCTTGAGATGCATATATGCAGGAAAACAAATTTTTACATTTTAACAAGTAAGTTTTTTATTACTAATTATTTTAAATTATGTTTATTAGGTAATATTGATAAACACCACTGTTTATGCTTTAGGTATGTGGGTTCACACCTCTGCAAGTGTTAAAACAACACTCCCACCACCAAAGCACTAGTAATCTTCCATCATAGTCCATTGGGCCTCCTCCCGCCTACCCTACCCCCCAGACTCCAAGGCTACCAACTGGTAGCCTTAGTTCTGCACTCAGATTTCTAGGATTTGTTTTGAGAAAACTTATTTTTTAAAGCTGTAGAAAATACTGTCTTTAAAAATGACATCGTTTTGGTGGTTAACATGTAGGAAAATGTTGTTGACTTTTTTGGTATGGATCTTATATCTGATTTTGGTATAAACTCAAAGTCTAGGAATGACTTTTAAGGTACTTAGAGATTTATTTTTTCTTTTGCGTTCTCTGTGTACACAGCCATCCATGAATAAGGACAGTTTTGCTTCTTCCTTTCCCATCTTTACACCTTCCAGTTCTTACTGCGTTAATTAGGACCTCAGGTACACTGTGGAATCAAATGATAATATCGGGCCATTCTTTTCTCTTATTTTGAACAGAATGCTTTTAACATTTTTCCGCTGAATTTTTGTTTTTATTTATAATAGAAAACTTTCATTGGTTTAAGAATTACTTATATTTTCTTTGCTGTCAGTTTTTAAAACCACAAGCATTTTTTTGCATGCTTTATCTGAAAGCCTTTTTGAGTGGTTCTTAGGAAATTTAGCATTTCTTAGGTCAAGTTTAAAGTTTAATACTTGTTTTATATGTAAGAGTTCAACATTTTCTTCCCTCTTCCTTAGAAAGACAAGGTGAAATTCTTGTCTTAGTCTATTTTGACCAGAATTTCAGTTTGTTTTTCAACTCCACTCATTGGATATTATTGTTACTCAATTTATGTCTTGCTTATTTTGACATGTGTTTTTCACTTCCATTGCTCAATATTCCTTTTTGTCTTTCTGTTCTTTTTTCTGAAAATATTTTTCTCCCTTCCTGAAATAAGCCCTCCAGAAATTCCTTTATAGAATATCTAATTTATCCTCATTGTTGCAAGTTTTGAAGGGTATTATTGATCAGCACTTTGAGTATATTATTCTGCCCTTTTTCTGGTGTGTTGTAAATCTAGTTATATTTCTTTTTGAGGTGAACTGTTGTTCTCTTTACTGGATTCCTAAACCTGAGGGTTAGATTTTTTCTTGTTTTTTGTTTAGTTGTTTTGAAATAAAAAAATTCTCTGATTCTTTTCTTTCATCCTATCTTTGATCTCCTTCTAAAACTGGTTAAAAGTATTTATTAGGTCTTCTCCTTTTATACTTCTTGTCTCTTAAGTTTTCTTACCCTTTTTATTTCTTTGCTTCTTTGTGCTACATTCTAGGTAATTTATTCAGATTTGGTTATTAATTTTCTCTTTCTCTCTGTCTAAATTGTTTAAATTGATATTAAGTTTCTAGATTCAGTATTATGTGTTGTATATGTGGAAATTGTATTTGGTTAATTCTCAAGTTTACTTGGTCATCTTTGACAGACTTTTTACTCAGTTGTCAGATTTTAACACCTTTTCTCTTTAAGCATAAAAATAGATTCATTTAAATTTTTTAATCCATTAATTCCAGTAATATCTCTAGTTCTTGAGGACCAGATTCTGCTACCTCTCATTCATAGTGGCTTTTTATTTTATGTGTTTTGTGAACTTTAACTTTGAGCTCATTCACTGTAAATTTACTTGTGGAAATTCAATGAGGCCTGAATTTGTAGTGTGTTCTCCACAGAGATTTTATTTTGCTTCTGCTGGAGCCATGGGTGAGGTGCCATCCAGCCACCACTTTGAGGACATTCTTAACTTAGGTTTTCTGAGCCACACGATTACTGTGAATTCTGTGAAACTTGGGTGCTGGGTATGTGGTTGAATTCTCCAGAGAGACTTTTGCGGTTCTCAGAGCCAAGGTTAAGATGGATGAGCTTTGTCTCCAGCCTCCTGTATCTGCAGCCCTTTAAATCACTGCTCCTCCTCCACCACCACCCCTACCACCCCCACCCCCACAAATGTCCACATTTGACAGGTCTAAAGCTATATGCCTCTGGGACAGCTGCTGACTTCAGCATGTACTTACCTCTCTAGGTTCTTGCCACAGTGTGGAGTTGAGACTAAAAGAGTTTTCTTTTTTACCAGCTCTTCTAAATATTTATAAGTCTTACATGTTTCCTAGCCTTTTATTATTGTTCTATGAAAGGATTGGCAACTGGGGTAATATGTGGAAACTTCGGCTTTCTTTTAGATAATGTTCTTTTGACTGTTAAACTTTACATATTGTTGATAACTCTAAGGAAAAAAGCATGATATAAATAAGCAAGTCTCAATTTAGTTTTTTTATTGTTAATTACAGGCATTTAGATCATCACAAACTGTGGGATCCCAATGAATTTGCAGTTCACTGCTTTAAAATTATAATGTATTCCATTCAGGTAAGGTAAGATTTGGTTAACTATTGATAAGTAATGCTGGTTCTGTAGACACAGATACCAGGGAACAGATAGAGGACATTGTAGGATATAGGACTTGTCCTTAAATTTAGTCCTTTGTCTCATTTTATTTTATTTACCACTTGTATTTTTATTTGCCAAGATGAAGACTTATCTAACCCAAAGAACTAAATGATTTTACGATGGTGCCCTTTATTTTGTATTTATTGAATATGCTTATTGTGTATTTATAGTTCACTGATTAACTGGTATTGGAATTGATAATAATTATGTGCAGGATATAGTTGGTAATGGTAAGTGACATTTATTGAGTATTTACTGTATAATAGTGCATATATTAACCCCTTTAGTCTTTATAGGACTTATGTGAGATCTCTTTTCTACTGCAGAGGACACCCACCTTGGTTTTCCTCAAAATCTGAACAGACATAGTTAGCTCTTAACTCGTGGGATTTTAGCTTTATTAAAAATATTTTTTAATGCCCTAAAACTTCAATAACGTGCAGGAGTTAAGGTAGTAAGGAAGGAAGCAGCACAGCTTCTAGTGTAAGTCATACCACGATTTGCATCCTAGGTATGCTGTTTACTGTTTGTATGAAAGGGGGCAAATTACTTAACCTCCCTGAACTCCAATTTCCTTTACTTTGAAAAGAAATCTTAATATCTTAATACATACTTCTACTGGTGTATGCGTATGTGTGGGTATATATGAACTAAACTCTTGTCTTAATCTATACACACACGTGCACACAACCACATACGGCTGCTGTTGAGCAGGTCCTCCTTACTTTATGAAGTAGATTTTGTTATTGTCCACATTTGACAGGTCAGAAACAGACCCTTTTAGAGAGTTCAGGTAACCTCACTAAGAAAGAGAAAGGTGTAACCAGCTTGGAAACAGGGTGCGGGGGCCTATCGACAGGCAACCCAACCAGGGGAGTCAGCGGGGAGTTATTTTCCATTTGCTTTTTTAACAGCTTGATGCAGAGCAGCAGACCTTTTCATAACCCCTGCCTGGGTATGGGTTTGAAATAACAGCTCTGCAGCCCCATTTAAAAAAAAAAAAATAAGCATATGCACTGAAATTAAGCATTTATGTGTACTGTTTTAGATTTAGGTTTCAGTATCATTCCAGTGATTAATCAAATTCATATATACGTGATAAAATTGCCTATGTAAATTGTGTTATTTTGATGTCTTCTTGATTTAAATTTCTTCAGGCATACATTGATCAGAATGCCTGTTGATTAGGTGAGAGCTGTCTGTTTAGCGTTGTTAGGTATCCATAATAAGAAATAGTATTTATTTAGTTTAGGTAAAGGAAAAGTACAGTAAATGTTAAAAGCTGTTTATTTTTGAACAATATTTTGTCCTGTTATCAAATTATAAGAGTTTGTTGTGAAGCTGTTGAGAAGTATAAAGAGGACACATTTTTCTCATAAATACCTCTCAGAGATTGCCAGAGTTAATATTTATATATAATGCTGGTCTTACATACTTTGTAAAAACTAAATTGAATATTATTGATTGTAGTATTTTGTAACTTTTCACTTAGGGTATCCAGTATTTTATAGTATCCTTACTTATTTTTAGAAAGAATGATTTTAGTGACTACTTTTATCCCAAACATCAGTACCAGTCCCCTGTAACTGGGTATTTGTTATGTGAATTTCCATTCTTACGAATTGTTCCAGGATGCATAAAATTGTTCACACAACTTTGTACTTTTTTGCTTTCTTTAGGCCCAGTATTCTCATCATGTGATCCAGGAGATTCTAGGACACCTTGATGCTCGTAAAAAAGACTCTCCACGGGTCCGAGCAGGTATTATTCAGGTTCTGTTAGAGGCTGTTGCCATTGCTGCTAAAGGCTCCATAGGTGAGTGACTTCCCCACCTTCCACACATAATAATACATTACTCTGTTTCAAAGTGTTTCTTACTTGGTTATAGCAGTTTATGGAAAAATATTTGAAAATACTTGTAATATTTTTAAATGTGCTGTAATTTCTCTTGAAATTTTAGATTTCTGTGATTATTCTCCTACTTCTTTAGTACACAGTTAAACATTTTTCTCTAAATCAGTCTTTTTTCTTTGCCCTTTTTCTCGTAAAGAGCTCTGAATACCAATTGTATGTAAACATCTCTGAGGATACAGATACAAAAAACTTTTTTTTTTTTTTTTTGAGTTAACTCCACCTAATACTGTCATACACAGCAGAATTTGATTACATATTTCACGAAAACCAGAATTAAGAAAAGAAGGGAAAATGGATTATCAAGAGCAAAATATGCTAACTTCTTTGGCTGGAATATGTGGTGCAACAGAAGGGAAGTCCGACAAGTGGCTTGTAGGTTAAAGTTGCAGCCAGATAGGTCATGGATGTGATTCTGTAGTTCATTGCCACACTTGAAAGGTTTACCTTGATCTATATCAGAGATGCACTGTGTGATAATCCATCTGCAGCAACATGTGGGACGCAGTAGCAATAGCAGGTGGTTGTCACTGAGAGGCTTGAGAGAAAGAACTTGACCTTGGATAGCAGCAGTCAGAATGGGAATATGAAGTCACAGCATTTGAGAACTGGTTGACTGAAGGGGTGACCAGGATAAGGGGCAGGTCAAAGATGCTATTACCTACACATGACTAGAAGAATCAAAGTGTCTGTAATAGTATTGCCCGAGTTACTAGGAGAATCTGGTTATGGTTTCTTTGCTTCAAAATCAAAGTAAAAATAGAGTAGCTACTAAAATACTTTAATTTTCATCCAGTGTTCAAAGCATAGGCATTTTGGTGTGAACTTTTCATTATAACTTATCTCACAGAAATGAAAACAAGTTATTTAATTGAAAATTATTTAATTTGAATTATGAAATAAAACACATGATACAGTATCATAGTAATGTCTGTTATGTGTCAGGTACTGTGCGAGGCTCTGTACATTTAAAGGAGCATTTGAATGTGGCCACCCAGAGAAGGCTGTGAGCGGGAGTGGGCGGCACTGAGTGCGGTGTGGTGGGTGACAGTGATAGCAGTGTGTGCGGGCTATCGGCAGGGGAACAAGTTTAGTTTACCTGAATCTTTTCAATCAGCTGGTCTCTGTCTGATAATTAGGGCAACAAACTTTTCCTTCTTCACTCACAAAAGATACAAAATAAAATTCCTATGCTATAATAAACTATATTATAGTTCCACAGATTCCATCACCAGTCAAGTTAAAATCTGTCCCAGTACACATTATTTTAAGTAGAAAGATTAGATAGGTGGAAAGTTTTTGGAAATCTTTTTTTTTTTCCTTAAAGGTTTATTTTATTTATATAAGAACCGGGGTACAGTCCAGATGCATGGGGGGGGTGAGAGGATTCACCAGAGACAGAGCGGGAAACAGAACAGGCAGACAGACTGAAGACACTGCTGAGGGGAGCAGCGGGCGAGGCAGAGGAGGTCTGCTCGCCATGTGGGTTGCTCCGAGGCCAGCGGGGATCGAACTGGCACTGCAGAGGCTGCGAACAGCTTCGCAGCGCTGTGTTCAACTGCTGTGCCACCAGGGAGGCCCAGTTTTTGGAACTCTTTAATGCAAGTACAAATATTGTGGGTTTTGTACCAGAAATTGAGATGGTGCGCTTGAGCTACTCAGGAATGTGTGTGCCGCAAAACTAAGAGACTTTCTTATTTAAGTACTTTTTTAAAAATGAACTGGTTAATTAATGCATTATTAAGTATTTCCAACTGCTTAGAAAATTCCCCAAATGTTGAGAAATATGAGGATTGATTTTGGTTACATAGCACCAGAAAGGTGTGTCTGCTCATATCGGTGGTGACTTGCAGGACCCACAGTGCTGGAAGTTTTTAACACGCTATTGAAGCACCTGCGACTCAGTGTGGAATTTGAAGCCAATGATTTGCAAGGGGGATCTTTAGGCAGTGCCAACTTGAACACAAGTTCCAAAGACAACGATGAGAAAATAGTGCAGAATGCTATCATCCAAACAATAGGTGAGTGCAGCCAACTCTTCAAAACTGTTATGTAAAACACTGGTTGTAAAAGCTCTCACAGAAGATTCTTGATTCTTAAGAGTACACAGTCAAAGATGAGTGATAGTTTAGACTCTTAAAAAGCTTCATATCTGTGCAGTAAACGTAGAATATTAGGTACTTGTCGCCCACATTCTCGTCTGTTAATACTTTCCTTTGTCATCTGCATGCATGCATCCTCTCTCCCTCTGTTTCTGTGAGTGTGTGTTGCACGTGTGTATGTTTGTAGCTGTGCAAGCATGTGTATATGTGTAGATAGATGATATGTAAATGCTGTTCTTAAACTACTGGATAGTAAGTGCATATACACCAAGGCTCTTTACCACAGTGCCATTTTCTAAAGAATAAAGATACTTTCTTACATGACAAAGTACAGTTATCAATGTCAGTAAAATCAAGAGTGATCCAGCCCTTTAATCCATTTTTTTTTTAACACAGTGGTCAAAGTACAAAGTTACCTCCTTAAAAAATAAGCATGAGAATTTTGGGGGAATGAAATGATCTCACTATATATAAATAAAAATTAAAGCAAGCAAACTTTTTTCTACTTTAATTCTCTTCACTCAGTACCTTTAGAATAGCCAGGTCATGTTTTAATGTAACTACATGATTTCTATGATAATTTTAAAATTCAGTTATATTCTTGGGCTTTAGTACTTAATTTCTAATGGTTACTAACAGTTTCTGCTAAAAATAGTCATATGTAATAGTGTCTTTTTATCTGGATCATTTTCCCACCTTTGGGGTACTTGTTTAGCAATAGTACTTTGGAGTACTTAATGCAAAGCTTTTTCATGTCACATTATTTCTAAAGCTTTATGGCTATAAATGTATGTATTCTGCATCCACATCTAACATTTATTTTTTAAATGTGTACATACATACACTAGATCCTGTGCTAGGGCTTTGCAATGATGTGGCTCTCACCTGGTGGGACTTGTTTGGTGGCTCTGTTCTGGGCAGTACCTGTGCCTCACCTGGTAATGGCCTCACCACAGGCATGGAGATTGTCCTGAGGAGGACAGGACCCCAAGCAGGTGTTTAGCACAGTGTCTCAGACAAGTAGGTGCTTCAGATTTGGGGAATGGCTGAAGAGACAGTATTGCTATGGGATCTCATTAAAGTTGAGATATTCTATTTATAGTTTAAAAAGTTAGTATCAATGTATATAGTAAACCTGACTTTTCTTGTGACTCTTAAATTTAATGTAAATTACCTGTGGATTTTCTGTGGTATTTTAAGATGATATATCAAATCAGCTCATGTTGTTTTCACCACATTAAATTGCTTTAGTGACTTTAATTAATTCAGTGTTACTGTTTCACTCTAGAATATTTAATTTGTTTCTCAAGTGTTTTATTATAAAATGTGTTAGTATTTCTGTGACATAACAACATTCAGAATAATGTGAAAATTAAAACATGAGAGAAAAGAAATGCAGGGTGCCCCGGTAAGATTTTTATCTCAGTGATGCTTGTGATTTCCTCAATATTTTCTTTAGAAGTTCTCAGATGGCCTGGATATTCCTTTTGGTTGGCAATGGAAGAGAAACACTGTAGCTTTTGTACTTCAAATGATGAGGTTGTTGGCCAAATTCTGCTTTCTTTGAAAATAATCAAGCACACTGCTCCCTGCTATTCAAATATAAATGACAGGTTTCGAGAGTGAGAAACTTGCAATACTCCATCCTCAGAGAGTGTGGTAATCTGCTTGGGACAGAAATCAATGTCCAGTTTGTACAGTGATAAAGAACATACCTAATTGGGTTCTTGGAAAGTTAAAAGTGCCTTATCGGAAGGTGGTAGAGCGTGCTAAAGCATGATTTTGGAAATCATGCTTAGCTGTGTGATTTCTAATATGAATTTTGAACCTCTCTCATCCTTATTTCCTTGAGAGAAGGTTAGTGATAGTACCTGGACTCACAGGGTTGTTATGAGGATCCCAATGATGAGCAATTTGAGTTTGTATAAATTATTTATTCTGATAATTGAAGCTAAAGGGTTAAATTGAAAAATTAATTTATGAAAGAAATATGTAATTGCAGATGATTTCTTTAATGATTGTTACATTTTAAGAATTGACCAAAACTGCCATGATTTCATATCTGTTCTGATCTTTCAAAGAAATAACAAAGTTTGAAGCTTGACTAATTGATAATTAAGTATTGTAAAGTCTCCTAGGACTAGAAAGCAAACCATCAAAAGCTACAGTAGATAAATTAAATATACCCAGAAAACCCAAGGGTACATGAGGGAAAAAAGATAAGAAAATTTATGTAAGTTGAACTATATATATTGAATTAACCTACAGGGTTAAACTAAAAACACGGCTCATTATAATGACATTTTCAAACATTTCAGCATCCTAGGAAACCAAAGTAGTGATCAAATTATGGAATTTTCACCAGACTAAGTGTAGCCTCATTACTGACTCATTGCTTGTCCTTGCAGAACAAGAATTTAGACCTGTGGTATGTGAACAAGGGTTCTCATCTGGAATACTCCCAAACTTTTTTTTTTCTCTTTTTCTAAAATGCCAGTTAACTCAAATTAACAGTAGTCTGCCACTGCTAAAAATATGCACAGACTGTAAGATATTTATTATTTTATCTAAGTTTTAGCCAGTGTCATACTGATTAAATGATTTGGACAAATGAACTTCTATCTTCAGGGTTACATGTAGCTCATCGTTTCACGACATATTAAAAGTTTCAGTTCAAAATATATTATAATTTTGTGTTATTTGGAAAAATAATTTTAAATTTATAAAATTTATCTTAAGTTTAACTTAATTTTTTTTACAGGATTTTTTGGAAGTAACCTCCCAGATTATCAGAGGTCAGAAATAATGATGTTCATTATGGGGAAGGTCCCCGTGTTTGGAAGCAGCACCCATACTCTGGATGTCAGCCAGCTCGGGTATGTGTGTCCTTTCTCTGGTTTCCCAAACTCTAAATGTGAGCCTAATCTTGGGTTACGTTTCATCTGAACGAAATCTAGAAATTGTTTTTAATCCTTTTCTTTATTCTTTCTTAAACTGTCTATTCTTATTGTTACATGTTAAATAGGTTACAATGCTTGTTTTTTATGTTTGCACTAAATGTCTCCTCCAACTTATAGCGTCTTTTAGTTTGGGTTATTTATTTGTGTTTTCACATGATTTAATTTTCATGATATTACATGCATGGGTCTGTGCCTTTGAGTGCCAAAGATGTTTTAATTTTTTTATATTTGACTCACATGAAAATTGCTTTAGCATATAAAGTGAGCCATGATTTCAGCTGGTATGAAAGTAGAATTTATTCAGCCAATATGAATGGAGTTTTTAAATCAGGAAATGATATAAATAAATGAAATAAATCTTAATTAGTATTAATAGCATAATACCAGTATTTTGTGTATTCTAGGGATTTAGGAACCAGGCGGATTCAGATAATGTTGCTGAGATCTTTGCTAATGGTAAGGCATTTAAGACAGGTGAAGCTGCACTTAATCTCAGATTGTTTAGGAGTGGTAAGAATAGCTTCATATTATCAGCTGCTTTTTCTTATATTGTAAGATGCTATTTATGATTGGCTTTTACCTGTGGTTTAGACATTTAATAGTATGCTCTTTGTATTTTCTTTTCTTTTATTGCACTTATTTTTATTTACTGATTCTTCACCTTTCCTATCATATTATTTGATCCTCACAATGATGAAACACACAGAGGGCAGGAAGTATTACCAGTTGGTACATGAAGACACCTGGTCAGGAACTTTGTGGGGATGGAGATTCAGTAAGGCCCTGAGCAACAGCATGGTGCTTGGGCCTGAAATACCCACTGTGCTATCTAGGTATTGTGCTATTTCTTCAAATACTGGTTTATTATTTAGAATACAGGGCATGCCTAAAATGTGAGGTCTGCGTTACTTTATACATTATAGTGATTGTATTCATCTTTGAGTGAATTACACCAAATATAAATGGTCGGGTGTTCCATATCTACCTACAATCGTGAATGAAAATTTGAATTAACCCCAAATTCCGTTGGATCCTAAGCCTTTTTATTAAATTCCCTGAGTAAATCATCTTGCCTCTAATCTTAATTGTACCACAAAATCAACTGAGTCATTGCCCATGTAGTTACGGTTAAAATGTTTAATAGGGGCCTCCCTTGTGGCACAAAGGGTTAGGACACAACCTATGAGCGTATCAGCAGCCTCTGCAGCACGAGTTTGATCCCCAGCCGGAGGTGACCTACATGGTGCAAGCAGACCTCTCCTGTTTCCCTGCTGCTCCCCTCAGCAGTTTATTTCAGTCCATCTGCCTGTTCTATTCCCCACTCTGTCTCTGGTGATTCCTCTCACCTCTCATACCTCTGGCCTGTAGCCCAGTTCTTGTGTGCATAAAAATAAATAAAATCTTAAAAAAAAAAAAGGTTTAATAGTATTTATGTACTTTAAAACTCTGTTTAGAAGAGAGGGATGTACTCAAATGTCAAATCAAGTAAGAAGCTTTTCGAAAATGAAAATGTTTCATATTAACTTAAACTGCTTAATTTAAAATAAAAGAATAATTGTCAGTTTAAATTTTAAAATCTCAGGTCTCACTTACTCTTTTTGCTACTTAATCTCCTTCTGCTCATTTAGTAATGACCAGCTCTCCCACATATTCTGAACCTCTCTAATAAACTTCAGTTTTCTTTTATAAAATGGCATGTGATGGGAAAGCAGTGCATATCGGTGCTTAGATTTGTGCCTAGCACATGATAAATGTGAGTTTACTAATTTCATTCCCTTTATGAATGTTGTTTTTGTCAATTCAGTAAAATCCTCGTCACCTTATAGACAGATTGCCTTTTTATTTTCTTTCAGACTATATTCATACTTGCTAGCTCCTCATTTTAAGTTTCTTGTGAAGGACTCATGGCAAAGGTACCTTTGCTGTTCCTTTTTTTCTTCCCTGTAACCAGGTGACCTCTGGATACAAAGCTAAGACTATTGTTACTGCCCTGCCTGGGTCTTTTCTGGATCCTTTGTTATCACCATCCCTCATGGAAGACTATGAACTGAGACAGTTAGTCTTAGAAGTAATGCATAATCTCATGGATCGCCACGACAACAGGGCAAAGCTTCGAGGGATCAGGTAATTGCTATTTTTAAATCTAATGATAATATTTTAAAATTTTTACTTAATGTGTTTAAACATTGTGATTTATTTTAATGTACGAATTTCAGGTTTATATTTTAAGGTAACAAATGCTTTAATAGTTTTTATTGTATTTTCAGTGATCTCATCTACTAGCAATCATGAGTTACATGAATTTTATTTTGGTTTTGCTTTAAACTTAGGAATAATGTTAGAAGTCAAGATTGCGTTTGCAATTCTCCTTAATTAAACTTGGTCATTCAGTCATATCTATAGACTTTTTAAAAATGTTCTTGGGAATGAATGTAAATAGTACAAAATCCTAAATGTAACTGATTTGCATATAAGTCATGACATTTTAACTACATGTGCTATTTATTAAAGATGATATACATTGATTGTCTCTAGAATAATACCAGATGTAGCTGACCTAAAGATAAAAAGAGAAAAAATTTGTAGACAAGATACAAGTTTCATGAAAAAGGTAAGATTGTCTCCTAGAAAATTTGTGAGATGCGTTATATTCATTTGCATTGCTAGTTTTGTATTGATCTGTGATCGTAAGGTGAAGTCATAGAATCTGGAGTGACAACCTTACACTACCACTTTCAGCTTCTCCCGCCTTTCTGGAACATGCCTGACCGTTTGTGCTCCTGCCTGTGTTGAAGCATTGGATTGTGGGGTTGCTGTAATAGTTGCTGAATTTCTTCATGAAAAATGTTTCCCTCTGATTTCTGCTCTGCACTGCTCCTCACCCCAAGCATGCATACATACTGATTCCGTTTTTAATGACTCTTTTTTTTTTTTTTTTTTTTTTATAGAGGCATGCTTTATTTATTTGTTTGCTGGTTTGTTTGTTTGTTTTGTTTATACATGCACTGGGTACAGTCAGAAGCGCGGGAGGGTGAGAGAATTCACCAGAGCCAGAGCAGGGAGCAGAGCAGGCAGAAGGACCGAAGTACACTGCTGAGGGGAGCAGCGGGCGGCAGGAGAGGTCTGCACGCCATGTGGGACCCTCCTCCGGTGGCCGGGGAGCAGCCGGGGATCGAACCGGCGCCGCAGAGGCCGCGTGCAGCTTCGCAACCCAGCGCTCAACCGCTGCGCCACCGGGGAGGCCCTTTAATGACTCTTTTATTGACCCATGTTTGTACCTCTTTTATAAATTTTTGAAAATACTTATTACCACCAAAAAAACCTATAGTGAATGTTTTGTACCAGGCATTGTTCTGTGCTCTATTTGGGACAGAAAGTTGAGGTTGGCAGGATCTGTCTTTAGCAGATCTTTATTTGTCTGTAGCTTTTCATTTTCACCTTTAGCCTTTCATTTTCCAGACACTGAGCTCAACACTGAGGGATAGAACCATACACACGTGCTGACTGGCCTCATGGTAATCTCAGCCTGGTGTAGAAATGAGTCTTGATCTGTAGAGGCGTGAGGCACCCTTAGGGAGATAGGTAGGTGCAATAGGTAGGTGCAGGTAGCAGTAACCCATGCTCACTTCTGGCTCTTGACTAGATGGTGCTTTTATTTTGTTGTCACTCTCCATTGTGATTGCCCTGGCTTCAAGTTAATAGCCTGTTAAAAACTTCATTTGAAAAGTAATTTTTAAATGATGCCTGATTGTATTAGGAATAAAAATAATTCTTTATGCTTGGCTATATTGTATATGAAATTAAAGTGGTTAGTAAACAGGACAAAGACATAGTAACTCCTTCCAACATTTGTTTTTCAGTATTTCTTTATGTCCTTCAGTTAATGAAAGAACTTGCCTCCCAAAATCAATGAATTTTAATCACAATTAATAGAGTGACCTTTGAAAACTCATTGGTAACTAAATTTTTGCTTTTTGACTTACAGAATGACATTAAGCAGCCCAAAACCTTAGAACTGGATGTTATTTTATCTGGCATGGCAGTGATAGAAATAATCCTTTTCTGTGTCTCTCATCTGGAATGTCAACCAATTTGAAAGACTACAGTTAACTGAAAGATTAGAGGAGTAGTCCATGTAAAGTTTGAAGCTGGAAACGTCTCTGAATTGGCCTTCCGTTTTATAATTTTAAGAAACTTATCTGGCTAAATAAGCATTTCTTAACTTTAGTATAAATAGTTTTTTTAAGATGTTTTTCTTTAGGAGCAATCTGTTCACATCTTTATAATGTTTTATTTTTATAATTAGATACCCCTTTTCATTGTCTTCTGATTTGTTTTATCAGTGAATGGCATATAGTGGAGGAGATGCCAAGAATGGGGTTATGTAGTCTTCAGAGGTACTGATAATGCCAACCACTTTGTAAAGTCATTACACCTATTTACACTACACTATTAGGAGATAATGTTAAATTTCAATTTGTTCTAATAGGATGGCTACATCATAAATGATTTTTTAAAAAATAAACTTGAATTACTTTAAGGAACCTGAGGCCTAAACTCACATGCTTGTAAGCACCATTTTTCTGACCATCTGTGATGTCCAGGAACCATAGGATTCAAGAATCTTCTAAGGCTTCATAGGGCCCAATATGTAGACCTCCTGGCTACTGTGTACAGATCCACGTGAGAGAAAGTCTGGGTTCAGAAAGGTGGAAGCCAAAATAACAGCTCCAGAATAAAGAGGGATCTGTAAGGAGTGTGTAGCTTTATATTTATAGCCAAACAGTGACTTGCCAGTACTGTACAGCAGATTTAAACAGATTTTACTAGTCTTTACTAGGTTGACACAGCTGGAGAACCACAGGTCTGCCTTAACAAGGTAGGTCATCATTTTAAATAGAGAACAGAACAAAAGATACTTTTTACAGACAGGTGGGCTTCCCAAGACTGTGCTGTTCTCACTCAATTCTTTGCCCTAAAATGATCAGTCAGATGAGTCAGCTCAGTGTTAAGCTAAAGCTTAGGCACATATAAATGAGTAGCACCCCACTGTTCTTGACACTGGCTGCACATTAGAATTTCCTAGGAGTTCTGCTTTAAAAACACTGGTGCTTGGACTTTACCACTCATCATTAAGTCATATTTTGGGGGTGGGCAGAGGTGAGGAGTGGGAAGGCAGAAACAGTTGGTGCTCAGTGAAGTGTCCCGGTGGTCATAGTTCAGTGTGGAGAACCATTGCCGCGAACTGAGTCAGCTACTATGGTAACTTGAAATGGAGCACCACCTTCTTTCTGTTAGCGCACTTGGCAGTCAGAGCTGTGCCAGGACTGCTTTAGAGTCGCCAGGTGTCACGTCCTTTATTAACACATTTAGATTAGTTTGGCTTAGGGGGGAAAAGCTCTGTGTATCCTGGGGTGTTCCTGTGGCCTCTGCCCTATGGACAGATTTTGGGCTTGGCTTTGGTGACTTCTTGCCGGAGCATAGCAAAACCTGCAGATGCTGTTCCCTGGACAGCTCCTAACCCACGTTACAGGAGATTGTTGCAAGGCAAGAAAGCCTAGTAAGTTCCTCTTCAGCCAAATACACTTTATCACTGTTATGCTGTGTGGCAAAAAGTATATTCCATAACTCTACCATCCATTGCAATTTTTTTCTCAAAGTAATCTATAATTTGCTTTTGACTTCTCAGATTATTACTAAAAACACTTATTGTTTACACTGAAACTATTTTTTTGCTACTTTTATTTAAGGTTTGTTCTTCAACTAATATTAGTTTGTAATTACATTAGTGTATTTGTTGATATTAATAACTGGAATGCAATTTGATCATCTAATTGTCCACTTAAATTTCTTTTCCATATTAAAATAGCTATGTTGTAGGAAGTTCTGTGTATGTAGAAGTCTGCCTTTACCACATTTCGAACAAAATTTGTTTTTCTTCTGTCATTACCCTTTTAAGAATGGGCAGCAGCTCTATCGGCATATATATTTGGGCTGTAAAGAGGAAGACAATGTGCAGAAAAACTATGAGCTACTTTATACCTCTCTTGCTCTCATGACGATTGAATTGGCAAATGAAGAAGTGGTTATCGATCTCATTCGATTAGCCATTGCTTTACAGGTATGCTTTTTTAAAAATTATTATTTAGACACCAGCCTTAAAGTATTGCCTTTGTCCAAGAACATGAATTTTAAAAGGGAGGTTTCTACTTAAGATCTTGCTCACATTCATTTTCTTTGAGCAAATGGCGAGTGAACACTGACTGTGTGCTAAATATCGGTTAAGGCCCTAGCACACTGTGATGGAAAAGGTGACACCGACCTGTGCTCACACTCTCAGTACAGTTGGGAAGAGCTTCATACATGAGAATTACACATATGCAGTTATTTAGTTGGAGTTTAAATGTTGTGGCCCAAAGAAGAGTAAGCAGCAGGGCTATCTCTGTATCTGGAGGGGGAGTGGGGAAGGGTGTGTGTGTGTGTGTGTGTGTGTGTGTGTGTTTCCCCACTCCCTTGGCCCCTGAGGTCCTGCCTAAGGAAGAGCTATTGACGTTGCAAGATTTAACTCTCCTGTAAATGGGCATTTATTCTCCTGGTCATAATTAAAAAGTAAGTACCTTCTTATAAGGTGACATTTTGGTTAACATTCCAAACGGCCTCCAAGTCTTCAGTGTAAGCACAGAGAACATGCTAGTGGCGTGTGCATGACTTTGAGCCCTCAGCTGTGCCTGTGTCTTCATACAGGACAGCGCCATCATCAATGAGGACAATTTGTCCATGTTCCATCGTTGCGGGATCATGGCTCTGGTAGCAGCGTATCTCAACTTTGTCAGCCAGATGATCGCTGTCCCTGCATTTTGCCAGCATGTTAGTAAGGTAATGTATTTAGAAGAGACCTTCAACTTCAGTTATATAGAGGAAGGACCAATTTTTTTATAGTGATAATTTTTAATTTTGATAATGATGTATCCACTTAAGGTAATGTTATCCTGTGAATAAATAGAAACTGCTGCTAAAACTACACTTAGTGTTTATTATGTATTTTCTTTGATGCCTATTTTGTTAGAATTTTTTTAATGTAATGGTTGAGTAGACTACATGGTTTTCTTCTAGAATGCTTAAATTCTCATATAATTTTTTTCATTTTAACCATTAATAATAATAGTATATAGGGCCTCCTTGGTGGCGCAGGGATTAAGTCTCAGCACTATCAAGCTATCGCCAGCCACTGCAATATGAATTCAATCCCTGGCCAGGGAGGCTGACCCGCATGGTGCAGCAGACCTCTCACCTCACCCGCTGCTCCCCTCAGCAGTGTATTTCAGTAGATCCTCCTGTTCTGTGCCCCACTCTGTCTCTGGTGAATCCTTTCACCCTCTGCACCTGTGGCTCTGGCCTACACCCCAGTTCTTGTATGCATAAATAAAAAAAAAGCATTTAAAAAATAGTAGCATATAAACATTCTTAGATTATACTATTTTTGTTATTGTTATTGTTTTAGTCCAATCTACTTGAACTAGTCAACTCCAAAATTTGCCTCTCAGATTTACCCTGTGTCATTTTGCTATTTTCAGTAGTAATTCATTAGTTACTTGCATGTTTTTACATTCAAAATTCCTCACTTACATGGTAAAAAAGTCCACTGTAATTTTTATTCTTTAAAGACATCTGTCAGAGAGAAGCTCCTTTTTATGAAATTGGAAGTACATCTCTGAGTCACCTCAGGTTTCTAGTATATTGTGAAAAACTCATTCATTCATTAACCCTTGCACTCCGAACCATTCTGGACATTGGCTACCAGGTACTCGACGCTACTTTGCGGCGGAAACGTGCATTTACAGACCCTCGTATTATTCAGTATAATTTTGGAACCAAGTAACATATTATAATGATATTGGACTTATATGAATTGGGTGACATCGAGGAATGTATATTTGCAAAAAAACCAATATTTTATTGTTTATAATTTTGTACAGTATGATAAGTTTTGTAACATTCCCCAATATGCATTGCAGGCTGATGGAGTGCATGTTTGACATGTCTGTATAGAGGTCTATCTGGAGCTCATCTTCACTACTACTTGTGTCATGAGACTCATTCGTGGTTGGACGCTTTGCCATTGTTCTAATAAAAAATATGAATAAATGCATGGGTTGAAAATTTCTAATTGTTATTACTAACTGACAAGATGATATTTACCAAAATAGCTTTCACCAAACAATTTATTCACTAAGAAAAGAATCACTTTTCCGATTTTCTCCTCGTTAGATCTATGTGCACTGCTCGAAGCTTCAAACCACAATGAGCTCAGCTTTGAAAATCTTTTCCTCCAGATGTAGACTTGTTTATTTGTAATTATATATCTCACTATACAGTGCGCGCTATGTTCGAAAACCGACTTTTCTTCTACAAACTCCCCTTATCGCTCTTTTCAAGTGGCGTCACGAAGTGCTCGGACCGTCGTGAGCTTATCGCTCTTTTCAAGTGGCGTCACGAAGTGCTCGGACCGTCGTGAGCACGCATCTCACGTTCTCGCCCGACACAAAACCCGCTGACATTTCTTGTATATATCTTAGTAATTTTATGATATTTTGATTTAATTTCTTGTGCCATTTCAAGATAAAACTTCAGGGAAACATGCATGTCTCAAAAAGTTGCGTTGAAATAACTCAATTCCCCGTAATCACTAATAAATTGCAATGTCCCCTGAGAGGGGACATCCGAGTGATATGCTAGAATTCCGATGTCCCCTGAGAGGGGACAGCGGAGTGCAAAGGGTTAAACAGTGTTTGAGTGAATAGTCGACATCAGTCACTGGAGATGCAACGATTAGGCTACCGAGTACCCTGTGTTGCTCACAGACAAGCAGAGGAGCCATGGCGCTCACGTGCCCTGAAGCTTTGTGCCCATGCTGCGGAACACAATGAAGTTGGATGGGCCTGGCAAGGGCCTGTGCTTCCTGACGCAATTTCCAAGTAGTGGCATTTGAGAAAATGCATCCCATTTTGTTGTCATGGCTTTATTAACTTGTTAAATATTTAAGATAATAAATGTGGGGACAAAGTGAACTCTGCATTTGGGCTGTCAACATAGCTTAAGTTCCAAGATAAAGTGATGTCATTTCTTAATAAATGTTCAATTTTTTGTTTCTGTTCCTTTTGTTTTCCAAATTTTCATAGCAATATCCTGAGGCGAGGTTTTTGATTTTTGTTTTGTTTTTGGATATTTTTTCAGGTTATTGAAATTCGAACTATGGAAGCCCCTTATTTTCTACCAGAACATATTTTCAGAGATAAGTGCATGTATGTTAATTCTTTACATTTTAAAGAAGGGGTGCTGAATTGAGAAACCAATCAGTGATTATAAAAGAGTAAATTATTGTTAAAATGATGTTCTGCTGTTTCATAATGATTCCTTTGTGTTTCTGTCAATTCATCTAACTTCCTCCCCTTGCCATGAAAGTTCTTGTATACTACAAATGCAGACTCATGCATTGAGTCAATCTTTGATGACAAGACTTACTGTTTTTAATGTGGAGAGAAATCTCTTAAATACAGAATATGTTCTCATATAGAAAGTGACACTCCTTTCAGAGTACAATATCCTGTTCACGACTTTGAACAATAGATAACAGTATTCATAAAATTGTGAGAGAAGGAATGTATTAAGGAAAGTCAATAAGTTATGCACTGCATTCTTCTGTGCTGTCCAAACAAAAAATATATATGAACATTCTTTTCAAAAGTTTCATTGAAACTGTTGGGCTCTAAAAGCAGTTTAATATTGAAAGTGTCAGATTAAGATTATATCAAGCAATTTGAAGGAAAGTGAAACCTTTTGTGATTGGGCCACTGCTTCCCATCGCTGATTTTCCTGATCTGCTTTTCATTAAAAGTCAGTGAGATGTCAAGTCAACAATACTTTCATTTTCTTCTCTCAGATTTTTAATGAGTATGAAAGTTCATGCTGAATTTAGTCCTCTTCATTTAATGTGTGAAAACCAGAAGAATAATGTAAGGCTGACGGTACCATTGGAATGTTATAGGGGGGAGGATCCTAGCAGAAAGGTTAATGCCATGTGTATTTAAAGAACTCAAATTAGTCATCTCAAAGATACTGCTTTTTCTATTACAAATAACAGTTTAAGGTGTACTAGTAGCAATCTAAGTTGTATTTATATTATTTAGGCTTTGATCGAGAATGTTCGCCTGTTAATTTACTTTTTGCTCAATAATAAAATAGTACTGAGTGACTTTTGTTCTGATCAACTCGACAGGCTTCCAAAGACTTTAGAGAAGCATGACAAAAATTTGTACTTTTTGATCAATAAAATTTCTGAGTCACTGGGTGGAAGTGGCTATAGTGTTGACAGACTGTCCGTGCCATATGTCCCGCAGGTCACAGGTAAGAGCAGGACTCTTACTCTATGATAATGGAGATTTTCTGCTAACTCAGCAGTGAGAATTGTTTGTGTGCTTATATATCACTGCTTTTTAAAAATACTTTAGAGGGCTTCTATTTTAAAAGTTTGTTCTTAAAAATCTTTAACCTCTAAAGGCATGATTTTATCATGAGATTGTTGAGTCTTCATGTGATTAGTATTGCTATTATTTATGCTTAATATGTTAGTATACTTAATAATAAAACTATAAACAAAAAGGCAGAATAAGATCTTTCTTATTTACCAATATTATATTTAACAAATGGAAACTGATGAAAATTGTTTAATTAGTAATTTGTGATTATTGAACTTAGTGAAATAGGCAGTGTTTTTCCTTCTGAAAGAGTACAGATTATTGGTAAAGAAACCCGCAAACTTTTAATTTAAGAATATGTGCTCCTCTGTGCACTGTCTGTTTCCTTCTGTTCTCGCCATTATCTAAAATGACTGTTGCGTTTCAACCCAAAACTGAATGGTGACTTGTACTCAGTATTACTTTAAAAGCTAATCAATGAATTTCTATATTTGATTTTCATTTTTATTTGATCATTGTATAAATATTAGTTGATAGAGGAACTAGTTCTTCTTTTGGGCATGCAGCTCTGTTCTATAAGGGAACTATTTGTTAGATAGTTTTCTATATTAATCACTAGGTAGTTTTCTATATTAATCACTTAAAAGTGGCACAATCTTTCTAACTACCTATCTTTTTAATAATGTGGGCCCAAATGTATACTTTTATTACAGTAATAGTCGTGCATAATTCATGAGATGTTAATGAATGTTTTCGCATTTTCTTTTAAATTCCGTAGTATAAAAGATTCTATTTCTCATGAATTCCATGGGAGAAATAAAAGTGTTAAGAATATAACATTAGTAAAACTGTGTAATTTTAAAGATTTTTTTAAAAAAAGACTTAAAAAATATTTTGTTCTTATAATTTGGGTCAGCTCTCTTTTCTTCAGGCAAAAAGCCTCATAAGCCCAGGCACAGGTACAAAGGTAAATCCTATGTCAGTTGACTTGCCCTTTCCCTCACCTGTCCCCCAGGAGAGCAGCTTAATAAAATGTGCCTTTTCAACACTGGACCAGTGACCCTTGTGTTTTATATACTGATAAGTTTGGTTACTGCTTTGCTCTCTTTTACCCATAGCTGTAGTGTATTTCCTCCCCTTGTTATTTCCTTTTACCCTGCTCCTCTTCCTCTTCGCGGTGTTTAATGACTATCTGGTACTTTTATTTTAAATAGGTAGTTGGTCTTCCCCCAATTTCAGAATATTTTAGTATATACTTAGTTAAATAACTGCAGAGGAATCCCTTAATGTGATGCGATTGATCTGTTTTTTTTAAAGACTTTGATAACCAGTGTGTGCTACCTGTGTCCTCTCCCAATGTGGAAGGTGTTGGAAGAGACAGTGATAATTTATGGAATAATCAGTCAATTTTGAAATTTTCCTTTTGCTGTCTAACCAGCAGATATTCACTTTAAAAAATTGAAGAAAAATATATCCAAAGGAAAAGCGTAACATACTTAGTCTGCTGGGTATTAACGCATGCACCCACCATCATCAAACAGTAGCTGCTATTTATCTATATATATGAAAGCACTTCCAAGAACTGCAGAATGCCATGTAATTATCAAAATGGTGTTGGGATTTTTCAATGTCTTAATCTTGCAGTTGGCACTTAGAATTTTGTTCTTTTGTCTTACTGATTAAAATCTTTATAATGCATCACTGTTTTTATCTTCTTTATCAAATTCTCCATTATTTTCCAACCAATATCTGCTTATAAAAGTATTGCCACGTATGGGTCTGTTTTAAAGTTTATTTGTGTCCTTTTCTTACACTGACTTTTTATTCCATGATGAAAATGACTTGTGGTTTCTTTGTATTTATCAGTGTATTTTAGTGCTAGATGGAATTTTGTTTTGCTGTAGCACCTAAAAAGTTTATCTATGTGAGTTTTATCAGCATTAGACTGTGACATTTTGAATTTTGTGTACATAAAATACCTGTGAAATTTCATTTTGTCACAGTTAGCTTTTTAATGGAAACTGAGTGGCATAGTAGTTGTATTTACGTTTATGATTTACTGTATACAGTTAAGCCGGTTCCTAGATTTCATGTTTTATACAGCCAGAGGAAAATGGATTGAGAGTAATTTAATGTGCTTCTGTGCCAGATTATATTCCTGTAGTTTTCTCTAGGCTGTAACCATCTGCCTGCAGTTCTATACATTCTATGCAGATACACCAGGTGGCAGCAGAATATCACTGAAGGAAGTGAGGCACTGCTCTCTAAGCACTGCTCCTAAAATGCAGGTTCTGGTAAAAAACAAAAGGAATAAATGTGAGCAACAGATAGGGGAAGGGAGGAGGGAAGAGGGATAGGAGATGGGCAGGGCATGGGAGTGGAGTCCGGCACTATCCCAACTCAGCCTGCGCAAGGGGGAAGCAAGGGTCTTGCTGGGGGGGTGGCAAGTTGGTCATATCAGACAGTGACAGTGAGGGCAGTTTGCTAGCGCCACCTGGCAGTCTGGCCCATGGAGGCTGCAGCAAGACTGGGTTTCAGTAGTCTTGGAAAGCAAGATGTAGACGGCTTATGGGAACATACCTTTCCCAGGTTCTATTTGAGAAACCTTTTTGTGCAGTGGCACGAGATATCTGATTATAGTTGTACCTGGATTTTCTTCAGTCACCTGTAAGCAGGTGACTATGTAGGTCAAAAGGAAAAAAGCTCTGAGAATAGAGTTTCCTGTTGAATTTTATTTTCCTCCCTTTTAAAATTTCTGATCATTTTTTAAAATCACTGCCCGCTCTACTTTCCTTCTGTCCTCTTTGGTTTTGCCACTCATTGATCCCTGTCTGCCCCCACACTTTCTTTCCTTTTTATTTTTAACTTAGGTTTCAGTTTGACTCTTCTCCATGAGCCTTTGTATATTAACCTAGAAATTCTTTTATGAGGTTTTTTTGTGAGAGGCAGGCTATTATTTGAGCCTCATTTTGAGTTCTGGTGAGATCTTGAAAGTTGGCCTAGTTAGACGTTAAAAGCAAGTCAGCAATGATGACCTCATGCTATTTTGTAGCAGTTCCATTGATGTCATTATGTTTGGTAATTGATGTCAGAGCATACATTCATGAAGGATGCATGAAGGAATATAGTGTTTAGGTGAGCTCAGCTCAGAAATAGCCACATACAGGATATAAAACAGTTCATCCTGAAAACTGTAGCAAAATAGTATGTGGTAATTTGTCACAGTTGAGTAATGTATCCATAACTCATAGCCTCCAACCTTCACCATACAGCAGAACCTGGGGGACTCACAGAATTCAGAATATAGACACAAAATACAGAATGTTCTATATTTCTTATATGGTTGGAGAGAGGAGATACTAATTTACATGTTTCATCTACAAGGCCAGTAAGTGGTTCAAGGATGATAATTGAAGTGTGATCAAATCACACTTCAGTCATAACTGATAGTAAATTTCTGTGACTATCAGAGGGATAGGGCCTCCCTGGTGGCACAGGGGTTAGAGTCCCAGCTCTGTCAAGCTATCACTGGCTACTTCAGCATGAGTTCAATCCCCGGCAAGGTTGGTGATCCACATGGCGCTGCAGACCTCTCCTCTCTCCCCGCTGCTCCCCTCAGCAGCTTATTTCTGTAGATCTGCCTGTTCTGCTCCCCACTCTTCGCTGGTGGGTCCTCTCATCCCCTCCCCACATTTTGGCCTTCACTCTAGTTCCTGTATACATAAATAAAATAAATCTTTAAAAAAAGAAAGAGGGATGATTTAAAGAATTAGAGTATTATGTAAATATTCAGGAAGCCATGTAATGTTCAGATTGGTCTTGAAAGGTAAGATTCTTTAAATGAGGTTAGGTAATAAATGTTACCAACAGAGGTGTCGTGTTGTAGAAAAGCCTAGAAGCAGATATGTAAAAACAGGCTCAGAGATTGGAGAATAGGCACATTTGATTTGAATACTAGAAAAATTAGGGTAAAACTGAAGTTACTGTTGGTAAGATCTGATGAGAGAACTAACCATCTTATTAGCTGTTCTCCTAGCACCCTGTACTTCTCCATTATACATTATTATTTGTGAAATTATTTGTGTATTATTTGTATTTTCTGTTTTCCTTGTTAGACTGTAGCTTCTAGGAGGCTGTGGACTACATATGGCAGTCTTTAACACCTGACATGGCTTCTAATCAGTTTAGAGTTGTTGAATGTTGTATGCTGAAGTGGAAAACAGAAGTAGAAAAAAATGTATAGAAGATTTTAATTAAAAGATTCAAATTTCCATGCTATACAAAACAGTACATGCAATGTTTAAGGAGAAAATGGGCTGAGGAATAGAGGGTGAGTTTAGTGATGAGGAAAACAGTGAAGTTGTATGAAAAAACACATTGAGAACAGTAATGGGGGCAGGATCTTTACTGCAGGGGTTTAAGTTTTGTAGGTAGCAAAAGATCACAGCAGTTGGCTCAGATCAAACAAGTAAGCAAGTTAGCAAAAGTGGGGAGAAAAGTAGATTAGCTGGAGTACTGAAGTGAAGAGAAAGATTTTCTGGATGTTTGGTTGAATTATAAAGCAAAAGATCAGGAATCAACCAGTGGGATGAATGATTGGACTTAGGAGAGATGGAGTTGTTAATTAAGTAGCAAATTCTTTTAATCCATAAATTTTAATTCACAGTAAACACTTCTGGATATGGGCCACCCAATTACTGACCTAGAATAAATTGTCAGCTTTCACTGTTTTGTGGAAAAATTAGAGATATAAGGGCAATTATTGTGAGTTTGAATTAAACTGAAATTTTCAGTGTAGATTATGCCCTCCTCTTGGTATTATTTTGACTTTTTGGGGTTTTTTATTTTGTTTTAAGATTTATTTAATTATGCATACAAGGACTGGGGTACAGGCCAGAGGTATAGGGAGTGAGAGGATTTACCAGAGACAGAGTGGGGAGCAGAACAGGCAGATTGACTGAAATACACTGCTGAGGGGAGCAGTGGGCAAGACAGGAGAGGTCTGCTGTGCCATGTGGTTCAGCTCCCTGACCGGGGATCAAACTCGTGCTGCAGTAGTTGCAGATAGCTTCACAGTGCTGACTGAGGCCTGACTTTTGGGTTTTTTATTAAACTTAGATAATGGGTTTTATGTAGCTATTCTAGAAGACTCATTTTGGAAAATAAACTATTAACTATTTCAGTTCACCCTATCAGTTTTACTTTTTAAATCTTCACGAAATTTCAAAGTCTGAAAACATGCTGCTTTATGGTTTAGGAAGAACAAAAATACAACTGTTTCAGTTTTTTTGAAATTTAAAATAGGTAGAGTTTACAAATGATAAACTGTTTCTAACTTGCATGTAATGGGGAAACATTTTTTATTTTAGATGAAGATCGACTTTCTAGAAGAAAAAGTATTGTGGACACTGTATCCATTCAGGTGGATATTTTACCCAACAGCTTTCCATCTGATGATGTGGTGAGTTGTTCCACTTTATGACTTAGTACTATGTTGTGATAGATAACACTTTAAAAGAACTTTTTGTACTGTCAAACTTGCAAACAGGAGCAAATACAACTCTTCATTATCTCTAAATCAAATATATTGTTAGTAGAAATTAATCTGAGTTAGCCTTGACCTTATTTATGATTTATATGACAGAATGCATTTCAGCTATCTATAAAGATGCCTAAATTTAACTTTTATGTATTTGATACCATTAAATTTCACATTCTAATTTGATGTAATCAAAGGAGCTATAAGACAAATAAAGTATTTCATAAGTAAAAAATATTACACAAGGCCTATTATTAAATAGTAGGACTGCTGGATCCTATCATCTTTAATGATTTATGAAAAATAAATTGTGAGAGTAAATGGAATTATACATGCTTATATAAAGCCAAATGCTCACTATTTTCAGAAGCTTTAAAACTTCATCTATGAAGGAAAGATTTTTATGATTTTGGATAGTAAATATAACAAATTTCATGTAAGTTAGGCTGATTGGTGATCTACGTACTCCTTAAGGACTGTGGCTTATTTGAGACTTCGTAGATTTAATACTCTCCTCCTGTTTCAATAGAGCAAGAGAGTGTACCCTCCTGAGTTATAGGAAGAAAAAGCAGCCAGTATTCTCTAGGACTTATTCCACACAAATCACCTGAGAATTTTTTGATAGTCAAGTAAAAATGCCGAAATGCCAACATGTCAAGTCAGCCTCCTCCTCGTGGTTTATCCATTGTTTGCCTTACTAGGTACTTCATTATTTCTCCTTGGTACAATATAAATAATTAAAAGAATATCCATATAAGAAAAGGGGAAGGAAGTTGTCTGAATTCATGCTTTCGCAGCCTTCTTTCTCCACCCTCCTCCAGTCCCTGCCAGCTCATTTGTCTTCAGGTATTAAAACTGTTCGGTGGCCAGGTTACAGCCACGTCATTTTTCCGTGCTACTCAACTGTCTTTTATGTAGAATTAATCAGCTTTATCAAGAAGTTGTCAGCAGAGCATCAACAGTCATTGAAGAGGTGATTAACTTAGAAACTTAGGTTGGTTTAAAGTTTCTTGCCAACTTAATACTCAAGAAAAATCATCTTTCCTAAATTCACCTCTTCAAAGCCAATTTAATTTATACACTTCTTTCTCTCTTGGTAACCCTTTTAATGGTTATGAGTTTGCTGCTGTTACCTTTTGAAGGAAGAAATTCATCTAAAGCCTTCATTTATACATTTTGTCAAGAGTGCAGTATGTTTTATTGACTCATATTTCATTCTTTTGTTAGCCATTTTTATTTCTTTTTAGACATTCATATGTAGCATTTCAAACTGTTGCAAAAAATCAGTTTATTTTGATAAACTGAAAAAAATTGCATGAAGGCATAACACAGGGAGATTCTTGAGCATATATTTAACCTGAAAAGTCCGTTGACACATAGGTTAGCTTTTAAACCTATTGTTTTAAAACCCCTTGTTTTCTCTTTGCTATAAATCCTGAGTCAAATGTGCCTCACACTTAAGCATTTGAAAATTTAAGTGCAATTTATTGTAAGATTTACTTGAATACATTTGTTTCATATTCATTACTATTATGGAATCTAATTTTGCATGTTAAGAATGGTTGTTCAAATCCAGAAGACAGAACAACATTACCTTCTAGGCTAAAACTAATTAATTTCATTGCATGGACAGGAGAAATTCACTTCAGTTACATACTCACTAATTGATATTGCAGCAAAATATGAAATTATGAATAAGTGTATTTGCTAGCAGTGAATCATACATGAAAATTGCTTCTTTAAAAAGAGCATTTTTTTTGTTTGTGATCAAAATTATTTGAAATTTTAAATGCGTAATCCCAATTTATCCTGTTACATCTAATACTGCTTTTAGAGTTTATAACTTAGTCAAAAATTGTTTAAATGAAAATCATAGTAAACTTTTGTTTTTCTTAGATATAACTGTTTCTATAGAACTATTGAATTACCTGTTCCACTTAAGATATATAAGTTCTAATGTTTGCAAATCAAATCTTAACCCACCATGAATCACTTAGTGAACTTTTTCTATAAATTACCCTATGTCTATGTAAAGATACCTAAATTAAATTAATCAAGAAGATAAGTGACTGAAATGGAATAAAGGTATCCCTGCCTTCCTCTGTAGACACGATTAATATACATAATGCACGTACGAGTAAAGCCTGAAATCACTACTTAGTTCTTCTTCCCAAAAGGTAATAGTGCTAAATTATTTGGGGGAATGGATAGGAGGTTATATGTATTACATTTTGAGTACTTATTGTATTTTTCTGGTGTAAAATCAAAGCACTGGTTAATTCTAAAGGATTGTTGTTTTTCCTAGAACACATAACAGAATCTTCATTTTATACATAAATATTCCTGCCTTTTTCCCAAATATAACTGAAGATGACTGTATGTGAGCTAACAAGACAAGAATCTCTAGCATCAAGACAGCTGTAGTAGGTGCTGTAAAATTACTAAAATTATTTTAGTAATTAAAATTAAAATACTAAGTAATTAAAATACTAAAGTAATTTTAGTAATTTTACTAAACTAATTTGTTTGGAAGTGACAACTATTTTGTTTGGAAACAGATGAGTACAGATTTTTAGCAGCCACAGTGGTGTTGTAGAATCTTGGTTAGAGCTATAGATCACGAGCTAGGCAGAAGTCATAAAGAGTAAAAGGGATATTGAAACTCCTATGGGATGGCGCCTGTGCTCCATTTCTCCATAACACCAACACATAGTTTTTCTGCTAGAGTTGGAACAGATTGCAGTTTGCTTGAGCACCAAATGAAATAGGTGCTTTGTATTTAGCAGCTACATTGTATGAAAAATACAAATCATTAAACCTTAAGGTAAAACAATGGGTCTTTATTTATTTTTACATAGGATCCACCAAAGGGAAGGGTAGGATATACAAAATGGAAGTCAAATGTATAAAGGTTTTGTCACCAGGTGGAGGGCTCTGTGTATAATTTGGTAGGGGGTGGGTAAATGCTGAAGTTCAAGCAGTGTCACTGTGAGCCTATGTTTCCATAAAGAAATCTCAGAAATGTGCCTTAGCTAAACTAACAAGAAGAGATTGGAGGTAGAGAGCCAAGTCAGGAGATCTTTGTAATGCTCTTCACTTGAAGAAATTAGGCCCTAAGCCAGAGTAGCCAGGGTGGAGATGAGGAGGAGGGGCAGGAGAGGAGCACCCTGTTCTGGAGATCGACTGGGTGGGGCCAGCAAGTAACATAACAGGATTTTTAGAAACAAGAGTTAGAAAAAAAAAGAAAGGAGGGGACAGAATGACATGGAGGTTTTTGATGGTGGGAGACTGAATCATAAAATCCACATTAAGGGGAATAGGAACAAAGAGGGACAATTTGGGGTGAAGTAGATTAGATTAGAGGGCAAATTAGTTAACTTTTCACTCGGGATTGGGCAGGTAATACATAAAAATTACGTGTAACAAGAATGCTGGCCTTGAACTTCTCTCATGTTCTTTCTCCTATACTGTAGTTGTTTCTCAAAAGTCTGATAAAGCTCTTAACCAGTTGTAAGAACAACAGTGGATTTTTTTCGTTCAAGTGCTAGATTGCTTCTAAGTACAAATTATTGACCAGTCCAAACCTAATCTTGAATATCTGCTCCAAACATCTAGAACAAAGCAACGGAAGATTCCAAAGTTTAATCTGACTTCAACTAGGAATATGAACCCTCAGTAGAAAAACTGAGGGGGTGGAACTCTTGCTGCTTGATTTCCAGCTCAAGCCTTTGTATTACAGAGAAGCTAAGGTGCAGAGCGTGGATTCCTTTGCTTTCATTTAGTCTTGCTGCCTTAGACTTAGCAAAAGAAGCTCAGGAGCTAAAATTAGGGATGACCAGAGTCCCAGGCAAGTACTCATGTATCATTTCTTAACTGTTATCAGAGATACTATAGTAGCTGAAAGATTCCCTCCTGGAAATGGGCTAGTGCCACAATAAGTGTTACTGACATTTTGTCTCTAGCAGTTGATTGTATACCTGTTTTATATCTTAGAGCAAGAGAGAGATTTGAAAACCCCAAGTTAAAGGGTCTTTCTGGAGGATAAGACTTGGTGGTTGACGTTAGAAGATCCAAAATAAGATTATTTTAAGATGTTTATTAACTATACTTATTGAACTCTTCCCAAAGCAGTGATTCTTGCTTTTAAACATTTACAGTTTTAGGCACTTCACTTTTGATTGGTAAACTTTGTGTGGTGCCACAGATACAGAGGCTGTGGAGTGCTAAGTTTTAACTATCTGTGTAATCTCTGCCTTGAATATTTCAAATCGTTGTGATCTGATGAAGCATAGTTCAGCCAGTAGGCCTCAACCGCACTGCACCTCAGGCTTCTGGAAGCTGAGTTGTCATTCAGTGCTGGTTGAGTTGCCTACAAGATGCTAAGCTAATGTTAATAGGTAGACTTATTTGGGGACTCACTATAGTAGGCCTTTGTCATAGCAGTGAAAAAGTGAGCTCGTTTGCATTTGATACCATGGAGCATAATCACAAATCAAGTAAACACAGAAGAAAAAAAATTGTAGACATTCTTAGATGACTTGAAACTAGATGAAGATGCTATTTGTATTGACCTTCTAACTATTTTATTTAAATTCATTTTTCACTAGGTGAGTAACACGGAAGAAATCACCTTTGAAGCATTAAAGAAAGCTATTGGTGAGGTTTTACGCTTATTTAACACTCCTAACAGTTTGCTAGCATATATATATATATATATATATATGTATATTTATATATACATTATGTGTGTATAGTTGAGTTCCATAGAATTGATTTTATTTAGTTGTAAAAGTTTTACAATTGTCTTATCATAGATAATTCTTTTCCTTTGATAGACTGACTTTTCTGGAGTTATGAAAACAGTGGCATTTAATGCCATTAGACCAGCATTTAGGTGGCTTGAATTTAAGAGAAATAATCTTTCATTTCAGATATGGGGATGAAAATTCTGAAAAAGGGAATTTAGTATAACTGGAAGTATGTTTGCAAAGGGGTAAGAGAAAGGAGCTGGCTGGGACTGTCAGCAGGCACGATGGAGAAGCATATCAGTCCTTACTTTTTTATTGATGAGAACATTGAGGCAGAGAAATTAGCAGACCCTGAACTCACATAGCTAGCACATGCTGGAGCCAGATTTCATATCCACATCTCACTATCATTTTTCACTTATCTTTCCATAAAAATATTACTCTGATTTTTTTTCTCTTTTTTCTTTTATGGAAATAAAGCCTCTTAAATAATTTGCCTCTTCATTTTAAAATGATTCCTTTAATTAAGTATTAATATATGAATTACTGCTAGGGTAATGAGGCCTTCATTTCAGTTCACCTCTAATTGGTAAAGGGAGATAGGGTAGAAACTGGCTCTTATTTTTTTCAGGGATGTTAGAATAAGAAAGTCATCATCAAGGGAAATGAAGTGTGAAGTGCTCTGGTGTCCATCATACATGAAATAAACTGCCCTTTTTCTGGCTTCAGCCAAGAGAGAATTTATTTCTGATTATAACGCAGTATCAAATTTGCAAGAATAAAATTAATTGAATTTGGTAAGCAATTTTTGAATGTCCATTATGTGGTCTTTGAGACATGTAAAGAGTAAAACAAATTGAGGGCTATGCAGCATGGACCATGGTTTTCAAGATATATCTGTGGACTCCAAGACAGTGGAGGGGAGACTTTTTCAGGGATTCGTGAAGCTGGTGTTTCCATCATGATGCTAAGACACCTGCCTTTTCACTGCACCCACTGACAACAAGAAAGGCAGTGGCGTCTCTCTGCCTAGTGGTCCTCAGTCACCGGATTCCTCAGCATCACACGCTCCCTGTTACTTTATTTTTTTTTTTTTTTAATTTTTTTTTAAGATTTATTTATTTATTTATACAAGCACTGGGTACAGTCAGAAGCACGGCTCCCTGTTACTTTAAAACAGCAAGATTTTACTTAAGATTCCCTGATGAACCAGTATAAATTACCAGTTTTATTAAATTGCAACTCAGGAGTACAAGTCTTTGGGAAGTACATATAAAGCACTTTTTGATTGCCTTCGTTTGCGAAGAGCACCATTTTCACTGGGAAAAAAAAAAAGCTGACAGAAAACTTATGATATTTCGCAGACATTTTCTGGAAAATAAATGGAGTGAGGCTGTCACTTGAGGAGAGGAGAAAAACAACACCCTCTGACAGTATTTGTTCCCAATGATAAAATTAGCACTTTAGAACAAAATTAGAATTTTGAAACTTGTGCCTGTCACTGTGAATTTGACAGCTCCCGATATTTAAAGACTTTTCTAATGAGATCAGTGGTAATAACTAATGAATGTGATTTTTTTAAAAACACTTTATTATGAAAGGTGTCTGTATGAGTCAGTGGACTAATATCCCAAATGACCTTTGCATGAGATCACAGAATCATGCCTGAGGAAAGGTCTCTTCAGACAGTAAGAGACGAAGGCACTCGCCCTGGCCAAGCTCAGAAAGTGTACTCACAGGCTTCACATTCCATATTGCAGCTGACTTTTAAGAAACAATCACTTGTCAAGTTTTGCTGTGGTGTCTAAGAAGAAATACAATTAAGTGAAAAGTCTATTAAAAGACTCCCCTTTCCCAGTACTTCCCAGTACAGATCTAGATTGTCTTTCTGTACTTCAACGAGAATAACTTACTGTGTATCCAACGGCCTTCCATTCAGCCAGACATTAGAAAAATTTGCAAAAATATAAAACAATGCCAGTCTCTTCTTTAAGTTTTTTCATTTTCAAAGATGTTCTTTCACAAAATGTTACTTATGTTAACACAATTATTTCATTCTTTTTAAATGTTTAAAATTTCTCAATTTTATGTACTAATATATAGAAGGTAAAAGATTTAACACATTAATAAAAAGCTGGTTGGTGTTCTCAGTAATTTTTAAGAGTATAAACAGTCTTAAAAACCAGAAAATTTGAGAACTGCTACAATGGAAAGCAACCTCTATGCCACTAGGCCAGATTTAGGTGCAAATATTATTTTTATGTAGAGAGCCCAAATACTTCGGACATGGCTTGTGCTCAGCTTGCCCACATTTACCTGAACATCTGCTGCTTTAACCTGCTTGATTTAAACATTTCAATCTTCTGCCAAGCCCTAGACACACTTGATGTCACTCCAGTCCTGCGATCATAGTTCTGTGTTGTAATCAGTAGGTTAAGTCTTCAATTTTGTTAACCTGCCACAATCTCAAAGGGAAAAAACAACAACAATGCCCACTTCCTTTCTGCCCACTATTTCCAATTTTTAAAACTGTAATTTTTAGTTTGTCCACTTGAAAAGCAGCTTTGTGTAAGGAAGCGTGGGCACAGTGCATGTCTATGAAACTCTCAGCTGGGGAAAAAAAAAACAAAAAAAACACCCTTGAGGAATTACTAGCTGTTACCAGTAGATGAATTGATAAGCCACTAAGTAGTCTTTTCATTGTCTTAAAAAAATAGGCCCAGTTACTGTATTAGTAGTGTCAAAAAGACATCTTATTTTACTATCTTACAAACTTTGGCCAGACCACATCATCTTCAGATCAAGCAAACAAAACATATCTTTGGAATTGTGGTAACGGTTTACTGGCTGAGACGGTTCCGTTCAAGTGTCCCTGTTCGTATTGCAGTTAGGCATTCAGTGTCCAGTTTGGCACACGTTTTATTTAGCACCTTATAGGTGCAAAGGGATAGTTATTAATAAAAGCATCATCTTTCATGAAGGTCCTTCACCTGTAGAAAATTATCCTGCTTTTTTGGAAAGGGAGACGGCGATCATCTGTGAAGAGGAACCGGTGCTGTGTAGTTTAGATTTTTTTTTTTTTTTTAAATATGTGTGCTTTCTAGATTTAAGATGTGGCAAGGATTTATGCCTTTTCTTTCCTATGAAAGTAGTCCTGAAAATTGCCTTTAATTTTAGTTTATAGATCATTTGCTCCTATGGCCATCTGCCAGGTTCTGTGAGATTCTATATTTCTTTTAATGGGTCTTTGTAAACACTTACGTAGATACCAATGGAATGGAAGAGCAGGAAAAGGAGAAAAGGCGGCTTGTGATAGAAAAATTCCAGAAGGCACCTTTTGAGGAAATAGCAGCGCAGTGTGAATCCAAAGTAAGTGAACCAGTGGTGAAGGGAGAGGGAGTAGAGTTCGCTTTTGTGGAAACTTTCTTGGTCATTGTTGAAGGTGCCAAGCTGCAGGCTCAGGAGAGCACAGGCAGTGCGTCTGGTCACTGTCAAGGCAGAGCTGTGACGGACGCGCTGTGAGCTGATGGAAAGGCACATCCCAAACTGAATGTTAATGACTGTTAGCACTTTGATACTTTTTTTTTTTTTAAAGATTTATTTATTTATTTATACAAGCACTGGGTACAGTCAGAAGCGCGGGAGGGTGAGAGAATTCACCAGAGCCAGAGCGGGGAGCAGAGCAGGCAGAAGGACCGAAGGACACTGCTGAGGGGAGCAGCGGGTGGCAGGAGAGGTCTGCACACCATGCGAGACCCTCCTCCGGTGGCCGGGGAGCAGCCGGGGATTGAACCGGCACCGCGGAGGCTTCGAGCAGCTTCGCAACCCAGCGCTCAACCACTGCGCCACCAGCGAGGCCCTGCTTTGATATATTTTTTGTAGTGGTCTCCAGTAATTTTACTGTGGGTATTTTGTTTTGTTTCTGTTGGTTTGTTTTTAGTAGTGAGACTCAAAAAGGACTGAAAGAACCGTTAAATTCCAATATGAGACAGATAAAACCAAAATGTTAAAGCCTTCGAAGGTGTGATCCGCTTAATTGCTATAATTGTGCGTTTTCCTTTAAATTGCATTGTTTTACATATGGGTATTTGGAAAATAATAAACCCATTCTTTTTTTCCCTTTGTAGGCAAATTTGCTTCATGATAGACTTGCTCAAATATTGGAACTCACCATACGGTAAGGGTTTTCTTTTTTCTTACTACAAAAAACAAAATGGAAAATTTTAGACCCCTATAAATTTGTGGCTAGGTAATTTTTTTTAAGATTTATTTATTTATACAAGAACTGGGGTACAGGCCACAGGTGTGTACCCCATATACACACCTGTGTGTGTATATAAATTTGTGGCTAGGTAATTTTTTTTTTAAGATTTATTTATTTATACAAGAACTGGGGTACAGGTCACAGGTGCAGGAGGGAGAGAGAATTCACCAGAGACAGAGCAGGGAGCAGAACAGGCAGTTGGACTGAAAACACTGCTGAGAGGAGCAGTGGGCGTGACAGGAGAGGTCTGCTGCACCATGTGGGTATCTCCCTGGCCGGCCAGGAATCGAACCCGCGCTGCAGAAGCTGCGGACAGCTCCACAGTGCTGCACCCACCCTGCCGCGCCACCAGGGAGGCCCTGTGGCTAAATATTTTTAAGTTATGGTGCTTTTCATTTAGGATAAGCAAAAGTTCCTACCTTTCAATTACAATATAGCCAGATAATGAAATACCATCAGAAAGGATAATGCATGCATGTAAAACAGAACTTTTGCTAATGAAACAAAGCAAGCTTGCAAGAATGGGTGTAGTGTTATCCCATTATAGAAAGCTATATACATATACACGCACACATCTCTTCGTGTATATACATACATCTGTATATCCAAACACACAGACACAGGGAAATGTCTGGTCAAGACTTAAAAACAGCTTGGTACTATGAGCTACTTCCTTGGAACCAGCTGGCGACTTCACGTTGATCTCTGCAGTGAAGGATCTGCATGCTGTGCTGTGCTGTTTGCATTCTGCTTCACAGGGTGCTCTGTGAAATGAACCGCTCTCAAATATGCTCTTGACCATGCTTGTTCTTCTTTTCCAGCCCTCCTCCCAGTCCATCGGGAACACTGACCATTACTTCCGGGCATGCCCAGTACCAGTCTGTCCCAGTCTATGAGATGAAGTTTCCAGATTTGTGTGTGTACTAAGCAGCTCATGAAGACCTCAGCATAGGACTTTAAAAGCTAAAAATTGAGGCCAAACTGAGTTTTCAGGATTTACTTAATGTGTAGTAACATATTTCTTGAAAATAATGATGGAACCTATTTTTAACCAAATGCTTAGCATACCATAGCAGAAATTTTAGAACTATATATAATTTAGAGTACTTTTGAAGATAGATTTATGCCTTGTTAATTTCTTCTGAGATTCCTGTTGGCTTTTAAAGTTGAACCTATGTAGGTCTCATATTATTCCATTGTTCAATAGTACATTTTAAAGATTTCACAGAGATTAACAACAAAATAAGCCTCCAGAGGGTTGAAAATACATGAAGCATCTACTGTATTTTGTGAACTTCTACACAGCTGCTTAGAAATAGCATTGCTTTTGTTTTTGGTCATCTGCAAAAGCAAGTAAGCAAATGTATCCCTAGTTCCGGGCTGCACAACTGTTCTGCAGCTTGCGCCCCATGGTTCACGTGTTGTGGTTGGCCTCCCGCTGCTTGTCGCTGTGATGATGTGTGATGGCAGTCCTCCAGTGTGTGTAATGATGACCTCTAATGAGTAATATCCTAGAATATGACCTTAAAAATCACCAGACTTTAAAGTATCTAGTTCTTGTAATACTTTGTTTCTGCCAAGGGTTTGACCATTCTACATGAGAGGCTTAGAGCTTACTCTTGGAGTACCAAACTGTGGAATATTTTTTACATCATAAGATGTATTAGTTTACAGACTATGCTTTGAAATAATAGTAGTATTTTGCTGTGGCTCCATTGATTAAATGAGATATATATTTAGTATAGGAAAAAGACATTTAAGACAACTACTAGTTCACCTGTGAAGAGTGTGTACATTTTCATTCCTATTAAAAGCACATTAATTTACAGTCCATGTTGTGCATTGTTTTAAATCCTCACAGTAAAAAAATTCCCCAAGCGGACTTTTAATTTTTAAGATTTGAATTATAACTGGCATTCATCTCTTTTGGGGGTTTCTTATATTACATTTGAAAGGAGTACCTATCGTTTTAGCAGTCCCAGGGGTTAAGGGTCGCGTTAGGCTTCTGTTGACGGAAGCTGCTGCGCTGGCGCATGCTCTCTGCACGTGCAGAGTGATGCCGTGGCATCAGGTGCATCTCGGGGAATCCATCCGCAGCTGCAGCGAGCAACTTTCTTTGCGATGCTTATATAGTGCTTGGAACATTTTTTATAAAGTCACCCATTTATAATACTACTTGTTCAGGTTTGATTTCTTTATACATATAACAATATACATATCAAAACTGGTAGCTAAAAATTTTCAATTTTTACCTTTGGTTTTGTTTGAAATAATGCGGTTATTTATGAAATCATCATAAATAATGTTTATGATGATTTGGGCAACACTCGTAGAACCAGAAAAAAGTAAAGAACAGCATCATAGAACAGGATACTCTGATTTTATTTTTTAAGTATTTAAGATTACAGCAACTTGAAACATCTTCCAAAAAGTGCCAGTTATTAAGCCTATAAAATGATAGTCAGATATCCTGGACGTTTAGTAGTTGTAGGTAAGCAAGACCTGTTTCCAGAGAACAGTCATCACCGTGGGGCTGCCTGGCCTCATTGCAGCTCTCACTGTAACTTTGCCTGTTGATCACATAAAAAGTTTCACCCTTTAATAGACCAAGTTTACTTTTTTTTAAAATTCCTTTTTGTTTTTTGGTATTTTTAAAGAAGGACATTAATTTTTGACTGCATTTTAAAAAAATCTAAGCAGGGGGACATGCAAAAACAATCATCATCCTCTTGGATGTCATTTTACAGATTAACACTGTGTGCTTTTGTATGAAAAGATATATAATTTAATAGTATAAGAAAAGAAGATATATATTCATTTGCTCTCACGCAGAACAAACTGCTCTACAGAATTTCCTGTTTCTCTGTGATTAAAAAATGCATGTATTGCACGTAAAGAAAAATCATTTCGGTCAACGGCCATCACTTTCTTGGGGTCTGTTTGTAAACTGTTAATTCGGTTTCTGGTTTTGAGGCCCAGTCGTCTTCGGTGTCACTGAACTTGTCCAGTTAACAGTGATTCCCAAGAAATGGGTCTTCACTGGGCTGTCTCTTCCAGGGCCGCAGGACACCTGCGGGGAGGAGCTGCATGCTGTACGGAGTCGGTGTAGAGACGGAAATTTAAGATGCGTTGACGTTCACTGTATTTTACTATATTTTTGTAGATATTTAAAACTTTAATAAACTTGTTCATTCTCTTTTTGTGGTATGCAGTTGCTGGTATCATTCCTTTTTCTTTCTCCAACATTGAATAGTAAACATCTAAATGTTCCTCCTAAACTTGTGTTGTCTTTGACTGTTCACATCGTTTGTTGGTGGGTTTACCTGAACACACACACATCCTTCCTTAACACTTCTGCGCTTGTTCTCTTCAAATAATACTATATTAGCAACTAACTGCCCCCCTTCAGAATGTTTTCCTGTCTGAAAATGGAACACATTTGTCCTATTCATGCCATGTATGTAATAAATGTAATTGTTTTGAAGTGTAAAATTCACTGTGCAATTCATACGTAAGCAATAAAGCAGTCAAATCACTCCTGTTTAAGTACTTTTTATAATAGCTATTATTACATTTATTAGGTTAAATTTACTCAATATTTCACTTTCCTTAAAAATGAGCTTTGGTGAAAACCGAGTTGCCCAGCGGTTTCCTGCTCCCCTAAACCGGAAGCCGCCGATCCGGAGTCGCTGGTCGGGGGAGGCGGCTGGGAGCAAACGCGGGGTGCGCTGGTGGGAGCGGAGGTGCCGTCTCTGCCTCAGTTTCAGGTTTGTCTTCTCAACCCTGTGTCCTTGAGCTGTAAATGAGTGAAATCACCACCCTCTGGCCCCTGGTTTGCTGCTTCTGCTACTCACCGCTGTGCCTGGGCGCTGAGGGCCTTCAGAGGCTTCACGTGATAGAAAGTGGGGAAGGACAGACTGGGGGTTCGGGTGCAGCCCCACCTCCAGGCCGGTGGATTTTGGCCCGTGACTGAGCAGAGTGAGCTTTGACACTGGCCTCCGCCCCATTTAAAACACACACACACACACACGCACACGCACAGAGTCTGTGTGCTTGGCTCTCACAGGCTCTTTCCAACTACAACTACACCAGGTACGTAAGTTATGTCAGTACCAAGTTCAAGTGAGCGCAAGAGCAGAACCAAGTGGGAACATCCTCATGTTCCAAGTCTCCTAGTTCTGCTCCATTCGGTGCTTTACACTTAGCTGCCGAGTCGCACCATCGGAAAGGCCCCGTCTTGGCCGAGGTTCCCCTCCGCGGCCAGGACGGTCTCCGTGCAGGGGCTACTTTGGGAAATGACCCCGGGATGCGCAAAGGACGGCGTGGAGCAGGAGGACTTCACTGCACGGCTTTTCCTGGACTGCCCGTCACAGCAGGTGCCTGGAGGTCCGTCCTCGTGGACACTCCGAGGAGCTCATGAAATCTCACAGCTGTCCACCCAGACGCTGGGAGACGGGAAACCATGTACCCTTCGGCTTCTGCTCTTCACGATCAGGGTGACCCTGTTGGGGATCGATGCCCCACCCCATTCTGGATTGTGTGTGCTTGAATGTGCGGCCCGACTCTGAGAACACGCGCTGCGAGAAGGTGCGGAAGGCGGGGGGCCCTGCAGGGCGGAGGGGGCCCGGCGGGACTGGCTCTCACAGCCTGTCCTGGGAGCAGGTGGGCATTAGCCAGGCCAAGATGCCCTCTCTGGCACCCGTTAGCCTGGGTTTAAGGGCGAGACTCAGTCTAGGACCATCACATTTATAATTTCAGATCTTTCCCACTGAGCTTAAAGAGTCAGGGAGGGATTTTTAAAACCTGAGGTCAGCTGACACCAGCTTTTGGAGGTTTTCTTGCTGTTGTGTATGCAGAGCAGGCCCGAACTCAGGCGCTCCCCCTACAGGATACAGGCCGCCGGGCCTGAGCGCCAAGGGCATGATGTGAACCCCAAAAGCCCGCGGGGCCCCACTGAGTATTGAGGGGGGATTCTGGTACCACGTTGCCCTCTGCCCGGTACACAATGTGATCTCAGTAGCTGCCCGTGGGTGCATGATGGATGGGTAGATGCCAGTTTTTCACAGTTACCATATTAACCTGCATGTCAAAGTGGGCATTTGTTGCCTTCCACTGTCCACCTGCCTCCTTCAGCCCAGTGCCTGCCTTTATCCTTCCACACATCGTTGACAGACATGGGGACTCCGAGAATAAGGCATGAGACACCGAAATTTAAAAAAAAAAAAAAAAAAAAAAATCAGTTTAGGACCCCCCCTGGTGGCGCAATGGGTTAAGCACAGCACTATGAAGCTCTCCGAAGCCTCTGCAGCACAAGTTCGAACCCCAGTGGGCCTGAGAGATACCCACACGGCGCGGCAGACCTCGCCTGTGTCGCCCGCTGCTCCCCTCAGCAGTGTGTTTCAGTCAGTCTGCCTGTTCTGCTCCCCACTCTGTCTCTGGTGAGTCCTCTCACCCCCCACACACCTCTGGCCTGTACCCCAGTTCTTGTACGCATAAATAAATAAATCTTTTTTAAAAAATCAGCTTAGGTAGCTCTCCTGCCCGCCTGTGACTATGCAGGTGCCTCTGCTTTCCTCCTTTTCCTAATAAATCTGCTATTTTAAAACGTAAAAAAAAAAAAAAAAAAGGAAAAAAGACGGGGAAACAGTTTAACACCGCCGGAGCCAAGGCAGGGGTGTGAGCGACGACGCCTCGTGGGCTGACTGTGCCCCCCGGCCCCGAGGGACAGGGAGGCGAGTGTATGCTCAGGGCACGCGCCAGAACCGGCGTCCCGGCCCTCGGCACACACCTGGGCGGGGTCTTTGCGATGGAAGGAGACCGGTGACTCTTTATTGACGACACCCTCGTTCCCGCAGGACAGGCGGGCGCGGCGGCTGGGCGTGGAGCTGTCTCCCCGCCGCGGCGCCTCGCACCTGCCCTCACCTGCGCGCCCACGCCCCGAGGCCTCACCTGGCTCCTCAGCACAACGGGGAGGCGCTGGTGGAGCCTTTATTGCGCCCCAGCGCGGAGGCAGCAGGGGCACCCGCGGGCCCTGGCCAAAGGCCCTCTCGGGCCCCGGGACCCACCGCGACGCCCCCGCCGCCCCCCGCCGCCCGCGCCGAGACGCACGGACTGGAGACGGCCCCCGGGGGTGAGAGAAGGGGGGGCCAGACGCTCAGGGCGCGGCTGCCTTTCACTCTGGGGTTCTATTTGGGACCAGGTTGGGGACCCTCCCGGGTCACCCACGGAGCTGCTCGGGAATCCCCGCTCCCTTCTCAGGCGCCCCCTGCGCCCGGGGTTACCCCTGTCCCGGGCGGGGAGGGGCGGGGCTTCCTGGCTGTCCTAGGCGGGGAGGGGCGGGGCTTCCTGGATGTCTGGGGGGGCTTCCTGGCTGTCCTAGGGGCTTCCTGGCTGTCCTGGGCGGGGAGGGGCGGGGCTTCCTGGCTGTCCTGGGCGGGGAGGGGCGGGGCTTCCTCGCTGTCCTGGGCGGGGGGCGGGGCTTCCTGGCTGTCCTGGGCGGGGAGGGGCGGGGCTTCCTGGCTGTCCTGGGCGGGGAGGGGCGGGGCTTCCTCGCTGTCCTGGGCGGGGCGGGGCTTCCTCGCTGTCCCGGGCGGGGAGGGGCGGGGCTTCCTAGCTGTCCTGGGCGGGGAGGGGCGGGGCTTCCTGGCTGTCCTGGGCGGGGAGGGGCGGGGCTTCCTCGCTGTCCTGGGCGGGGAGGGGCGGGGCTTCCTCGCTGTCCTCGGAGCTGGCGCTGGCGCTGGACCCCGGGGCCAGCGCGGACGGCCCTGCCCGCGGGCGCTCCTGGTGCTCACAGCGGGGCCGGCTGCCCCGGCACTGGGCGCCGCCGGGTGACTTGAGGCTTTGGTTGAAGACGGCGGAGGCCATGCACGCGGCCGCGGTCTGGTCGCAGGCGCAGAGCACCTTGGCGCACAGGCTGCGCCCCGCACCTGGAGGCGGGTGGAGACGGGCGGTGAGGACAGGCCTGTGGGCTCAGGCCCACGGCTGGCATCAGGCGCAAGGCCGTCCTTCTGCTGGGAAACTCTTAACTTTCTCCTCCTGCCTAGCTCCTGGTGGGGTGAGACCCGCTCCCTCCCTCCTCCTGCAAAAAATAGGCGAGGTGGCCAGATCCCGAACCTCCCAGCCCACATGAAGTGGTTTTCCTGTGGGCGCCATCGACTGCACCCCTGCTGTGCTCTGGCACAACAGATGGCCTGCCGGTGACATTCATGTGCTTGCATCTGTGCCTCCACCTTTTCCTGTAGCTGGGCGGAGACTCCTGCTGGCTGGGCGGGTGGGCGCACCCAGGGCGATCCTTGACGAGTGTCTGCTGGGTTTGCCTCCAAAGAAATATTGGTTGGACTGAACTGTTACTTCTCTGGGCCAAAGTTTCCCATTTGTCAAAGAGAAATAGTAATTCTTGTCCATTCTGTTTTAATTTGGCCAGATAGAACACAGGATGCTCAGTTAAATTTAAATTTCAGGTAAATATGTCCAAATCAGATCTCCCTTTGGGGCAGACTTAGATTAAACAACTATTTGTTGTTTGTCTGAACTTCAAATTTGTGTCTTTTTTGTTTTCATGGGATTTGGCCATTCTACCTATTTCTTGAAGGTTTCTGCTGCAGGCAGTGGGGAGGGGGTACATAGCCTCATTGTGACTTAAACAAAATAATGACTTTGAAGATGAATTGACATCAACACTCGTTCTGCAACTGCTATCCTTGTTATCTGCGCTTGGCGATGGAGTGAAAGGTGGATTTGGTCTGTTCAGTGGTTTTCATCTGATCATACCATGAAGTGCTCATCAACTGGACTAAGCGGACTTTTCTTTTCACACTTACCCTCCAAATCTCCTACCCTGCCTTCTCTGTCAGCCCCAGGCACACCGGCCAACAGCAGAAGGCATAGGGGGGAGCACCCCCATAAGCCTGCTCCCCCAGGATAACTACAACCATCTCCCTGGGCCTGGTGCCCTCATTTCTTACTGCCCCACACTGCACCATCAGAGTTCACAGAGGGTCAGTTGGGGTTCAGACTACAAATGCAGTGTCCCTGGCTCCTGTGAGATCTGAGGGAGGGAGAAGGTGTCTGGCCGAGCAGCATTGCGGGCCCCCTCATCAGACCACAGTCATGATGTATCCCGTCTCCCGGACTCTAAGCCTGTCCAGCCCCAGCTCCTAGTCCCCTCTGGAACACTATGCAAAGACTCCAGGCCTCCTGGGCTCGTGACCAGTGTGCCTCCGTCTCCCCAGCTCCCCTTGGACCACAGCCGCCCCCCAACCCCCACTTTCTGTCCCAACAATACAGAACCACTGCTGTCTTTAAACTGCCTGGAGTTCCCCAAATGCCAGTGTTTTTCTTCTCGTTCTTGAACCATTCACTTTTCCTAGAGTTTCTCCCCAGATCTCTCTGGGAGGGGGCTTCTGCTTCTTAGGAGATCCCTGCTGGCTTAATGAAGACCAGGTGCAAGGTCTGAGACTATCCCAGCTCTCTTCTCTCTGAGAGCTCTTGGGCCTTGGCGCCCCCTCATGGCCACTGATTTAATAGCTTCTCCCTCATAGAGGACGCTAGGCTGCCAAGACTTTTCTCAAAGTTAAGACCATGAAATCACATGCTAGATAAAACTGCTTGGTAAAGTGTCCTGAGGCTGACATGAACGCACTCCCTGTGCAATCAATCCCATAGCACTTACACTTGGGCTTGCGGCCCACGCACACCACCGGGGACGGAGGAAGCCTCTCCAGCAGGCAGCCCAGCCTTCTCACCTGCTCCAAGCAGCAGTGATGGTTCAAACAGCACCTACAAGCAAGAAAAACCCTTTGAGGCCCAGAGCTCCCAGTTGCCTGGAGCTCCCTCAGGGCCTGCTTGTGGCACACTCCATAGTAGAGAAGAAAGCAGCGCCTCCCTTCCCAAGCCCATAGGGCTGATTTGTAAATATGTATATATCTATATCCCAAGGGCAGTCCCGTAGGGTGGTTCAGTCTGTATAGTGAGCAAAGACTCTCTTAGGCAGGACCAATCACGCTATATGCGTCTTATTTAAATTATTTTTATAGTTTTATTATGATTCTGTTGAGTGCAAGTGTGGGTAATTTGTATGTAGATTATTGAAAATGATTACAATAATTGTACAGGTGAATGTAGAGTCTGGAGGAAGGGGTATTATTTTCAGTTTCACAAAGTATACCCCCTCCCTCTGTCCCCGGCCTTCAAGAGAGCAGAGTAAGTATTCTGAGCATAAACAAAGAACTGCATCTAGAAAAGTGTGTGTAAATAAAAGTGTCTCCTGTCAATAAACGGGAATGAACCCATGTCTTGTTTTTTGAGTCCACCCATCTGGCCTGATAAAGCCTCACCCTCTCCAGTGGAGCTCCCCGCCCAGACAGGTGGGCATCCCCGGGAAACTTGTGATGGCTTCTGCCAATAAGGCCTGCAGTGGCTCCCCAAATCCTCTCCTTTCAGCTCTTCCTGGCCTTTCACAGGGGATCTTATTAAGGGTCTTAGAGACTCAACCAGGGCAGAGGCCAGTCACAGACCGTGGCAGCCGCTGACAGGGCTGGTACGCTCAGTCAAGCACCTATTCACCAGCCTTTCCAAGTCCCCAGCCTTGGGAGGCACAGCACCACCCCGTGCGGGCACACCCCAGAGCCTGCCCCATTCCACCGCCTTCACAGCACGGCCAGACTAGCTCGTGTGCTCATGTGGCGGGGGCAGCAGAGGACAGTTAATATAATGACTGAAATCTAAAGTCAGTGAGTGAATCAGTGCTCACACGTCTCGAAAACCTCCTGGAAATGTAAAAATTGCCAGAATGGAAAGCAGCTGTGGTCTTGAACAGACCCCCGGCCGCCGGGCCCCAGTGTGGCTCTTCCTTCGTCCATTTCCCGGTTCTCAGTTTCCCACGCCTTCCTGACGACGTCACGGCTTACCTGCCTGCACGGCCAAACCTCCTCTCTCTGTGGCCAGCACATAGCTTCAGCGGCTTCCCTGCTTTCTTTCATGGGGTCCATCAAAGCACACCATCTCTATCTTTCACCTTTTACCTGTGAGTGCTGTGGATCCCAGAGTTCTGCCGCCGTGTGCTTTGTCTTGAGAATGGAGGCAGACGGCGGACCGTGGAGGTGCAAATGTGCTGCCCTAGCTCGGGCGGGCCGCCCTTTGCTGGAAACAGGACTTCAGTGTCCTGAGGGGTGAGCGTGGCAGCTTGCCTGCGCGGCTGGCCCCGCTCTCCTTCTCTGATGCTGACAGGACGGATGACGGTGCCGCAGAGACGGTGCAGGTGGGTGTGGGAGGTTGGCTGGAGGAGCCGTCCAGACCCTGTCTAGCCTGCCACGGACACGGTTGCTCTGCGGCCCCTGCCGTACGCTTGCAGTCAGCCCAGGAGCCTGTCTTTCTCGGTCTATTTCTTCAATTTCATCTGTAGTTGCTGATTTTCCACAGCCCCTGGGGTGGGGGCCTGGGAGACTGTCCCCATGCCGGGGCGGGGGCCGTCCCCACAGGCAGCCTGTCTTTACAGCTCCTCAGCTCGACCTCCAGGATGCTCCTCCAGTGCACGTCCAGGCTGAGCTCCCCCCACTTTTCCTCCTATTCTTCCCCCACCCTCACTGCGCTGGCATTTGGCTGCATGTCCAGCTCCCTCGCCGTGGACACGGGCTGTCGTTTCGGTTCTGCTGTTTGGGTTTTGTCCTTGTTGAGTCCCTGCCAGGTGGGGTCATGCCCGGCGCAGAGAGGAGGCGCAGGGAGGGTGGGCCGAAGGCACAGCTAAGGCCACGGACAACTAAGGCGCGCGTGAGGTCAGTGTCCATTCGCCCCCGGCGGCAAAGCTAAAATTAAGCACTTAGGCTTCAAAGTGGAGAAGCCCCTTTCTATGTGGTTGCCTGCAGGGAAACATCAACCGGAGACACCAATTGTCCATGTGGCTCCTTGCAAAACAGCAGAGGCGGGGTCTGGTGGGGTGTCCTTGGAGAGGGGCCCCGTTGGGGCGGCTGGGAGTAACTGTGGTAGAACTGCGGACGCCCAAGTCAAAAGATCTGGCGCTGCCTCTGTGCCCCCGAGCCACCGACGCAAGTCAGCCTCTGGGCCTCGGCGGCTCGCCCAGAGCACGGGGTGACGGTGGTGACCAGCCACCATCCGTGAGATCGCGCTTGCGACAAGCTCTTTGTGAGTCCCGAAGGGACAGCTGCTCGGAGGACACGGTTAGCTCTCTCTGCGGGCGGCGTTGGCGCCTCTGCCCTCCACCCTCCCGCCCATACCTGTCCAGGGCGTCCCTGGGCTCGCCGTGTCCTTCTTGTCCACAGTAACAGCCGTAAGACTCAAATTCCTCCGGGCACCGGGCGCTCAGACAGAAGAGCATCTCCCCGAGCTCAGGCTTCACCTGCAGGCTGCCCCCGCTGCCCCGGTGCAGGAAGGTGAATCTGTCACAGGCTGACAGGAACAAGACTCTCAGGAGAGCAAGGAACATGGGACAGCGTTCACAGGAGGGACACCCCTGATCTCGGCCTCCCAGCATCGTTCTTCTGGGATTTCTGTCGCGTGCTTGGTCCCCGCCTGGGATGGGGTGTCTTTCAAAAAGTCAATTTTCATTCCCAAGTTTTTACCTCTCTGCTCAGACTATTTGTTAAATCCCCCATCAGGGATTGGGGTGTTTCTGGACTGGAGATGCTCTTGGGGCCTGCTCCAGCTCAGGGCCCACATGGCCCAGCATCCTGGGGGGTCCTGGCGGTCCCCACTGGCTTCCTGGCCCCACCGGGTGAGCACATCTGGCAGGATTTGCCTGCAGGATGCTTGACTGTCCTTTGCCTCTGTCTCTCCTTCTGCCTCCCAGCCTCTCCCGCCTCCCTCCTCCTCTGCCTGCAACTTTGGGTCAGTTCAGCTGAAGTCTATTGTGTAACCCCGTCGTTATAGAAGCAGTGGGGGGAGAGCTAAGGAGCCAGAGGCCCAGCGTCGGGCTCCTGGCCCAGCCTCCCTCTCAGACACAGGTTCTCCATACTTGGCATTGCACGCCATGGATCAGTGGGGGTCTGTGGACAACGCGGCCCAGCACCCTGAGACTGGAGAGGACTGGTCTCTGCTGCCTGCTCCCATTTACCTTTGGCAGTTGTCTCCTCAGGACGGCTTTTGACAGGTGACACAGCCAAGCCCAAAGGTTTCACGCTGGTGGGGGCTATGGTTACACCTTCCACTGTGGCCACCACCTCTGCAGATTCTGAAAAAGCACAATTTTATGGTCCATATTCAAAAAGTGGTTCAAGAGTGGATTTGCAGATGGACACGTGGTGCAGACTGAATGCAGACAGGGATTTCCAAACAACAAAGCAATGGAGAGCGCCCTCCGGGGGTGGGGGAAGGGGCTGCAGACATCAGGGCAGAGGCTCAGGGATCCTAGACCTGAGAATGCCCCCAATTTCTATGATAACCATAAAGTGGGCCAGAGTCTTCACTAGGCCATCTGGAGGGCGGCCGTGGACAAAGCTGCTGCAGCCACTCAGACCTACCTGTTGTGTCCCAGTGAGGCGCCTGCACTGAGGGCCCAGCTGGGGCTCACAGTGATTATAGAATGGTGGAGAAATGGAGCCAGTTCCTGGTCCACAATAATGAAACCCCCCCCCCAAACACACACACACACACACACACACTCCTCAGCTCCCCTCAGGCTCCTCAGCTCCTCTCAAGCTCTTCAGCTTCCTCCAAACTCCTCAGCAACCCTCAGGCTCCTCAGCTCCCCTCAGGTTCCTCAGCTCCCCTCAGGCGCCTCAGCTCCCCTCAAGCTCTTCAGTTTCCTCCAAACTCCTCAGCAACTCTCAGTCTCCTCAGCTCCCCTCAGTCTCCTCAGCCCCCCTCAGTCTCCTCAGCTCCCCTCAGGCTTCTCAGCTCCCCTTAGGCTCTTCAGCTTTCCTCAGGCTCCTCAGCTCCTGTCAGGCTCCTCAGCTCCTCTCAAGCTCTTCAGCTCCCTCCAAACTCCTCAGCAACCCTCAGGCTCCTCAGCTCACCTCAGGCTCCTCAGCTCACCTCGGGTTCCTCAGCTCCCCTCAGTTTCCTCAGCTCCCCTCAGGCTCCTCAGCTCCCCTCAGGTTCCTCAGCTCCCCTCAGGCTCCTCAGCTCCCCTCAGCTCCTTTGCCCTCTCCTGCTCCTCAGGACACTGTAGCAGCTTCTCATCGGTCTCAGGCAGTGGAAGGTCCTACATGGAAGGCAGCCTCTGATGCTTCTGCCTCCCTTCACTGCCTCCCTGGCACTGGCTGGGTCTGTCTTTGCTCTCCTGTGTTGGTCCCACCTGCCCTCTTAGCTGGACGCAGGAGTCTCTCGCTGCAGGCCGCAAGCCAGATGCAGCCCAGTCCAGGTAAAGGAGCCTCGATAGACCCTGCCCAGCATCTGCTGTGGGTCCGCCATCTTGGGTTGGCTGCTTCCTACATCTGGGTCCTGTCTGTTCACTCAGCCCTCGGCCGATGGGGCAGGAGCAGGGCTGCCCCTACACCTCCTCACCTGACAGTTTCACCTCTGCTGGGCATTTATCCAAATCTGCTGGGTATTTACCCAAATCTGCTGGTATTTATCCAAAGACGATGGAAATACTGATAGAGGGAGTGCAATATGGCGCCTCTGTTCACAGCAGCCTTACTACAAAAACCAAGGCATGGAACCAACCGAAATGCCCAAAAGGTGACTGGATGACAAAATTGTGGAACACATATGTTCAAAGGAATATTACTCAGCTATTTAAAAAAGAGGAAATCGCGCCTTTTAGGACAATAAGAGTGGATCTTGAGGTGATGATGCCGAGTGAAATAAGTCAGAAAATGAAAGACGGTTACCGGATGGTCTCACTCATTTGCAGGATATAAATAACCAAAGCGAACAAACTGGCAAAACAACAAGAGTAATTCTTAGACTCCGTGAAAAAAATACTGGGTACCAGAGGGCGTGGGGAGGGGAGTAATGGACGAGGGAGGTGTAGGGTAAGGAAAAATGTCAGGCTTTTCTGCCCTCCCACCATCAGGAGAGATGATGGATCCTTGCGGTCCTGAATGCATGCCTGATGGCGGCACCTGGAGTAGGGTGTGGGCCTAGGGAGATGGGATTCACCTGGGCTGAGACTGGGCTTTTAAGGTCGGCGTCATGGGGACGCCAGCAGAAGCCAAGAAGCCGAGAACGAAGCAGAGAAGGCTGGAGAGCTTAGAGTGAAGACTTGCAGGGGGCTGGGGGGCCTGCCAGCCTCCCGGCCCCCCAGCACCCCTGCCTGCTGTGTACCTGGTAAATCCCAATAAAAAGACCTGCAAAAAGCCACTAAGGATTCTGACTCCTCCTTTACCTGGTCTGCTGGATCAGGAAACCTGCTCTGTGTCATTCCTGTCCTTACAGGAGGGGAGAGGGTTGTGGCCGTGGGGCTTTGCTGGGATTCGTCGCCCCACCAGCCCCACCACCTGTCTGGGCAGGCAATTCCTCTGAAGCCCCTTCCTGCCCCCTCACCTCCTGCACCCAGAGGTCGCAGGGCTTCTCGGGGCTTCTCGGGGCTTCTCAGGGCGGTGGGCCGCAGTCTCCATGCTCTCAGCTGTGTGTGTGGTTGGGGATTCTGCCCAGGCCTGGCCCAGCAGCCCGGGGAGAGGCCAGGTACTAAATGCACCTCTCGATCTTCCTCAGAGGGGAGAGAAGGGAAAGTGGCTGCTTTTTTTTCCCCTATTATAATGAACAGAGGCTTTTGTTTTCTTGCTTTCTGCTATGGAAATGTGTCAACTGCTTCCATTATTCTCTGGGATAACTTGGCAACAACATATTGAGGGCCCCCCCGCAATGACTGCACCTCATACCCAGAAATTCAAGTTCTAAGCATCTAGCCTGGCTGATTAATCAGAGTGGATGGGCATGAAGAAAGCGCATCGCTATCATTTCTAACAGCAAAGATCATAAATAACAGGTTCAATAAATTACAGGCTTCCCTGCAAAGAACGAGGCAGAGTCACTAAAAGTTATGTTACAGAAAAGTACGTAAGGTCAGGAGAATATTCTGCCGTCTAATTAAGTGACCCAGCTCGGGCAACAGGCCGTGGCTGCCTAGTAACCTAAATGCACGTTTCTGGTCATGGATGTGTTTTGGTAAGTGGGCGGGAAGTGAAGACGAGAAAAAAAGTCTTCAGATAGTCAAAGTGGCTGTCTTTATGATGTGGAGTTTAGACGATTTAAATAAGAAACTAAATATAGCTTCCTTGTTTCTCTAAGTGCCTCTCTTCAGCAGGAAAATTTCCATTTTCCCCACTAATGGAACTGTCTTTCAGTGTCGTTTCTCTGCTTTTGGCAGGGTGGCGGGGGTCAGCGCGAGAAGGCTCCAGTGAATTCTTCCATCCCTCACACACCTGATCTCATCCAAATCTAGGGGACCCATAAAAAGCAGGGGAAGCCAAGGGAGCTTACCTGGTGCTGGTGTGGCCTTGGCGGCTCCCACATCCTCCCTGTCTTGGCTCGGTCCTGCCCCCAAGAGAAGTGAGACAGAGTGAGTGTCCACCCCGCCCGACCCGCTGGCCACTCTGGGAGGACTGGAAAGGGAGGGTCACAGCTGAGACCTGAGGAGCCCCCCAGTCCTGACCTGCAGGTGGACACACCTGCAACGCCCCAGGCTGGAGGCAGGGGGCTTGCCCAGGCACTTTGGGATAGTCAACCTCTTTAGAATTTGAAAAGAATAAAAAATAAAAGAATATCACTTTTTTTTTTTTTGCACAGGGAATAATGAGGCAGCAGAACTGTGATTCCAGTGGACTGCTCCGTGCCTCTAGGAAGGCTGCTGAGCCTTGGTTTCTTTACATGAGTCTGATGTTGTTGGACAGTTATTAAGTTCCTGTCGTGCTGCAGAGTGAATATTTGTGTCCTACAAAATTCATAGTAACCCTAACATCCAATAGGCTGGTGTGAGGGGCTGGGGCTCTGGGAAGTGACTAGGTCCGGAGGTGCAGCTCTCCCTGAAACAGGAGTAGTGTCCTTAGAAGAGCACCCCTCCCCGTCTCGTCACGTGAGGTTGTAGGGAAAAGACAGCCTCCTGGGAGCCAGGAACAGAAACTAGGCTCGACCATGCTGGTTCCCTGATTTTGGACTTCCAGCCTCCAAGACCAAGAGAAATAAATGTCTGTGGCTTACAAGCCAGAATGGACGAAAACTCACTACGTGGCAGAAACAGCACTCAGCATGCGTCTTCATAGAACCCCTTGGTTAGTGCCATACTCAGCCTTGCTTAGAGATGAGGAAAGCAACGCAGAGAAAAGCTAAATTGCTTGCTCAAGATCAGGGAGCCAGGAGGTAGAGGGAAGCCAGCCCAGGCCATGTGGCTGAAGCTGACCTCCTAAGCACCCCAGATTTCACTTCTGGCTCCACCACAGAGCGCTGGATAGGGCAGCCCCGGGATGCTTTCCATAAGGAGCTGCCTTAATTCAGTGTATCAAAGGTCAAGGTTATGATGGTGTTAAGTGAAAATCAGGGTTTCAGGTACACTGATGTGACACAAATTGAGACTCTGGACAGTTCTAAGCTGGGCAGGGGATTCTCCTCAGAGGCAAACTGCATAGAAGCAGGACTAAAGAAATACCAAACCATCCTCCCCAACCCCCGCCCTCCCTCACCTGCTCCAGCCAATTGCTGCTCAGCGCTTGTCTTGTGTCTGCTAAATGGGGGGAGGCGGGGTCTCCTAGGACCAGGGAGGAATGACCCAGAGGCCAGGAGGGGCTCAGGGACAGGCAGCACACTGAGGTCCTCAACATGGCTGCTGCTCACCAAGGGATTGCTGGCTGCTTGCTCATTCTCGGCAATTACTAGGAGTTATTACCAGCTATTTACACCCGCTGGTAAAGCAGCCGTGGTTAGTCAGCACAGAACAAAGTAAGCGGCTAAGTCAATTCTGATAGTGTCTCGACCTAAGTGTTTTTAGAAAAGGGGTTATTTTTCATGAGCAAATTGTATAATGGAAAGAAAACCAGTTCTCAGCCTGAGGTCACGGAGAGTGACCAGCCCAGGTCACTTGCTGGATGAGCTGGACTTTGAACCCCCCAGAACCTGTTTCCTACGGAACCTGCAGAATGGGTCGGACGGTTCCTGCAGGCCCTGTTGTAAGTGGTCGCCAGAACTGAGCACACATATTTAGATGCCATTTCCCATGGAATTCCAAGCTCTGCTCCAAAGGCCCCTTGGCTTACTTGTCCTGGACAGTGTGGTCAGTCGGTCAGGGCTGGTCTCTATGGCCACTGTGAAAAGAAACAGCCCAACTTCAGTTCTCAGCCAGCTCAGCGCCTGGACCCGGCAGGGGTCACCAGCAAATGACACAGGTTTGGGGCTGAGGGACCAAAGAGAAGGCCTTTGCCAATATGTCTGAACGTCGATGTCCAGTGAGACTCCAATTCAGTGGACAAGGCTAGTGTCAGTCCTGCTTTCAGGCAAAGAGACCAGAAACTGACCTGGAGGGCAAGTGTGTGCACCGTCAGGTCACGGATGTGAGTGGGCGTGGGCAAAGGTGTGTGTCCACACGCTCCAGCCACACTCCACACTCTTGGAGGAGCTTTATTTCCTTTGCATGTTCCTGGGGTCCTGCCACAAGGTGGTGAGGGCTCTGGCTGAAGGAAATGGAAATATACCAATCTGGGCTTATTTTGCAATTGGCTGGTGGGACGGTGAACTTTGCAGCTTATCCTCATTCCAGCGTGGATGTGGCGGCCGACCACCACTCTGGACTGGGGCATGGCACATGGCCGGCTCTGCTCTGCCTGGGACTTCTCTCCTCCTGGACCCCATGGCAGGTTGGAAATGAGCTGCCTGGAACTGGATGGTCATGGGTGAGCTGTCCCACCAGGCCCATCTCTGTGCTCACAGCAGCAGTAGAGAAATTAACACACATCCAGCGGGCCTGGTGCATCATTAAGGGCACAGACTTAATGATAAAGATACAGGCTGTCCAGGGAAAATTCGGGTGTGAGGAATAATAAGTAACTTTTTAGTCTAAGAATACCCCATGCAGGGTCCTCCCTGGTGAAGCAAGGGGCTAAGTCTCAGCACTATGAAGCTGTCCACAGTCACTGCAGCACGAGTTCAATACCTGGCCAGGGAGCTGACCCACATGGTGCAGCAGACCCTTCCTGCCACGCCAGCTGCTCCCCTCAGCAATGTATTTCAGTAGATCCGCCTGTTCTGCTCCCCGCTCTGTCTCTGGTGAATTCTCTCACCACCACCCCCCACACCTCTGGCCTACACCCTAGCTCTTGTGTACATAAATAAAATAAATCATTTTTTTTTTTAAAAGAATGCCCCGTGCAGAGTCCGGGACATATTTATACTCAAAAAGCTATTTGTTGCTCATCTGAAATTCAACTGGTCGGTTGGGATGGGGGTCCTGCATTTTACCTGACAGTTCTAACAGGTGGACTTAGGAGTGTGAGGGGAAGCCGAGCATGCAGGGAAGAGGTTCAGGGCCAAGAAGAGCGAGCAGAGACTCCGGAGTGCACATGAGGTGGTTCTGCCGCAAGCCCAGGCCAGGGTCATTTCTGGGGAACTGACGCCAGCCAGTCGGCAGTCGGTGCCATCAGAGGGCAGGTATCTGGCTACACATCAGTCCCCTGGCGCTCACCTTCTCCTGAGAGGGCCGTCAGGCTGGCGTCTGTGGGCTCCACGGGAACCACTGGAAAGAGAGAGACCCTCAAGCAATGACTGAGATCACGGTGTCAACACGCAGGGGGCGGGTGCAGCTGACCTCGGGGGAAGGAGCCAGAGAGCAACTGTCCACTCTGTCTCAGGGGTCCCGGCCTCACCTAAACCTCCCAGAAAGCAGGGGTGCTCAGCAAGGACTCGGAGGGACTCCTGCCAGTGCTGGGTTCTGGGGCGCATGTGGGCACTGTCAGACACAGGCTGGAGGCCATGACAGGACTGCAAACCCCACAGATTGTGACTGTGGCGTGTGAGACCTGGTTTGAGAAGACTTCTGCTCCGTGAGGAGGCAGGATGGCAGAGAAAAGGGAAGGCTGGTCTCAGAAGGCACCAAGAGATGGGAAAAGTGCAGGCACCCCCGTCTCACAAGTGTACACACACCCACACACCCACATAGGCTCACAGCCACACCCAAACATGCACACTCATACCCCCACACACGCCCACACCACACACCCCCACATCAGCACCCTCTTTAACAAACGCTGCAGGACCAGTGCTGAGGAGGAGCCCCAGCCCCAGGAAGGAGGAGGCTGGCCGAGGGGCACCTTGCACTTCCCACCCCAGGCGCCCCCTGTTGAGAGGGCACAGCTGTGGGGACGCTGCTGAGGCAGGAATGACAGGCGTGACCCCAGCTCTCTCTTTCTCCATCAGATGCCTGTTGTAGAGCAGGTAACACCTGCTTAGCTCAGCGGACACCTGTGAGGGGGCTTCCTGGCCTGAGGAGACACAGAAAACAGCCTCCCTTTTGGATGCTGCGTGGCGGAGGCAAGAGGGGAGAGGAAGAAGGAAGCAGGGTGCCTGCTGGGAGGCCTCAGTGGCTAGGAGTTCACCCAACTGTGCAGGGCCTGGCTCCCTGGGGCTGCGACCCTGCCCGGGCACCGCAGCCCAGGCTCTGACCACAGAGGGAGAAAGGAGAGACTTGCAGCGCCCTCCTAAAAGGACCAAATCCACCCCCGTCACACAGCAGGGGGCAGAGCTGCACCGGTGCAGGGAGGCCTTCGAGTTGGCTTCATCAGAAGACCTGGCACCCAGGCCCTGGCTCACTGGCCCCGTGAAGCGGCTCCTCAATGTCAGGTGCCCCTGACAGTGTTGGGTCAACCGGCCCCGAGAGTGGAGCTGGCTGTGCGGCTGAGTCACCGTGACTACACTCCCTGACACCCACACAGCCACACTTCTCTCCACACGTGTAACTTTTGTGAAGCAGCTTGTGGCTGTGTCAGCCCCTGGGGTCCCAGTAAAAGCCCCTCCCTGGAGGCCCACCTCGGGGCAGGAGTGTCGTCAGCTCGATCCCGCTGGTTGTCTCTGAGAAGAAAACACATTGGATAGTCTGTTCAGAGCAGTGGGTTTGGGGTGCGTGAGAAGGTTCTGGACTTGGCATCTGAAGAGACTGCCAACCCCGAGCAGACGCAGGGCCAGTTCGTCTTACCTGGCGGCTGAGGCAGACAGAAGGAGGTGTCCAGGAGGTTCAGGGAGGAGTTGACATGCGACCGAGCCAGGCACTGCAGGGCGGCCTTGTCACAGGCGCAGAGACGGCGCCCACAAGCGTCCTTGGACTCTGAGCAAGAACAGCGTGGGCGCAAGCTCTCACCTGCGTCCTAAGAGCTGATGCACCCTCCAGACCCCGCTTCTCTGGCGGCTTCTTCATCTCACTCACGTCACCTCCATCTCTTGAGGGGTGTCCCTGTCCGGGGGGGCCGCCTACTCCTGTCTCTCCACCCACACCCAAGCACGGGTCATCCTGGGCGCTGCTCCCAAGAGCTTTCCAGTCTGACACGTCTCCCCATCTCCACACCACTTCCTGGGCCAAGCCCCTCACCTCTTGTCCAGTGTTTGTCACTGTCCCCTAACTTGTCTCCCAGTCTAGTCTCAACGAGGAGCCAGAAAAATTCTTTCAGAATTCAGGTAAACCCCTGTCTGTCTGTCTGTCCACGACCTTCCAACAACTCCCCAGCTCAATGTAAGAACTGCTGTCCCCACTCCGTTCCTTCTGAGGTCTCCCCTGCCCCCCTCCCTCATCGCCCCGTTTCTAATTGACAGGCCCCTGATTTCTCCAACACATCAGACACTCGAGGTTTAGGCCCATCCACCCGGAGTGTCCTCTGTCTACGCGGATCTTTGGGAGTCACAGGCTGCTCCCCAAATTCCCTCAGTCTTGACTCAGCTGTCATCTTCTCAGGAGGCTTTTCGCCCTTTCACTGCCCACCCCACACCCCCTCCATGTCTCCTCGTTGATTTATTTTCCCCAACAGCACCTGTCATTGTGTAGTACACGGCCTCATGTGTTTCTGATATTTTTAGTGTTTGAGAACCATGAAGAAACTCTAGAAGGTCAGGATATCCCCAACACCCGGAGTGTTGTGGCGTTTGCCTCGGTGCAGGTGCTCAGCCTGTGTCCGTCGAGCAAATCAACGAGCGAGTGAGGGAATTGTGTTTTCCGAGCTCTGTGTCCTCACTCAGTGATTCGCCCCAAGCCTTTCCTGTGCCTCCCGAGCCACGTGATCTGGGCTTTGGAGTCAGTAGATTTGGTTCAAACTCTGGCTCTGCCACTTAGCAGCTACATGATGCTGGGAATTTAATTTCTCTCTGCTCTTTCCTCTCTTTGCCTGTAAACTGTACATGGGGACCCCCATCTAATCTGGATTTTGGGGAGATCAGCATTGCCGAGTATCAGGCTGGGCACACAGAGCAGGCTCTGAGAATGGACGGCTTGGGTGGTGCCAGCGTTCCTGCCCTCGGCCCTCTGTGCCTTTGCCTGGTGTGCTTTTGTGCCAAGGTTACCCAGAGACATGAAATAAAGTTCCAGGAGTCGCCTGGCTGGTACGTGGGGTGCTGAGGTTGGACCTACATGTGTCTGCTTCTTACAAGAAGCAATAACCACCGCCATGTTCATCCATTGCTGCTCCACCGCTGAGTCCCAGGATGGCCAGTCTGCCCTAACCATTGATCACACTGAATTAATGTAACATCATTTTCATGTAATCATTGTTTGATTATGTTTTCATCGCCAAGCTCTGAAGGAGATTCTCTCCTCTCCATGCTGAGGTTTGGAGGAGGTACAAAATTACCCCAACCTCACACAGTGCATAGAGAGCAGCTTAGGCCCCAAGCTCGCAGGGTTGCTACAAGTGTAACATCACAAATCCAACAATCTGTTGACCAACTTCTGTTTCAATTCAAAAAAGCATTTACTGGGCATCTACTCTGGGCCAGGTACAGGTGCGCAGACCTGACTGTGGTCTTAGCAGAGCCGATGGTGTTGCCAGTGATGACGACAACCCCTCGGAAGCGACCCCTGGGCTTCATCTGGATCTGGGGTTTCTGAACTGTCACTTCTCAGCCCCTCTCCTGCAGCCCCACCCCAGGACACCTGCAGGTGCTCACCACACGTGACCCTCTTGCTGATGCAGTTGATGTCTGTGCTGAGCTTGGCGGGGTCTTGGAGGCAGCCCAGCTCGGCAGCCTCTTCATGGCACTGTCGGTGCTGGAAGCAGCAGCTGTGGGTGAGGGGAAGGATTAGGGCGACAGTTTCGGTCAGGGTTAGGAGACAAGCGGGCAACCCATGATGGTTTTGTCTCTGGGTAGTCCCTGGCAGGGGTCTGATTCACAACACTCAGCGGGACCCTGGCATCTGTGTTCTGTGAGCATCTGGGTCATTCTGATATGGATGACCCAAAATTTGAGAAACACTAGAACTAAACTGTGGCGTGGATGTCACACAGATCTTGATAACCCCTCTGAACACGAACAGCCTGCAGATTGCACGGCAGCTGAGCGCTGGGGAAAGCAGTCACCCCATGGTGGCACGTCCTCAGCGCAGCTGTGTCCACGCTCTGCCCACGTGGAAGCCAGGCCTCTGCGGGCTCACCTGTCACCCTTGCTCACCTGTCAGACTCATCCACGGGCAGCCCTTCCATCTCAAACCTGCAGGCACAGCCGTAGTCTTCAAAGTCCCGGGGGCAGAGACCAGCCACACACTGCATACCGTTCACAAACTGGAGCAGAGCAGGGAAGTTGGTGAAGACAGCCTGCAGCCAGGTGAAATGGGAGCCCAGGCATTCTGTGCAGAGGGGGAGCAGGGTGAGCATGGGGGCTTACTGGTGAGGAGGGAGCCCCCATTCCAGGACTCCTATACCTCGGGGTGATGGCACTTCACCAGTTCGTTTACCATCACTAAGGACAGTTCTGGACAGTTGAAGGTGGCAAGTGTCTAGGTCATGCCCCCCGTTGGACACCTACCCAACAGCTACCTCTCCCTTCTTATTAACAAACAGAAATGTGGAGGCCTCCCTGGTGGCATAGGAGTTAAAGTCTCAGCATTTTCAAGCTATCGCCAGCCACTGCAGCACGAGTTCGATCCCCGGACGGCCAGGGAGCTGACCGACATGGCACAGGAGACCTCTCCTGTCTCTCCCGCTGCTCCCCTCAGCAGTGTATTTCAGTGGATCTGCCTGTTCAGCTCCCCACTCTGTCTCTGGTGAATCCTCTCACCCCCTGCACCTTTGGCCTGTACCTCAACTCTAGTATGCATAATAAATAAATCTTAAAAAAAAAACATAAATGTGCTCAAGGAAGGTGAGCCTTTGCCCCACGTCTTGGGGATGCTCCCTGGTTATTCTCAGTGGGCCATGGTAACCCCAAGCTCCCCTTACAGTGGTTGACCTAGGGCTGAGCATGTGATCCAGGTCTGATCAAAGCAACTTAAGGGGGCATCTACTAGAGGCTTTGGGGAAATACTTATTTCCTTATAAAGAAATGATATGGGGAGACCTTCGCGAGAGGGTCTTGAGTGGAGCAGGAAACCAGTTGTGTTCCCATACTCTCATGTGTGGAAAGTGCAAGAAAGAGAAACAGAGTTTCAGGGAGCACAGAGGTTGATGCCAAGGAGGCAAAGCATTTGCAGAGGGTCTACTGTTATGTCAGAAGATTTTTTCTTCTGACATAAAAATCTTCTGAAAGATTTTTTCTTTCTCTTTTGAATGTGGGTGAGGATATGCTGCCTGGAACTGCAGCAGCCACCTTGTAACCATGAGGCCCTGGTTTAAAGCTAACAAACCAATATGCCCAGTGAGCAGTGGAGCAGGATGGAATGGACCTGCTGGGTCTTTGCCAACTGTGTTGAGCTACTGCACCTGTCCTGGTGCTGTCAGACACTTCTGTAAAATATTTATAGATCTTTATTATTTATATCATACTAATTTGATGAAGGGCTTATAAATGATGCAGTCCCAATACTAGCGAAGTAAAACCAGTGCAGGAAGGGAGGGGGTTCAACACTCGGAAATTTTGAGCACTTACTATATTCCAGAAACTGCTCCATAGGCTTTAAATAGCACAACAGTTACTATTGACAAAGTCAGCGATGCTTTAGAAAGAATTCACTCGGTCTATTATCTCATCATGCTAATCCTGCCAGGCAGGCGCTCTTCTAGCAACCTCCATTTCACAGGTAAAAAACTGAAGGTCTGAGACAGAGCCAAGGTATTTGCCAGGATGATGACTTGCCCGAAACAAATATGCTTTGGCGAAAAAAATTGGCAAGAGGCCAAGGGCCAGTTTTTACACTGACTCGCTGCTCTCCACACGCTGCCTTCTAACTGGAGGACAGTGGCATGCTCAGGGGGTGACCCCACCACGCTGGCTCAAATGTGCAGGACCCCAGGAGGGGGCACGGGAGGTTAAGAGTTGTTTGGGATGAGCGGTTCCACACGACTGCTCTTCTGCCTCCTTCCTGCCACGTTCACACTCCCTTTCCCAAATTTTGTCTCCATAGAGTCTAGTCAGAAAAATGAAGAAATGGTTCTATGCAGAAACGTCACTCTTTGCTTTCCGCGTATGTGTGCGTGTTTCTCTCAAATGCATTTTCATGGGAAAACTTCCAGGACTCCCACATGTCATCATGTACACGTTTTTAGAGCCGCCATAGGCTTAGCGCTGTGGAGTCCAGGAGCTCACGCGTCTTTTTGCTCATGTCAGGCTTATCTGTCAGGTACTTTTCATAATCAAAGCTGGGAGTCGCCTTGGTGTCCTGCAGGTGACAGTGACACCAGGTGCCTTGACACACTGAAATTCTTAGGGCTCAGGTATGTTTATTAATTGGGAAGAAAAAAGTAAAATTACTTTGATGTAAGGAGACTAAGCTCTGGGCTCAGAGGAGAAATTTTCCGTGGAGCTGTGGCCTTGGACAAGTCACTGAGCTCTCGTAGGCCCCTCGCCTGTGAAATGGGGGTGGCGTACTGGTCATAGCCAGGTGTGGCTGGGGCTGAAGTAGTGAGATCCATGCAGCCACCTGGCAGCCCAGGGGCATCCTGCCCTCCACGCCCTCAGGAACCGGGTCACGTTGTCAGAGCTTGCCCAGGAGGCTGTGGAGCTCAGAGGGCAGAGTTCAAGTCCCTGGTCATTTGTACCCTGGTAGCATCCCATACACACTCCAATCCTGACACAACTGGTGGGTAAACCCAACCTCAGATTTAACTTACCAAAAATTTCAGCCACACTTTCCACATTTTTAAACACCCCATTAAAGAATGTGATGTCTAAGAGGAAAAAAAGAAAACAAATTAGGGCCTCCCTGGTGGTGCAGGGGTTAAGTCTCAGCGCTATCAAGCTATCGGCAGACACTATGACATGAGTTCGATCCCCGACCAGGAAGCTGACCCACATGGCGCAGCAGACCCCTCCTGTCTCCCCACTGCTCCCCTCAGCAGTGCGTTTCAGTAGATCTGCCTGTTCTGTTCCCCACTCTGTCTTTGGTGAATCTTCTCACCCCCACCCTCACCCTGTGGCCTGCACCCCAGCTCTTGTATGCATAAATAAATAAAACAAATCTTAAAAAAAAGAAAACAAATTAGAAAGCATGAAGTTTCGCCTTCTGCTCTGTGGGGTAAGAGTAATCATTTGGATCCTTTTTCTCAAAAGGTGGATTTGACCCTGGGCTAATTTTCTAGTAACATCAGTTGCCGTGGAAGCCTGATCTGCTAACCTGGGAAGTATGTTACTAGATAGAATTGTTGAATGTTTTTTAAAAAAAATGACCCCTGGTTGGTGACTTGTGTCTGGACTGGTAGAGACAGACTCAAAGTGACAGACTCTAAGTAACCAACGGGCTGCTCTTGCCGAAGAGACCTGGTGCCCATGGCTTGCTGGCCCTCTGTGCTTCCCGACCTCGGCCCTTCCAAGTGCCAGGTGTGGCCCGAGAGTCTAAACATCTGCTTGAAGAAGACCACCGGGAGGGGGGTACTGCATTTCCCATGGAAGTTGTGTCATTTGGGGCAGGGTGGAACTGATCACTTTGCTTTCATGAGCTCATGCACAAATAATTTGGTTGCCTTGACCCAACCAGGTCCGGTTGATTCTCCAAAAGGTCAGGAACAGACCCTCTCCTCCTATGGGTGATGTTCTTCAATGATCCCCCTACAGGGACGCACCTGAGCAACTTCTACACTGTCACCAGGAAAACTTGCTCTTCCTCAAGAAATGATTATGGGGCCTCCCTTGTGGTGCAAGGGGTTAAGACACGGCCTGTGGGGCTGTCCGCAGCTTCTGCAGTATGAGTTCAATCCCCGGCCAGGGAGCAACCCACATGGCGCAGCAGACCTCTCCTGGCTCGCCTGCTGCTCCCCTCAGCAGTGTGTTTCAGTACACCTGCCTGTTCTGTTCCCCACTCTGTCTATGGTGAGTCCTCTAACCACCCCCACCACCTCTGGCCTGTACCCCAGTTCTTGTATGCATAAATAAATAAATCTTTAAAAAAAAGAAACAATTATGGATCTTCCTTCTCACCACAGCTGTCTCTTTTCGTCCTGCCTTCTAGAAAGGTCTGAGCTCAGTTTGAAGCTGGAATCCAGTCGCCATGGGACCCTCGCTCAGTCCTTCTACTTCCTTCTCCTGGCTTCCCCCTCCACCTGACCTTTGTCCTCTGATGGGAGTTTTTAGTACTTTGTCTCAAAGGAGAGGCCAATGGTGGGTCAGGCTTCAGGGGGAACTGTGAGGGAAAGGTTTTTGTACCTACAAACTCCATACCAGTGACTCTAGGGCACATTCAGAGGGGCAATTTTCTCTGCCAATGTCCTGGACAACTTTCTACCCAGCTTTGTCTCTGAAGAAAAGTTCAAAGAGTCCTTACTGATATCTTTTGAGAGTCCTGGCAGTAGTTCCCGTGGAAGGTGTGGGGTGTCCAGAGGGTGACCCCCTATAATTGAGAAAGAGAACAGGGTTAGCCACTGTTCATTACTGAGCTAAGGCTGGGAAGTGGCAGCAAGGAAGGCAACGAGAGGCACATAAATCCATTTCTAGGCATATTTATCTTGTGACTGCTCTGCTCCAGGCCTCTGTGGTGGCTCTTGAAGAAAATAAAGGAATGGCTGAGATAGGCCCAGTGTTTCGTGCTGGCTGGCCTTAAGAGTGGCCTTCAGAGGCCTCCCTGGTGGCCTAGGGGTTAAGACTCAGCACTATCACTGCTACAGCCTGAGTGAGATCCACAGCCAGGGATCTGACCCACATGGCGCAGCAGACCTCTCGTGTCTTGCCTGCTGCTCCCCTCAGCAGTGTGTTTCAGTAGATCCGCCTGTTCTGCTCCCCACTCTTACTCTGGTGAATCCTCTGACCCTCCACACCTCTGGCCTGCACCCCAGTTCTTATATTAAAAAAAAAAAAAGAATGGCCTTCTGATTGGGGAAAGAGAACTTGGGGAACTGATCCAGAATTTTTGTTGCACATGAAGCATAAGTTTTAACTTAAAGTACATGCTTGTTTGGGGTTTCGTGAGATGAAAGGTTAGAGAAAATAAGGACAGACATGGTAACGATCCAATTCCCTAAGGAGTTACTAGTCGAGGATGGGGTTTTCTCCCAGAATATCAGCATCAAACTCATCTGGGAGGCAGGCTTGTCCGCATTCTGATTGCTGTGCCCTGCTCCAGTGTGATCTAGCAGCTCCACAGTGGGACTCAGAAATAGACATTCTAATAAATTCCCCCACTGATTTTGAAGTTGGTAGTCTGGAAGCCACACCTTGCCTGTAGTATTATTTCTTAGTATACATTTTTAAGTTATTTGTTTTTTTTTTTTTTTTGAAAGGGGTTTAATTTACCATGATGGGATGGGAAGCAATAGGGAACAGTGGGGACTGTGGAGAACTAGAGAGACAGGCAACAATGAGAGGGGCAGCTGTCATTCAGCTCCAGATCTTGGGGACAAAGTCCCACAATTCAGATATTTGAAAATTGTTTTGAAATCTAAATTTTTGGTAAAATCTTCCCAATTTAAGCTCTTGACTCAACATTTGCCTGAACACAATAAATGTGCAGATTGACTTCAGTTTGAAGGTAAAAGGAAGGTATTTGGGTGGACACAGAGGAGTTTGGGGAATAGGACTTCCTCTAGGCCCACTGGACAGGGTATGGACTGATGGTGCCTCTCTCAGCTTTGGGTGCCAACCACCTGTCTGGCCTAGGAATGATTCCTAGGCAGGGAGCTTCTCACCAGCTGAGCGCCGTGGACAGTGTCTTGCAGAACACAGACCTTCAGTCCAGGAGGGAGAGTCCTGAGTTTGGTGCCATTTGAACCCATATCACAGACAGAGCCCATCTAATTGTTCTGGCATGTTTTACTTTTTGGTATAATTACCTCAGAAACTATTTAATTAGCATAACAGCCAACAGCTAGGAATACCTGCTGCCCACTTCAGCAGCAATTGTAAAATTTTGCCTGCTCCTTGATAATTAGCTCGCTGGTATTTTCTTTGTGTAACTGATAATTAAATTCTGTTCTGGAGGGTGGGAGATGAGCTCATCACTGCTGCGCTCCTAAGGCATGTTTGCTCCCCACACACTCCCCCTAACTTTCAGGATATTGACGCCCACACATTTTTCTTAGCAACTGAAGATGTCACCCTAAATTGTAAATTGTTTATCCAGAGACTGTATTAGTTCACTTACAAAGTCCAGAGGAGGAGAAGAGAGGCAACATAAGGACAGAATGCACAGAATAAAATGGCTTCCTGCTCTGGAACGAGAGTGTTACAAGGCCGAGGTGATGACCATTCAGCTCCAGCCTCTCCGGGCTTTATTGTGGGCCACCCCAGCACACTCCAGTGCAGTGAAGCTCACGCTGTAGTTGTCCTCTTCTGGACAATGAAACCCAGACTCCCTCCATGAAGCGCTAGCTTCTCCCACCCCCCACACAAGCTCTCTTTGCCCTGGAACTCACCTGGCTCCACAAAACCACCTCTTACCTTGCTCCTGAGATGCTGGAAAGCTCACGGCTTCTGACACCAGACAACTTCCTGCCTTCCTACCTTTGCTTTGTGCTGCGCCCCAGACGGGGTGCTCTCCTTTTTGCGTTTCAGACTCTTTGTGTCCCAGAATTTTTGTGCCCCAGACTCTGCATTCCAGATGCTTCTGACAATGTACAGTTCCACTCAAAGTCCACGAAGCCCTGCCTGACCTCAGCTTGGGCTCGTTGGAGACCCCATGACATCCGGCCACTTCTCTCATTGTGCTTATGACCTCATGTTACCAAGATCTGTTTAAGTAACTGTTTACTAAACTAGGAACTTAATGAGGACAAGGACTATGACAAATTGAAGTTCAAGTTCAATCGTATCTGCTAATGAGTGCATGAACATAAAATGGCAGATCCATCAGCCAATGAGCGATGGCTCCTAGAATTACAGACTCCTAGTCTAGTAAACGTTAAGCAAATTTCGGAGACGTCCACCTCTAGTTAATGGAAGGGTAAGGTCTATTAGTGATGATGAGTAGTGTTATGGGTTATTCTTCCCAGAAGATCTACCTTCCTCTGCCCACCCCTTGCCCAGCAGTCTGGAAGGACATGAACATGGCAGAGGACGATGGAGAGCGGGGACGGAACTGCCATTGGTCAGTGAGACGATGGCATACATCCAGGGGAGAGCGCCTCGGTACAGGGAGCGCACGGTGCAGGTGCAAGGTCTCAGAGCTCTCCCTCTCCCAACACAGATGTGACCACCACTCCACCCGCTAACTCCCGCCCTTCCCAGCCATGAGGCAGCTCTGGGTGCAGAGAAGAAGGGGCAGCAGCCCCAGGCAGTGTTTACAAGGAGGTCATGTTTGCAGACCCCCGCGGCAGCTCCCAGCCAGTGACTCAGCAGGTAGGTGAACCTGCTCCTGGGACACAGGACTCCTCTGAAGGGCTCCTGCCTGGAGGCCTGGCCAAACTCTTCTCGGATGCTACTGTGGTTTAGGACGTGTCCCCTCTCCTCATCCCCTACGCTTCCCAGCTCTCTGATCGTTCCCCAGCTGTGCCTTCCCTGATAGGCTATCACTTTTTGTGAGCACTTGGTGTTTGTGTTTAAGAATAAAATCTTTCAGGACAAGCATGCAGATGTTTGCAACAATTTAGCATAGTAAGATATCATCGTCACTAATATCCCGATGTACTAAGGGGGAGAAAAGATAAAGCAAGAAGGACTTTGTGTAGAACAGTGTTTAAGGACCACAATTTTATGGAGAAATAAAAAATGTCAAAGGATGTGTAAGCAGTAGCTGGGAGGATGTCGACAAGGTCTTTTTTTACTCAAGGGGAAATGTACTGTTTTGGAAGAAGAAAAGGTGAATTAATGAAGAAAATAAGTGCAAAAATTTAGAAAATTGGGTAAAGGAGATCTCACTTAAGAGAAAAATAGGGAAAAGACTGAAAATCTATAGGATATTTCACAATTTTGTCACCAAAAAATGAGATGAGTCAAACTCTTACTTGGAATTTGATCAAGTTGAATAGAGTTCTTGGTAAAAGTTGAGGCTGACATGCTACCCAGTGGCACTAGCAACGAAGACCCAAGTCATGGCAAAAATGTTATAATCAGGAAAAACTCCTTTGGAGGTAGGAAATAGCCAGCGGAAGTCCAGCAGTTGGTGGAAGGCCCACTGTGTCCTGCAGGGAAGGCCTGGGGGTGATGCAGGGTGTGGAGCTGCAGGAACACTGACTCTGAAGGGAAGTGGCTCCACTGAAACCTCACACGAGCTTCTGGGTGACATGTGAACCCTGTGTTGTCCACTAACTTGGGTCATGGTCAAGATAAAGGATCAGGGCTTCCCTGGTGGTGCAAGGAGTTAAGATGCAATCTATGATGCTGTCCACAGCCACTGCAGCCCTAGCTCAATCCCCCACCAGGGAGCTACCCACATGGCGCAGCAGACCTCTCCTATCTTGCCTGCTACTCTCCCCCCACTAGCAGTGTATTTCAGTAGATCTGCCTCTTCCGCTCCCCACTCTGTCTCTGGTGAATCCTCTCACCCCCCACACCTCTGGCCTGTACCCCAGTTCTTGTATGCATAAATAAATAAATCTTAAAAAAAAGATAAATGATTAATACTATCTAGTGATTCCCTCAGGACATTGGTCTACCTGAACAGGAGGAACATGCCTGGCTAAATTAGTACTCTAGGTAACTACAGAGCCCAAACAGTTGTAAGAAAGAAAGGCGTGATTTCAGGTGTTTGAGAGCTGCACATTCACGAAGCAAAGGAAATAGGAAGGAGACAGAAGTCTCAGGTTGTAGCTGAGACTCCAGGTACACTGAGAATGACCACCCGATCTCAGGATCTTGCTTAGATGACTTTAGGTTGTAGGGCACAGAATTCAACTTTACAATGTGGGACTGAAGTGCTTTCCCTTGACACTGGACACACCTTCAAGAGAAAGGGGCTGTGTATGTCACCACGGCCAACAGACTCCAAAGAAATCAGCAAAACAAAGGGCCCCCCCCTTGAACAAGTAAGGGAGAGAAGGTCGCTCCCTGGGCACCTTGCCTTTTGCTCTCCTGCTCCTCCACCTCCTCGCCCACCCCGCATGGCACGAGCTCCTAGATACCGATTGAATTAAACCTACAGCTTCTCACTGATGTTTGATTCCTGTCACTCATTAGGCAACGGGGTAAACATGCTAAATAGCCGTCAGCTGTTCACAGGAAATGCCTGCGGATTACGCTGCCATATTGTTTTCTTGGCTCCAACTTCCTTGGATCCTCGTTGACTTTCAAGGACACAAAGGCTCTCAGCACTGCTGCTAGAACCCTAGTCCACCGTCAATCCCCTGTCACTACACTGAGCGGAAGTGCAGTGTAGACACCATGACTCACCTGCATGTGGGGCCACTTGCAAGCTCATGAGGAGAAGCAGGATCATAGCAGGGGGCAGAGAATGGGACTGTGGCACCAACCTCCTGGGGAGAACAGCCTCCTGGGGAGAAGTCAGTGAGATAGGGTGAGTAGGCGTGCAGACACCTTACAAGACAGCACCTGAGGCGTCCTGTGTCCTCTAAGGAGGGGTGCTAAAAAGAGAAAGCCCCAGAAGCGGGTTGCCCGGCTTTGCCACTAGCTGCAGTGTGACATTGAGGAGGTCACCTTCCCTCTGTGACAGTCATTGCATCAATCTGAAAAATGGAAATGCAACTGAGCCCTTGAGGCTGCGGTGTGGTCTCGCTATGCACTCATGTATTCGTGGCCACTTGTGTGTCAGGCCTGTTGTAAGGATCCAGGAATTGAAGGCAAGGAAGCTGCTTACCTGTGAGTAGTTCACAGGCTAATGGCCAGGAGGCAAGTTAGCAAGTGCTGCAGTCTAACTGCAGTTAGACTTATTTATTTATTTATTTATTTTTTTGGTGGGACCCTCGCCGGTGGCCGGGGATAGAACTGGCGCTGCAGAGGCTGCGGGCAACCTCGCAACCCAGCGCTCAACCGCTGCGCCACCGGGGAGGCCCTGCAGTTAGACTTTTCCCATTGACTTTGAAATGATGCCGACCTTAAGATGCACCTGCTTTCCAAATTTCCCTGAAGCACTCTGACTTTGAACCTTTGTTCAGCTTGACTTGGTCTATGAATAAATCTGGCGATTGCTTGATGGCCTTGATGTCTCAGTGGGCTAGCAAACAATACTTCTCCTGAAAGCCTCCCTATTCCTTGGCTTTTGAGCAATTTAAATTTTTTGCAATCCTAGGGGTTCAAGAGAGGTGGACAAGGCCCAGGAGCCTACCACAGCTACCTGGGTTAGATCAGCAAATACTCCACTTCAAAAGGCACTGCTGACTCTCAGAGAACAAGTCAACTGAGTATTTTGTAGAGAAGAAAAGAATGAAAGACTGGAAAGGGCTAGAACACTTTTAATTCTCTGGAAATATAACTTCCTACAGAATGTAAAAAGGATGACTGACTTGAGACTATTCTGCTTCAGGATATGATTTTAGGACAAAGTATGAACGATGACACAGTGTGATCAAGATAACCGCAGTGGCACACTGGACTGCTTGGCACAGTTGTCCACTGTGCACTGGCATTGTGTGTGCACGGTGCACTGTGCACCAGCATTGTGCTGAGGGGGCTGATAGAGGAGGAAATCCAGCCAGGGCTCTGCCTTGTGTTCAAGGCAGGCACTTGCTAAACCAGCATTTTTTATGTTCTCCTCGCACAATGAGAGAATTCCAGAAGGCCCACTCTCATTTTATAGACGAGACTCATGGAGACTCAGAGAGACAATTTAGGGTAAAAATACCCACTTCCCACATCCACAGCTCATCATCACAGCACCTGCCCTAGAGGTGGCTGTGAGGCCTGAATGACTCAGTCCTTCCGGGCCTGATGGAGAGGAAAGACCGGAAAACTTTAGCAGCTACAACCACAGTGTCCGCAGGGCCGCTGAGGCTCAAGAAAGAGTGGCTCTTGCAGTAAAGCCTCGATTCCCACTTGGAGGGATGCAGGAGGTGGGGCGTTTAGTGCAGCGAAGCTGTTCTTTCCTCTTTGATGCTCACTCAGGGAGACGCTGCCTGGGTTGTCCTGGTGCTCAGAGAGGACGGGCTGGAGGTGAAGTTTATTGGAATTGCAAATACGTTTATTGGATTTTCAAGCATCTTTTTATTAAAATGCAGATGAGCTAAAATGACCTTATTGCAGCATGGTCTTGACTCTGCTCTAATACATTTTTTTAAAGTAGGTTTTAGGGAGGGGGGTTGGGGGGTTGAGGGGGTACTTAGATGCAGTTGGGGAAGATGAAAAATTTGCGGGATAAAAGGTGGTGACGTGAGCTCAGCGCTGCGAGTTCATGCATGCTGCGGGGTGGGGGGGGCACCTCAAATGCTTAAAGTGATTAAAGTGGCAAATTTTATGTTATTCATGTTTTACCACAATTAAAGTGAGTTATAAACTCCAGGATCTTATTCCCTTAAATGCTACCTTCCATTTTCTGCCTCATCATCTCTGTGCCCCCCAACATTCTCCCTCACGGGCTTGTAAGGACACCCTAGGACTTGTACTATCGCTTCCCAGGCTGGAAACTGAGGCTCAGACAGGTCCAGCAACTTGCCACGAGGAGCAACGGCAGGGGCAGGGCCAGCACAGTCACACCAGGCTCAGGAGCCGACCTAGGCCGGTCCCACCTGCTCCGCACGCATCACCCAGCTCAGTGCTGATCGTTCATTCCAGAACAAGCCTCGTCATTATTCACTGTGCACCTGTATTCTGACTTTTGGCAACACTTTCTTGGGAGGCCCTTCGGAGTGGCCAGCCCTCACTGGGGTGCCTGCCACTAGCTGGTGGCCACCAGCTAAGCTGAGAATCAGCCTGAGCATTGAAGGGGGAGACCCAGTCTGGGGAACTTGCACTTAGGATCTGGGGTCTGGAATGGGCAGGGCCGCTCCTGATACACAGCATCCTCTGCTGGCCTAGTCAGGTAACTTTGGGAGCAAGACTGGGTCACCTGGAGGAAGGGCCACCTTTTCCTAATTTGCTTAAGAAGGTCTCCAGGCCGGGTGCGTGGAGCAGCGCTGTCCTCCAGGGACTGAGGCTGCCCAGGCCTGGCGCTGGCCTGCACGTGCTGTTTGGAGACTCGCCCTTTCATCTGCCTCCTGATGACCAAATCCACCCAGGGGAGGGAGTGTCTTTCTGCAGCAAGGTCTCTCTGTGGGGCAGGCTTGGGGGAGGCAGGACAGGCAAGTGCCTCAGGCGCTGAACCTTTCAGTGCTGAGTGGCTGAGTCAAACACTGAAACAGCCTCATCCAGAAAATTCCCTAACGGTGGTACTTTATGAAGACCTCAGGGCACCTGGTGCGCTGGGGACAGTCCCTGGCCCACTGGTCTTCAGGGCCCTCACTTGGGGCACGGTGGACTTTTCCTCCAGGTAAATCCACCAAGTGCTGTGTCTCTGGCTTTGCATCTCTGTGTAGGGGGGCTGAGAATGCCTGGGGGTTTCCAGCTGCATCCTGGGGGAGCATGGACCTCTCAGAGCCCTTGGAGAGCCTCCCACGCTCCCTCCCTCCCTCTCTTTCTCCATTTCTTCCTTCCACCCATGTCCCCTCCAGCCTCTGCGGTGCTTTCTCCCTCCCTCCGTCCCCTCCTCCTCCCTTCCTTTCCAGCCCTCTACCTGTCCCCCCTCTCTCCTTCCTTCCTCCAGCCTGGCCCCTCCCTCCCTCTGTTGCCCCCACGCCATCAGGAGAAGGGGCCGCCTACCTTGCAGGTCCCTCTGGAAAGCAGCTGCCTTTGAACAAGATGGGGCCGAACCTTTATACCCCAAGTGAGACCCTTAGTCACGTGACCCCGTCTGCCCCTGGGGGAGGGGGTTTCCACAGCTGTGGCTGAACAGGTAAGACTGACATTAAGAGGCCCCATCTCAGCACAAGGAGCCCCAGGCCCTTATTAGAGGACAATGGATCCCCTGTTCCACAACCCCACCTCACCTCACAGGCCTTGGGGCCCAGGGATTAAGTCTCAGGGCCTTGGGGGAGCCTGGGGGATGAAAGATGAGGAAGCCCCACACCCTCCTGAGAGGAGAAGGGGCGGCTTTGTCTCAGTCTAGTTAATGGTTCAGCAAGAGGCTCCCTGGAGAGTCGTCTTATAAGGCCCTGGCCTCAGGCCTGGGAATGTGATGCCTCTTGCCTTAGGGTTTCTGCCCAGGCTGTGGGTAGGGTGAGCAGGGACTTTCTTTCTTTCTTTTTTTCAAAGATTTATTTTTTATATATTCATGCATACAAGAACCCAGAGGTGCAGGCATGGGGTGTGGTGGTGAGAAGATTCACCAGAGACAGAGTGGGGAGCAGAACAGGCGGACTGATTGAAGCACACTGCTGAGGGAGCAGGGGGGAGGCAGGAGAGGTCTGCCGTGCCATGTGGGTCAGTTCCCTGCCTGAGGATCAAACTCAGGCCACAGTGGCTGGCGGTAGCTTCACAGTGCTGAGACTTACCCCTGGGCCCCCTGGGAGGCCCCTGAGCAGGGACTTTCTAATCCAACAGACCAGGTTCCTGTGTGGGCCCTGCTTGTAGTTTTGCTGGGGACAGGGAGCTCATCACCGCTCTACCCCCACATTCAGGAAACGGGGCACATCCTCCCAGGACCTTAGGGTGAGCCAGGTAGGCTCGAAGTGGGGCTTTCACCCTAGCGCCTCTGCTAGTCACATCCTGCTCCTGAACCGCTCCTGTCCAGATTTCAGCCTCAAAACTAATGTACAGAGTGTCTGTCAGGGACTACAGTGGGTCACAGGGCGTTGTCCCCACCTCGGAGGCCCTGGTCACTTGACACTAAATGGGGTACGAGCTTCAGACCCAGGCAATGGCCTCCAGGTGACTGAGGCAGGATGTGCAAGGCCACCCGTGGGGGATTTCAGGGCGGGGAGGGGGCGGCTGCTGAGAGCTGCTGTGGCCTTTGGTTCTTCCCAGAGAGGGTCTGAGCAAACCACCTGTGGGGGATGGGGGGAGCCTTTCCAGAATCCACAGAAGGACTTTTCAAATTAATTAGCCCCTTTGTGCCTGGAAGGTTTTGTTTCCAGATACCAACGACTGTTCAGTATCTCAGGCCCATGGAGGAAGGAAGCCCAACCCGTCGCCAAGCACAGAACACACGGACCAGACACTCAGTAGAGCGCCTTCCCCTGGCCTACCCTGCTGGGGGCCCACAGAATAGGCATCAAGACCAGAAACGATCAAAATCAGCTCTCAGCTCCTTTCGAGGACAGGTCCTCATCACCTTCGCGGGGTGCTTAGAAGAGGACCTAGCTGCCTCGTGCAGTGTGTCTGATTAATGCACATCACCGGGTTAAATTAACTGTATAGAGAAACCACACTCTCTCCAGAGTGTGGGCTCAGTTTTCTTCATTTACGCTTCTGCCTCTTCTGAACGTTCAGGTTTCAGTCACTTCAGGTGTCCGGATCTCAGTGCCTGGACCGGCTTGTTCATGCTAGTCAGCGCCCCTTTCCTTGCTCCAGTTTCAGGGTTGCGCCGTGTGATGGGGCTTTCTTGAGTCCAGGTGTTTGGTGGCTGTGACCTTGTAGCAGCCTCTAGCATTTGTCCGTTCGCCTTCCACACCTTGCACAGATTAGCAGGAGAGAAAGGACACGTTACTTCCAAAAAGAACTGCTCTCAGTTAATTGATGATCTAGTTGCATTTTGGGTGATTTTTCCAAATACAAGCAACTCGGATCAGGGGCCGGGGTGAAGGGATGTTGCCACTCTATGTTGGGTCCGTTGCTTTTTCTCAGGTCTCACACTGACTTGCAAATATTCTCAAGGCATTTTTGTTTTAAGGCTGAAAAAGAAGAAGAGGAACTCAGGTACAGAAAGTGTTAAAAACAACGGCTCCCTTCAGCAGTGCTTTCGGTCCACCTGCCTGTTCTGCTTCGTGCTCTGTCTCTGGTGAATCCTCTCGCCCTCCTGCGCCTCTGGCCTGTACCCCAGTGCTTGTATAAATAAATGAATCTTTAAAAACAATAACAACAATAGGACAATAGCCCCAAAGCGAGCTGCTTATGTTATAGCTCATGTCACCAAACTAAGAATTAATTTAATGACAGAAGCAGAGTCTTAAGCCACAGGTTTGCTTGATCAGCCTCCGGATAGACTCTGCCATCCCCTAAGAGCACTGCAATAACCACCCTTCTTTTCCACCCAGTATCACGTCCTTTTTCTCATACCTTCTGCCTGTAAGTCTTGCATCTTGCACAGGTCCTTTCTCTCTGCTAGACTGGCTATTGCCAAGTTCAAACTGATTTTTTCTCAACTAAATCTAAAATTTTTAACATGCCTGTCTATCTCCTAACAGAAGGAAACACTACAGAGAGAGACAGGCACTGAACTCTGACAGCACCAGTGACAGCCCCGAGTCTTCCAGAGGGCAGGTGTATGGCAGTACACCAGCTGGGGTGTTATTCAGGTCAGTGCCAGGGTGTGAGCAGGACCGCACCCTGGTACCAGCCTCTGGGCCAGTCAGCAGCAAAGACACGTTGGGAGCAGCCTTCTCTTCCTCGCTCCGCCCAGGGCTCTCTACTTCATCTCCCCAGGTTGAATAAGGTCAATCTAAGCTCATTAATATGCTGTTTGGGTCATCTGTTGTTTGTGTAGAGACTCTAATATGGCAAGGACAAAAGAAGCGTCACTCAGTTATAAGCGGCTGTCAGGATGGCGTGTTCCGGCTCCCTGTGGCAAGTGGAAAAAGCTCTACTTGTGATTACTGAGCTCTCAGGCCTGCGCGGCAAATGACTGGCTTCCATGTGGCAGAAAAAAAGTGATGACTGAAAGAGAAGATGGCAGTAGGGGGGTGATGGAATTGCATATGAACTAAGAGAACTACTGCAGAGAGAAGCAAATATGGAGGCAAAAAAACAAAACAAAACAAACAACAGAGGAGTATCAGGAAACTGAGTCAAAAGTTTGATTTTAGGAGACTTAGTGAGTGAGAAGTTGGAAAACAGAGCACAGAGGGGGCTTTCAGAGGGCAGCTTCTGGAAGTGACAGACAATAGAGGGCAAAAATGATGTGTTTCTAAGAAGAGAGGCCGTAGATCCCATCTGATGCTCTTCCAGAAGCACAGGGAGAGATTGGGTCGCTAAACTGCTGCTGCCTTTTAAATGCAAACCACTGCGCAGTCTGGGTCACATAAACACCCGGCTTCTATTTGAGTTACATCAAGAAAGGATTTCTCAGAGCTCAATATAACTTCATGAATTTTAGATCAATATTCCTTGATTGGACAGTCCATGCAATGGCAAAATAAAATGACTAAATCATTGGTTTTGGGGCCAGACAGACTGGATCAGTCATTTTTGTCTGCTGGGGTGGGAGAAAAACCAAGATGTCCAGCGTCCTGGTGCAAATGAGGCCATCAGGACAAGGACGAGGCTTCAGACACCGCTTCCAGGCCTGATCTGCCTTGTTTTTCTTGAATTACTTGAAAACATTTCACTTTGGTCAAATGTCTTATGTAGGGGTTCTCTTTTGTTTCATTTTTCTTTGCCTTTTTAGTTTACAAGGGGACTCAGAGATGCTCAGAAATTTGCTTGGGATCCTGTAGAAAGCAGCAGTGCTTGGTCAGGAAGACCCTGCTCTACACACCCTCTCCCCAGCCCCCAGACATCGTCACAAACATCAAGTTGTTGGGAAAGGGAAGTCAGAAATGCCCTAGACTCTTTTTGTCTCCCACAGGGAGTGACTAGATAAGTTACACCACTTCTCCTGACCCCTCTAATGCAAGAAAATCTGATCATATCAGGCATTTATTGCCAAGTCTCACCACAGTCAAACTGCACACTTACTATATGACCAGGACACTCTCTTCATCCTCTGGCAGATGTATGTTGCATTCTTCAGAAACCAGGAGTAGTAGTCAAGACAGTACCTAAAGATTGGCATGAGAGGGAGAGCTGTCAGCACCCTGTGAAGTCTATTACAAGAAACCAGAGTTTAAAAAGTCATAGTAGCTAATTAATCTCAGCAAAGAACCCTTGCTCCATCCTCACAGGGTGTGGGAGGAGAGTAGAGAGTGAGGTGGGGTAGGAAAAAGCTCAGACAAGACTTACTTTTTTGTTTCAGAGTAGTTATTTACTAAGATGTGTGACTTCAGGCTGATTTCTCAATTCTCTGGGCCTTCAACTTTTCAAATATAGACAAGAAGCTATAATAGAATCTACATTCACAGGTTATCAGAAGCATAAGGGCTGAGCAGGCCTAGGCTTTTAGCTGCTTAAGTGCAGGCTTAAATGGGCTTACTTTGCTAAATTTAAGCTCCAAACTTCTGCTTTCCTCATTGGTTCTTCTAGTAAATATTTGCAATATTTAGGTTTTTCTAAAGTGATTTTTCCCCAGAGGGATAAGATTAAAAGTTTTTTCCTGTCTGCAACACTTCGTTCTGTCACTTAATATGATATATTTTTAATTTGCATTTATGATCATTTCTTTCTCCCAACTATGTAAACCTCAGTTTCTGGGTGTGTTTCTGACTCACATCAGAAATGACTGAACATCATTATTTTTTGAACCCAGAAAGTGCTATTGAAAATTTCTCTTTAGGATCAGCCTGTGGCATTGAGAAATGTCTCCACCTTCTTGTATAGAGATGGAAGAAACACCCACATTGACCGAGGGGTCCAAGACCAGGGCCAGAGAGGCATGGTGGGGAAAGGCAGCAAAGCTGAACTTAGGACTCAGACCCGGAGGATGATGGAGATTTGAAAAGTTGAAGGCTCATGAGTAGACTTAGAAAATAGCATTAAAGATCTAAGAAAAAGGCCCCAGAACACTGGAGCAGAAATATTCATCTTGTTTTTGGTTCTGGGTTTATAGCCAAGAATAAATCTCAGGATAAAGGGGCAGGATGTCAGGATTTCAGGGAAGGAACATGTCCAAACCCAGAGCTTCTTAAATAAGGCAGGGTCTGCATTCCAATTGTCTTTTTACAACCTTGTTATTTGGCAAGCAAGTTACTGCTAGAAGCAGAATTTAGATGGACACATCCTGTGATTATTGTCTTCTAGCAAATGTCACCAGAATGAGGGCATTTGGGTTCAGGGGACCATTCTGAATCTTCTGTAATCATTCCACCAGAAGTGACATGACTCAGTTCAGCTCAACTGAATTCAGCTCAACTCAGCTCAACTCAACCCAGCCCCACTCAATTCAGTTCAACTCAATTCAGTTCAGCTCAACTCAACTCAGTTTAGCTCAACTCAATTTGATTCAACTGTATTTACTTTGTTCACCCTGCACTTAGTTTTGGGGACTCAGTTATGGATGAAGTTCCATCCTTGCTCTCAAAAAAGGTGCAGTCTGGCAGAGGACTCCTTGGAGGTTGATTCCTTGAAAAGCCCTTAACCCTTGTGTATGAACTGTGTCATGTCTGCCTATTGTGAGGCCTATAACAAAGCCAGGAGAATGGGAGCCTGTAAATACTGAATGTGAAACGCAGCCACTTGCCCAGGTTACCTCACGGCTTCCATCCCAGGGACCCTCTTGGGGGCCATGCAGAGACATTGCTGGAAGAAGCGGCACAGCTCCATGAGGCAAGGGTTGAGCTTCTGGAAGGCTAGGGTGGGAGGAGCAGCTGTCTGGGCCCCCTCTTTGGGGAATGGCTGAGGACACCCTAGAAAAAATAATCCTAGACTATTTAAATCCACAAGAATTCAGCAAGTGTCTTCTTGGCTAGTTATCATGTTGGATGACTACAGTCTTGCCCCTGATCTCAGGTGACCCAGACAGACAGGTAAGGATAGCAGTGCTTCCCCATTGTTGGAGTTCTGAGAGATAAGAGGAGAGGAGGTGGGGCTCCAGCTCCAGGAGGAACTCAGAGGTGGTTTCTGAGAAGGAAATATTAAACAGGGAGCTAAAACATTGAGCAGAAACGCATCTGGTGGAGGCATTTCTGGTGTAAGAGCTAGAGCCCACAAAGACTCAGCATGATGCTAGGCTTGCTGATGGAGAAAGGCAAATAATTTGACAGTACAGAGGATGTGGGGTATGACAATGTGTTTTCAAGGGCTTACGTGCACATGCACGTGTGTATGTGGGTATACATGTTTGTGTATGTGCAAGTAAATGTATGTGCATGTGTGCGCACAGGGATATATGCGTTTGCATGGATGAGGTATGTGCATTTGTGAGTGGGAGTGTGTACATGTGCATGGACTGTGTCACCTAAAGTGACAGGGAGGGTAAATAAGACAATTTATATGAAGTGCCATGCAAAGTTCCTAGCACGTAATAAACAATAAACACAAGCTATTATTATTATTATCGACTTATTAGAAATTTGTTGCACACCCCCCCCCCCCGCATGCTAGCCACTGCTAATAAATATTGGGGACACACAAATGAAAAAGAAAGAAAAAGCACCTTGGTGCAGTGCTCTCTTTCTAGTGATCTGAGATTAGATTAGGAGATTAGTAGTAATCTTCTGGCATAGAATTGCTAATCACTAGTAATTCTAGGATAAGGAAAATGCTGGAAATAAACTAAAAGAATCACTGAGGTTCTGTTAGTGCATGCCTGACATTGCCTGGCAGGCTCTGAGGGGAACCCTCTGGTTAAACAGGGCCTGCCCCTTTTATCGACTAGGTGATTGCACAACTCGGAAGGGGTAGAGACTAATTGTTAGCAATATAAATAATTCTTGTCTAACAGCAATCCAAATATTACCTGTTTTTCTGGTGAAGGTGTACAACTGATTTTTGTTGAGCAAAAATAAAGAGTTTGTTGCTGTAGGATATCAATTAGCAAATTCATTTCGAATTTCTTTGATTGACTAGACAAAATCTTATTTCTCAAATTCTCCATTGAATCAGTCTTAATATTTTCCTGGTTTCTTCAATAATAATGAGTTGAAAACATCTTTGACATGTGTGCATTTCATATTTTTATGAGATTCAGGGATTTAATTTTTGAAAATTATAACTCAGCAGTTATATATTTGTTAAAGTGCTGAAGTGCCTCATAGTGACAAAGATTCAGCAACACATTTAGAAATGTTAAATCATTATCCTGTGTCACCTGGAACAGCAGACCTTCTAGAACACTCATCCACTTTCATACCTATGCATTTATTGATCACGGCTTTGTGTTAGACACTTTCCGGAGTTCTTTACATATGTGATTTCATTTAATCCACATAAAGTCATGGGAGGTAGATATTGGATGTACTATTTAATAAGGGTCTGAGCGATTCTGTGGTTTGATCAGTAGGACAGCAGGCTCATATCCACCACATTTGACCTCTGCACACACATCCCATTCCTAGCGCTTGTTTCCAGGCCCCCCTCCCACCTTGCACCTCCATCTCAGGAAACGACACTTGGGCACAATCTTTGGTTCTTTCCGGGAGCTCACACATCCATCATTATATCCTCCTTAATATCATTCAAGTTCCCCATCTGCATTGCCACCCCCAGTGTCAGCCCCCATCACCTCCGGCCATCGTTAGTACAATAGTTTCCACACCAGTTTCCCTGCTCATGGCTTCATTCTTTAAGTCTCTGCCCTGTATAGCTAGAGGAAAGTTTCTGCAAATCTGATCACATCACTGCTTCAGAAGAGGCCCACACGCCTCAACACGGACTTCAGCCTCATTCCTCACTGCCTCGCAGCCCCAAGCCTGCAGTCCTAAAGACCTAAGTCCCTGGAAGCATCAGTCCTTTCCTGTCTCAGGACCTTTGCATATATTGTGCCTTTACCCAGAATGCATATTTAGAGGCAAACCTTGTTCAGGTGCCACTTTCTCAGTCATCAGCATCCTCGTGAATGATGCCCTCAGGTGTAAGTCATGTCTTCCTCTCTGGATGCACAGAGTACTTTATTGCTTTTTCTCTTAATAACTTTGCCACTTTCTTGCTCAAACTGGACTTTTTGGCACATATGAAAATTCTTGGGGGAAGTCACATAGATGAGGTGGAATGAGCACAGGCTTTGGAATTAGATATCTGGGCTCAAAACTTACTTTTCACCTGGGGTTCTCACCAACATTACTTGTTGAAGATGACATTTCCTAGCTTGCAGAATTATTGTAGAGAAAACGTGAAAATAAGCATAACACAGTGCGTGGCACACAGTGGGAGCACAATAAATATTCACAAGAGGATAATGAGCGAGTGTCAGGTCTTGAGGCATGATTTTTCATGGATGGGTAGAATCATTTACTGGGAGATGCCAGACCCACCTTAATTTGCCATTCTGTTTCTCACTAGATGGCTGGCTGGCTGGCAGATACAACTGTAAAGGTAGACAAAGCTATAGTACAGATATAGATACATATACAGATGTTGCCACATTGGTAGGTACAGGCACAGGTATAGTTAACTTGTCTCTAAAACCCACTGACAACTCCCCCCATCTGCACCACCAGTGCACTGTATCTCTTCTGAACCCACTGGGGGAAAACTGGCTATAATTTCCCTTTGTAGCTTTATCACATCTTTGTGTTTGAAAGGCCCATTCACCGTTCACTGCAGGTAGATGGTGGGGCTGAGGCAGATCTTAGGCGATATGAAAAAGGAGTCTGTGCAGGCTCCAAAATTTAATAATGCCTGTTGACAGATGATGGGACAGTTCCAGGAACATTCAGGAAGCTAGTACAGAAAGGCATCCAGGCGTCAGCGGGGCCAAAGACTTCACCAGATTTGCAGGCCTCGCTTTGTATCAGTTTCTTTGTTAAGGGAACTGGCTCAACAAAAAAGAGGAGTGTGAGACACCCCAGATCTGGGACGGTGCAGCATAAACCCCAAAACTGGAAGCCCTGGGGCTGTCTCAGGGGTCCTACAGCCTGGCCACAGCCTGGGAGATGATCCCTCTACGGTTCTCTAAGGATGAAGGTGCAGGGAGGGGAAGGCATGTGGGCTTTGAAACAGAACAAAGTAAATCACATCCAGGGACAGGGGTTGAATTTTGGAGTCACCTTTTACTCTTTTTTCTGTCTCTGCTAGTGCCCATGCTCATTACGGGAGCCAGAGGTGTGGACAAAGAAAATGTGGTAAAATGCACCATGGAGTACTACGCAGCTGTGCGATGCCACCACTGCAGCGTGAATGAGGCAGGAGGGACTGTGTTAAGTGAAGTTAGCCAGCCAGAGAAACTGACACTGTGAGGGTCATCCCTGCGAGTTAAAGGAACACAGCAACTGAATACCAACGCAAAACAAAACTCCCAGATTCTGACAAAAGAATGGTGGTTATCAGAGGGGAAATCAATGCAGGTGGGAGGTGGGAGGGGGTGGCTGTGGGTGAAAGGGTCAATGTGGTGGGTGGAAACCGGTATATACAATGTCGCAGGGTAGAGCTGTACCACTGAAGGGCGCAGTGTCATAAACCAATGTTGCTTCAATTCAAAAATATAAAAGAACAACTTCCACTTGCCAAGCACATGGCACTTGGGTTGATTGTCTTCACTCAATAAATGTTTACTGGATTCAGTACGCAGAGCTCTTTAGTCCTTAATCACTTCTACACATGCTATCTTATTTAAATCAAAAGAACTGGTGGAAAACAGACAAGTTCAGCAACCACAATAATTGCTATTATTTTCCCTTTACGGAGAGGAAACTAAATCCTGGATGCCGTGTGCCAGAGCCAAACTCACCAGTAAATGGTAGAGTTAGCATCTGAATCCCAGCCGTGTGGACCAAAATATATTAAACAAGTCTTTTTCTTTCTGCTCCACAATCTTGTTCAAGACAAACAAAAGCCCTTGTAGTGACAGGGAGCTGGCACTTACTGGAGACTTGGTGGGGCCAGGGGACCAGGGCCGGCTCCTCTCCCCGGGAGAATGGCCAGGCTGCAGGCAGGTCACCTGGAAGGGGTGAGGTGAGCTTGGCTGACACACACTACTAGACAGTCCTAGCACTGAAGGATGCAGAGTCCTGGAAATCCATAGGGAAATTGCAGCCCAGAAATAGGACATGATTTATCTAATGCCACAGAGCAATGTCACAGCACATCAAGGCTTCTAAACTAGCTCTGCCGGACTTTTCCTGGTTCTTCTAGAACCTACACAGGACAGTAAGCAGCTAAGTCTGCCTGCCCCATCCACCCCTCTTCCCAAGCTACGATTTCTGTCTGCACTTTGGGTTTCTCTCTCCGGTGGCACAGTCTTACCTGCATGTGGGTACTTGGGAGCCGGTGCCTTGGTTGGACTTGGAGTCTGTGTTCCTGGAGGGAGATGAGACAGAGGTGAGTCTGCATTTCTGCTCAAGATGCCTGATCAAGGAAAGAAGCCCAGGCCACCAGTCTCGCCCTAGTCACCCAGTGTTGTTATTCAGCTGGGTAGCTGGTGGGGCATTGAGGATGCAGAAAGCACAGGAAATAGAATCTGCAACGGGGCATTGCCAGGGCCAAGGAGGACATGAACAAGCCATCCGTCGTGGTATGGCCTGCCTGGCGTGCCGGCGGGGGGCAAAGCAGCTCACACTGGCGTGGCGTGATAGAAAGACCCAGTGATGGTGTTGCACAAGCGGAGTGAGAGCACAGTGCTCTGGGGAGCAGAGAACGGCCTGTTTCTCATTTTCCCTAGTCTGGGTGTGTGCCCGTGCTGCCCCCACCCCTAGAGACTGCCTGCCACTTTCCTGAGAGAATAAAGCTGCAGGGAAATGGGTCCATGAAAGAGGAAAACTCCCTGCAAAGAGGCGTTTACATTCATTCATTCACTCATTCCAAGGGGGGAGTACCAGGGGCGTAGAGGAGCGGGCTCGTGATGATTATTAATTATGTTGTTCGCTTCTGCTTTCTTTCTTTTCTACATGCATATTTCAAAAATTTAGAAAGGGTTTTAAAAAGAAACAGTGCTCAGGTTGGGTTAAGGATCGGGAGGCGGGCGTGGCCATTGTTTCTTACCTGAGGTCGGGCTGGCCTGGGGCTGGCTGCTGGGGGAGGCCACCGTCCTAGCAGGTGACCCAGAAAGAACCCAAGTGCTCATGGGCTCCTCAGCAACCGGAGAACCTGGGGGCTTGGAGGAAGAGGCCTCCCAGGGGGGCCCTCCAGGTGTTTTCTCATCGGTGGTCGGCGCCCAGGGCACAGGTAGTGTGGAAGCTTCTGGCTGCTGGTTGACTGTCACCCACAAAGTTCCGGCCACCCTCCTGGTAGCTGTTCAAGTGACAGTGTGACAGGACACATTTTGCTTGACCACTTAGATCAGATAAATTGCAAAAATGGTAAAATTGCCAAGACATTGACATGTAATCAAAGGGCAAAGCAATGTGACTGTGTAATAGATGATGCAGGGGCTTAACTTTACCCTGGACTGGAGTATGTGGACCAAACTAAATTTTGCTTCCTAACTACAATTAAGAAAAAACCCACTAATTAAAAAAGATATCTGCATCTCTGTTTTCACAGCAGCATTATTCACCACAGCCAAGACATGGAACCTACCTAAAAGCCTGACAACTGGATTAAGGAGCCGTATATATACCCCGTGGAATACTATGCAGCTGTTAAGAAAAGATGACATCTTGCCTTTTGCAACAACATGGATGGAACTGGAAGTGATTATGCTAAGTGAAATAAATCAGAAAGTGGAAGACAAATACCAGATGGCTTCACTTAAATGAGGAATATAAATAACCAAAGCAAACAAACTGTCAAAACACAACAAAAGTAACTCTTAGATTTTGTGAAAAATATTGCGGTTCCTGGAGGGGAAGGAGAAGCGGGTGAGAGGAAAGAGTAGAGGGTAGAGGGGCTGGTGTGATTATGTGTTGGCACTGGAACTCCGGGGGAGGTGAGTGGAGCGTATACACATATGGAGGAGGGGGCTGTGCTCCTGGAATCATAAAGCTTTGTAAACGAGTGGCAGCTGAATAAAATTTGATTGGAAAAAGATTTCTAATCCCTCGGACATCCAGACAATCGGAGAGGGCCTGTGTGGGGGCACAGTGGGTTCATTCTCACATTTAAGAAATACGTTTCTTTTTATTTATTTATTTGTTTGTTTGTTTGTTTGTTTGTTTATACAAGCACTGGGTACAGTCAAAGGCATGGGAGGGTGAGAGAATTCACCAGAGCCAGAGCGGGGAGCAGAACAGGCAGACTGACGAAGTACACTGCTGAGGGGAGCAGCAGGAGGCTGGAGAGGTCTGTTGTGCCATGTGGGACCCTCGCCCGGCAGCCGGGGATCGAACTGGCGCTGCAGAGGCTGCAGGCAGCTTCGCAACCCAGTACTCAACTGCTGTGCCACCGGGGAGGCCCCAGAAATACATTTCTAATGTATTTAGAGGGAAGATTATGGAGTTTGAAGCAAAGAGACCTACGGGAGTAAATCCTCCTTTTCCTCCATGCTGTGAATTCTGGGGCAAGTCACTGAACTCATAGTAATAATAATAATGATAACAATAATGCCTGCCCTACAATTTCACATGATTGTTAAAATAATGTTAAGTCTCCCATCATTGAACCAATTGTTATAGGTTCTCCCTTGTTCATTCCATAGGTAGGGATTAAAATTATATTTTTCACATTTTTCTAGACTAACTCTCTTGAAGAATTTTCAATTCTTACTTGGGAACAGTTGCCATCTTCAAAATATGGCATATCACTTCATTTAGTTAATAATAGTCATTTACTGTAAAATTTTTTTTGCCACTCTCTTTAAATTTTTGTTCATTTTTGTATATAAAGCTAGCTCTTTTGCTCTTAGGGTTATAACTAGAAATTCCATGATTTTTTTTTCTTACCAATTGCAATCACATTTTTTTCATACTGTACCGGAAAGGTTTCTAATTTTGTGTGATTGTCATGAAGATGGTCATTGTGCTAAGGACTGTTTTAATTAATAAAGTTGATTCTTCTTCCTCATTCTTATTTCTCTGCCTACCTGACTCCTACCAGTTCTTACCTCCTTGGGGAGCCTGGCTCAGAGCTTTCCCTGCACAATAGCTCTTTGTAGGCTGGGTCACAACGATCAAGTTACCTGCCTGTGTCTCTCTTTCTTGGCCTGTGAGTTCAGGGCAGAAAGGGAATATCATCGAGGGAGCTATCTTTTTAAGAGCTACCTTGGGGTCTAGTACCAAATATATGTTTTGGGGCCTCCCTGGTGGCGCAAAGGGTTAAGATGCAACCTATGAAGCTGTCTGCAGCCTCTGCAGCACAAGTTCGATCCCTGGCTGGCCAGGGAGCAACCCACATGGTGAGTCAGACCTTTCCTGTCTCCCTGTTGATCCCCTCAGCAGTGTATTTCAGTCAGTCTGACTGTTCTGCTCCCCACTCTGTCTCTGGTGAATCCTCTCACCACCCCCCCACAACTCTAGCCTGTACCCCAGCTCTTGTATGCATAAATCAATAAATCTTAAAAAAAATAAACACATGTTTTGGAAAACGAATGAATTCTGATGACCTGGTTCATTGTTGGAACCCACTGAGGCAGTATTGATGTTCATGGAAACCTGATCTCAGTTGTATCTAATTCCCAAATAGGGACAAGCTTGCCTTTGCATCTCGGAGACAATCTTGGTATGCCGTCATGCTGGCATCGAGCCATTAACTTATTCTTGGCATCATTCTCCAGCCAACTAGAAATTAACCTAGCCTTGCTGCGAAATATTGACTGCATTTCACCATTCAGTGATTCAGTGTGCGTTTCAGGGAGATATATTGCTAAATGTTCTGATGAAATAAAAATGTCTATATTTCAATTATTTAAGGTGTTGTCATTGGGGATACCGGGTGAAGGAGATGGAAGAATGCTCTGTGCTATTCTTGCAACTTCCTGTGAGTCATAAACTATTTCAAAATTTAAGAAAAAGTATAAATATAAAATGTTAGCAGGATATTATGCCAATGACACTTGTTACCATTGTCTGTTCTCATGGAACCTATACAGGCTCACACCCATTTCTCATTTAAGGCAGGGGGGGCTGAAGAAGAAAGGGGTTGGCTGGGAAGGGCTAGAAGGAAAGTTTTCACGTATTTGTAGGAGCCTTGAGGGAACAGGGGAGAGGAACAGGATAGGAGAGGACAGGGTGGGAAGCTTCTTACCCAAGGTGGGGTGCACAGGAGGAGAGGTGTCCCGTGGGGCCATTGTCCTGGCATTATGCTCAGGAAGCCTGGTCTGCAATCCTGCTGAAGAAGGAGCTGTCTCTGGCCAGGAGGAGGCTTTCAGAGAAAATACTCTGGTGCTTGGGGTTCCACGGAGGGGGCTTGTCCGTAGTGTTTGCCAGCTTGTGGGTGGGAGGATTGAAGTCATGGCCGCACCCCTGGTAGCTGCACATTCAGGAGACAGTGAGTGGCAGGACCGATGAGCTTGGCATTTTGAGCACAAAAAGTTGCCAGGTTGTTGAAAGGTCCTTGTAAACTATCACACAGAATGCAGAGATGTTCTGGGCATCTGGGTTCTATGCTTACCCAGAATAGAACCTAAGAATAGAACCGTACATCGCCAAACAGAGGGCTGCACCTTGAATGATAAATTAAGCTAAAATACCCGTCTCTGAAGAAGTGCTGTGAACAAATGCAAAGCTGTCAGGCCAACACCCGAACAGAACCTGGATCCTGTCAGAGTCCTTAACCCACTTTGCAGCCCTCAGCCTCTCCATGGCTCTGGCACTTGTCCCTGAAAGAGGATTAGACTTGCTCCATGCAACCTGTGCATATGATTAGGAACCAGAAATGAAATTTTGGGGACCAGGGTCTGCCAGGCAGAAACTGCTTGAAAAATAGTTCCCAAAGAGCTAGCAGAAGGCTCAATTCACAGGGAGATCTGCCCAGGGTCCTTCTTTTCTCCATGAAGCAAAGTGTCAACTTTCCCCTATATTTCCCCTAAGGAAGGCTTCCATGGTGGAGGGCTGGATGTTAGGGCACCAGACTCCCACTGGCCTGCTGGGACCCTGTCTCTGGGTACACGAGTATGGCTTACAGACTGGTGGGCAGAACCTCTGTTGGACTTTGGCCCCTACTTGCTTCTTCAGTAGGAAATGGTATGTTGGGAACAACCCATGCAATTGCAGAAAGTGGGCCAGTTTCATGGCTCGCCTGCCTTACCGCTGGGCTCAGCACCCCACATGCACCACATGTCTGTCCATGCCCCTAGATCAATTGGGCATGGAGTTAAGTGCCTCCCAATGAAACTGTCCCTCAGCCATGTGACTGGCTGTCAGGCACATCGATTTGTAGGTTTACTTTCTCTTCCTAAGCACATGAGTGAGGGAGCACAAGAGGGAAGACATAATTGAGACTGGAGGTGGAAACTGGAAAGTCATGGAAGAAGTATACTTGCTCCACCCTCAGATTTGCCCTCAGAATTGGACGGAAGAAGGGAACCCAATAAATATCTTTTTTATCTTATTAAGTAGCCTCATTCCACACAAGTTGCTCTTCCCTTCTCAGCATAACTAGGGGTTGTCCTACAATGAATACAAATCAAGGTATCCCTCTGAGAATGAATTAGGGGATTATTGTAAACTTCATTTCATTCCAAGAAATAATGATGAAGAGCCTACTATGTGCAAGGTCAGTGTGAGGTACTGAGAGGGGAGACAGGAGCTTTGGAAGACTGGTCTCTGTCTCCAGGTATCACTAGTGAGGTGATGGACATACATAGTCAACTGTGATATAACCAGGAACAATATAGAGTCCAAATGACGTACAAGTACTGTGTTGTAGGACTACAGAGGATGGAAGATTTTGACTGGAGGATCTTTGGGAAAGAAGAGAAAGTCTCTAAGCTGGCAATTGACAGACAAATCAGTATCTGAAACAATGGAAAAGTAGGGAAAGGGTTCCAGACTGGGATAACAACATGAGCAAAGTTGCAGGGTCATGGAGTTAATCAATATGTCATCTGCCAGGAGAAGCAAGGACATCAGTGTCCTTTTATCAGAGAATTCATGGGAAAAGGACAGAGATGAGAGTGGCCTTGAAGACAGAGAAATGTACTCTCTACACTAAGGAGTCTGCTACTGACTCATGAGTTCTGGGCAGTGAAGTAAAATAATTCAATCATATTTTAAGACTATTGCTCTTATGGCCATGAATGGGTATGTAGAGAAATAAGGCCTGGCAGGGGTTGGGGGCAGAGTGTAAGGCACTGGGCTATGGAAAACAGGAGAAAGGGGTCCCTCAAGGCACTGGGCTATGGAAAACAGGAGAAAGGGGTCCCTCTTAATGGGAGCAGCGGGGGCAGCAGCTACTCAAATTGCTTGCTGCCATGGGTGAGGGGGAAGATCCAGGGTTGCCAGGTTTTCCTTTGTAAGAGAATTCAGAAACTTAAAAAAAATGAAAATCCTTTCATTGTAACACAGCACAGTGGGGTGAAACGCCCAAGGGTTGTTGCATTCAGTCTTCAGCTTGCATGGTGGAACCAGGGTCTAAGACACCACACCTTGGGAGGGTTTATACTCACTCTGAACACCTGATGTGCTGCTGGTGAATGTGTAATTGATAACAGGAGATTTCTCTGCCATCTCCCAGAAGTCAGACAGATTCCTTCCTGCAAAAATCACACCAACAGAAGCAAGTCCTGGGCTTACCTGCTGGAGTGATGCATTTAATTTTCGGCTCAGAGAGCTTGTCAAAGAGGCTGGGGGTGGGGGGAGTCACCTGATTTCCCTGTCATCACACAGATGAAGATGCAGTCCGATTCATTCGTCTGACTCACTGCAAGACAAACCCGAGCACAGCAAGACCTAGCATTGGGTCTGAAGCCCTAAGTCTTTGGTCAAAAGGATAATTACGCTGAATTAAATAATTCCTATAAATTATAATTTATATTATAATTTATCCCCATAAATTATATAGGGATATTATAATTATACAGAAATTATAATTAAATCCCTAGTTCAGGAAGTTACAAGAAAATAAGACTAACTCCTTATTCTCAAGGCAACCCTAATTTTCTGGGATTATTTTTTGAGGGGGTTCAGTAGAATGCAATGTGAATCTTGAGCCAACCTGGAGCAAGATATTCAACCCTCTCTGAATCTCAGTTTTCTCATTTTTAAAATAGGGGGTACAGCTATTCAGCAGTTGTTTTCTAAAGTCTGCCTAGATTCTCCCCCGCCCCCAACTTTGAGCCTAGGATTCTTCAATATTTCGGACACCAAGAATAGCTTTGATTGGAAGATGGGGTCCTTAAGTCCTAGTGATTGACACTGGACCACACTGGTTGTCTAAATAGAAATGACACACAGGTGCCCGGCAGCCTTGGCTTGGCCAGGCTGGTGATGGGGAACCCAAGCTGGGACTGAATCTCAACTTTGCCAGACATTTTCAAGACGAAGATACCTGAGAGGATGGAAGTCGACTTAAAAATCTCTGTGAGGTAGCTCGTGGAATTGCCGATGATGTCCACCAACAAGGCTGTGAAATCTGCAAGACAGGTGGGAGAATTTTAAATTTCTAATTCAGAGACTTATTTGGATTTCTCAGAGTACATTTGACAAATATGAATTAATTCGGGATGTTGAGGAATAGGAAAATACTACTAGTTGTTAATAAGGTCTTAATTTCAGGGAGGCAGAAACCCTTTAGTCCCACTGTTGTAAACCCTCTTCTCCCATAGCCTCCTCCCCAGATCCTTCTCTGCCAACACCACAGGGCTGTGAAAGGTCACACTGCTGTATTGTGGGTTTTCTCCAGTTATCTCTTCTAATTGCTTTAGAGCACCACGTCCATCTGACAATAAACAGCCCCGAATTATGTCATTCAGATTTACATCATTTTGGATTTTCAAAACACGATGTCCATTTTCGCAGTAGGTTATAAACTAAGGACGACATAAGAGATAAGGGATAAGGGATAATACAAAACAGAGCCAGGACTCTCTCCTCCTGCCCTCTCTCCCTTGCCAGGAAGGCCTTCCTTCCCTCCCCTCCATGCAGCAGAATTTGAATCTGATCTGAGAAATGCCCTGGAACTAAATGCCCACTCTTCCAGGGATTCCCATCGCTGATCATGGAATTTCTGTCTACTGCCCTTTAGAACCGCCCTCAACTCTTAGGCTTGGAAGAAAACCAGTTATTACCTCAAAGCTGTTATTGTTTTGATGAAAGCTTGAGTTAGCTAGTGGGACAGCCGTGCTTATAGATGACTGATTTCATACTACCTTCATATATAAATAAAAAGTGGAAAAGACAAATTTCTGCCTATTCAATTGGTGACATGTTGGGGGTTTCTTTCAGCCCTCCATGGTGGCAAGGGCGTGGGGATGCTGGGGAGGTGGTAGGCCAGGGTGAGCGCCACCCACCTGACAGGTCATTGGTCCGATTGTTTAAACAATAGCAGTACCGGGTAGGGAATTTAACTGGATCCACTGTCTTCAGGTTAGAAACTGCGGAGAGAAATGCTCACACAGCATCCTGAAGGTAGCCGGGCCCGCCCGCCCCCCCGCCATCACCGCCCAGAAGAGCACCTGCACTCACTGTTGTAAATGGCCACAGAAAACTTGTGGAAGGCAAAGGAACTGTAGGACGTGATGCTCAGCAAGGAGAAGAATTTCCTGCTATCTGCCAAAGAGATCGAGATAAACAACAGGTTCCTACTGGCAACAAATAGTGATAGAAACTAGTGCACAGATACTAGACATTAATATATCAGGGAGAAAGGTCAAGGGAGTATAAGGGCTTGCTGCGAGATTAAAAAAAATAGAGTTGTTTGATATGCAATGAATAATTTTATTTACTATTTCTTCAATAATTTATTTATTTTTATATATTTTACATCATTGCTCATTCTTTTTAGAGTGTTTGCTTTCTTTTTTCAGGTGCAGTCCCCACAGATTCCCACCACCGATTCACCCTGCTCCATCACCACAGTCCCTTGTGCTCGTCCTGCCCTCGTTTTGATCCTTCTTCCTCCTCTCTCCCCTGTAGAATGTCTCTGATTTATAGTTGTCTGTTTATTTTTGTTTAGTTGTGTTTTTTATTGTTATTATTATTTTCCCTGATCCCTTATTTGGTTCCCCTATATTCCTCCTAGAAGTGAAACCATCTGATATTTTTCTTTTTCCTTCTGATTTATTTCGCTGAGCATAATCTCTCCTAGCGCCATTCATGTTGCTGTGAATGGCATGAATTTATCTTTTTGATGGCTGAATAGTATTCCATCATGTCCATATACCACATCTTCTTGAATCCAATCATCTATTTTTGGGCATTTGGATTGTTCAATGAATAATTTTAGATTTAGAAGAAGGAAGCCCGGTAAGCCTTCTATGGAAGAAGGACCCAAAATAAAAGGCGATTGCAGAGAACAGTTGGGGAGCTGGTGGCCAGCCGTGGAGGTGGGGAGAAGTGGTGACATTCTGTGGGGTCTGCAGGATTTGTAAGAGAGAGGACTGACACTGGAAGAAAAAAAATTACCCTCATGCAACCGGAAAAAAAGTTTCCGTCCATTGAAATCAAATGGCCAACTATTTTAAAAGTCAGAAAGAAAATGTGTTCATTTATTGTCTTTACCTGCAGGGCTGTGAGGCCTGGGGCAAGAATAGCCCTTTCAATATTTTATCCCTTTTCTAGAGCCCACCTGTGAGCCCCCCAGTGCTAGCTCCACGCTGAGATTGTCATCAGGGATTCACACACAAAAACAAAACCACCAAGAGTAAATAACTGAATTAAATAACACATAAGAATGAATAGTAAAAACAATAAAATGTTTAAAAAGTGAACCGAAACACGCTGAACTACACGTCACTTGATATTTCCTGGGACGTCCTCGTCCTGGTGAGTGTCTCACGGTTAGGCTGTGACGAGCAGCATCTGCACACACGGGGTGTTTGGAAAGCAGCTTGTTCTCAAAGTGCTGCACTGAGGCTCCCCACCTCGTCATGAGTCAGGGAGAACACATTCTCCACTCTAAACTGGGAGGAGTGGAGACGGAGGCATACCCTGTCTCCCATGCAGCTCCAAGAAAGGCCCAGAAAGGAAGCGTGTTGAGACAAAAGTGAGCTTGCATTAACCTTAAGTCAGTGTTTGCATATTCTAGGGGTAAATAGCCAGAAATGGGATGGCTGAATCAGTTGTGTTTTTAGTTTTTTGAGGAATCTTTCATTTTTCACAACCACCAAGGTATATGGAATCAACTTAAATGTTCGACAGCCAGCTGGATAAGAGATACTACTCAGCTGTTTAACGGAATACTACTCAGCTGTTAAAAAGATGAATCCTGCCTTTGGAGATGGCACATGCCTTTTGCGATATGGATGCAACAGGGACGACGATGCCGAGTGAAGTCAGAAAGAGACTGTTCCCCGGTAGTGTCACTCAATTGCGGAATACAAATAACGAAGGAAGCCAGAGTGGCTAAACACAACACAAATATCTCTTACATTCTGTGAAAAATATGGTGGCTAGAAGGGTTGGGAGGGAAGCGGTGCCAGGGAAGGAGGTGAGGAGGTGGCATGGGCACAGGAGCTTTGTGGCGGGCGAGGGAGGCCTGTGCTGGGTTGGCAAGAAGCTGTGCTCCTGAATGATGCAGTTTTGTAAACAAATGGCAAATCAATAAAACTTGTCTTAAAAAGAGAATAAATACAAATAATAAATGTTTACAATGGGACAGGGTGGCGCTTAACAAAAACAGGTTACCTCTCAAAGCTCTGGCCAGCATGCTGTTCACCAGCTCTGTCAGGTTGAGCGCAGACAGGTCCACCGACCTTGCGGGCAGCTCTGAAAGGGAGGGGGAGACAATGTCACTGCAGGCTTTTCCAGGCCACAGAAAATGTCCTCCTATCCCACGTCAGGAGGCTGTGGAGAGGGCTGAGTAGAAGCCCTGAGCTGCTTCCAACAGCAGAGGCAGCTCCCGGCCTCAGGGGACAGCAGCGGCCTGCACAGCCACACGTCAGAGGAGATGGACGTCGGGCAGCGCCGGAGGAGCGCAGCCGTCAGTGTCTGTTGTCTCTGCACGTGGACGGAGCAGGACCGGTGGGAACTGCTCCTCTAGGAAGGGGTGCCATGGACACCGTGGGGTCTGGAGACACCTCCAGTGTAACGCAGGGTTCCAGCCTCAGCGATTCAGATCGAATAGGCCTGGGATGTGTCCTAGATGTCGGAACCAAAATCAATCCAGGGGTTGGCCCATCGCTCCTTGGGGCCGGTGGGGCGCGGTCGCACGGAGAGGACAAATCACCCCCGTCCCCAGCTGTTCCCTGAAGGTTTGGAGACGAGGTTGATGAGGTGGAAATAGTGGTGGATGCGCTTCTTTATACTATTACAGCCTTGTCTTTCTCAACTTTTACTTGATGTTCCAATGATCGTGTAGGGAAAGCAACCTGGGAGTGGAGGGGCCGGGGCTGTGCCCGTGGTGTAGTTGGGAGTGAAGGTCCAGAGGAGAGAAGTTCCTCCCAGGCCAGCCATGGGGCACTTGCAGGGTATTGAGAATCCTGCCCCCCACCCCTTTTCTTTCTCTCTTCTTTGATGCCAGACACTGGGAAGAGAAAGGGCTGCAGGAGGGGAGAGCCTCAGGGGCTCTGAGAACAAGAGGGTCAGTGGGGACACCCTGAAGAGACAGATCCTGGGTCCCTCTCCTGAGGCCCTTGTCTCTTTTGCCTGAGCTTGGCCTAGAAATACACATTTCAGTAAAACAGGTGATCCTGGCCCAGGGCATCTAATCCAGGAAACTGAGGCTCCGAGAGAGGGAGCTTGCCTACATGTGCACCGGGAGCCCTGGTAATGAGGGGGTCAGAAGCTACTTCCCAGGACTGCAGCGAGCCGCCCCCCTGAAATGTCAGGCCTCTTGCTCGCTTGGTCAAGTCCATGCTCTCTAAGAAGACGCCAGAGGAAGTTGTGAGTGTCAGAAGCATCTGTTCCTGCTTTATCCACTCAGCAAATACTCACTGAGGCCCACATATGCTCGGTGGTGGGTACCGCACCTCCACCTGCATGGAGCTTACTATGCGTGGCTCGGGAGGGAGCGAGAGCCACGTGTAATTATACGTGGTGTCACCGAAGGACGGGGTGCTGGACGTGTGCATCAGGGCGTCAGCCTGCTCTAGGGGACGGAGCACATTTGAAAGCCGAGACCCGCAAGACCAGTTGCTTTGGACGAGATGCCCCCAAATCACGCTAGTCTCTTCTATTCAAAGACGACTTTTCATGCCACCCTCCGATGGAGAAGTTGTTTTACTGGAAAGTGCCTTACCGACTCCCAGGATTGAGGGCTGGCCCTCCTACCTGTTGCACCGAGGAAAGCCACATCTTTCTCCTTCTGAACTTCGTTATTGCCAGATGCTGGAAAGAAAGTGTTAGGAATGAAGTGATGTGGAAGTGCAAACTCACACAATTTGTACCATTCCTAAAAATCATTTTGCCCAATACTCCCTTTAAAGGGTGATGAAACCGAGGCCCAGAAAAGTTAAGTGATACCCTAAATCCAACATTGGTTATGGCTCTGTTAGCCCCCCAACTATCTGGACCCCTGCTTATCTCTCTGAGCTTGATGACCCATGACCAGCTCTCCCGTATGATCTGTAACCCGGGTCTAGCCTACTATCCTGACAGATGTTTTCCAGGGCCACCGTGTTGTTTATGTGGCAGGATCTGCTTCTTCCATAGATGTCACAGGTTTATAGTAAGATGTAGGTTTCAAGTGTACAGATGTGTCTACCAACATCTTTTGTTATTAAAGTCTAAAAGTTTGTTTTTCAGGTTGAATAATATTCCATTATATGTATCTGCCCCATTTTCTTTACTTGTCTATGTGTAGATGGATATTCAGGTTGTTTCCTGCTTTTTAAGTATCCACTGGTGCCATCAGCGATTGCCAGCTTACATCAACTTCCACCAATTGTCAGACTTGGGGTTAGAAGTAGGTGGGGATTGATGGGCTCCACTTTCCTATCACATGGCTCCTCGGGGAGCAAGACAGTAACCACAGCAGGAAGTTTGAGACAGGAATTCGTGACAATCAGACTAGAGAGCCTTCTCAGGTTCTCTCCCCTACCACTTGGAGGGGTGTTCCCATGAGCTGTGACAGCTCTGAGGCAGCTGCAGTGGACCTTGTGGGAGGCACCAGTGACCTTGCCGGTCACCTGGCCATGCAGGCTAGGGACAGGCCATGGGGGACCTGGGTCTCCAGGCTTCCGGGAGGCTACAGGCTCCCACCTCGCAGGCTTCTTACCCCGTCCAGCCAGGACGGGGCTCCTGTGCAAATTCCCACCAGGCCCCTTCCTTGAACACCACTCCCGTCACCCAGGAAGGTGATTGCTGCTGCTCCTTTTATGCTCACAAACTCGTGGGTGGGTTTTGATAGCAAAGAAGTGTGAGCAGAACAAAGCTGAAGCTGGGATTTCTCAATAGGATGCTGCACAAAAGCACTTTTCAAATAAACCACTGGACAGATGTGCAACTATTGTTCTCTTTTTGAGCAGTATTGTTAATATCGAAGGTGCTTGGCCCTTTCATACTTAATGCTTAACAGCTTATCACCTTTTCCTTACCTGTGGGACAGAATTGTTGTTCCCATTTAAAGGGGAGAAAGTTGGAGGCCCTTGTCCCTCCTTACGGACAAGAAGTTGGTACAATTGCTGTATTCTGAGGAAGGGAAGTGGCTGACTAGGGAAGCATTTTAACTTTACACATTTCGGCAACTTCTACATTTGAACCATGTGAATTTATTAGCGAATTAAAAATAAAGAAAAATTTAAAAGTGTAAACTGTTATCCCAATCCACCCCCTTGAAAATCAAAACCCAAGATGATATAAAATAATCATCTTGCTTGCTTACCAAAAAGTTAGGAACTAAAACCTGGACCCTGGCTCCTAAAAAAAAAAAAAAAAAAGAGCAAAGAAAGATGGATGATGGCATTATCAAGACTTCCCATTATGAAGTCTTCTATTGCTAATAGAATGTCACAATCTTTGTGGCTTTAATAAAGTGTCCCATGAACCATAAAGCAATGAGCAGCTCTGAGGAGCTACTACTCTAACCATTAGAACACTACACTAATGGCGATAGAGATACCATCTCTATTTTATAGACAGAGTGAAAGGCTTGGAGGAGCTCAGGAGTTAGCCCAAGGCAGAGTGAACTAGGGACAAGCACCTACCCACTCACCTGCCGTAGGTAGGAAGGTCATAAGCTTCTCCTTCTTGGCTTCTTCTTTAATGGCAGACACTATAGTAAAACAAGGTTTCATCTGAGAAACTATAATCAGGACATAACATCCCAGAGAATAACAGCCAAAATACCCACTTTAGAGAGGAGAGAATTGTGATCTGGACTGGAGAAGTGACTTTCTTAAAGTCCTACTTGTAGTTTGTTCATTCAGTCATCAAATATCTAGTGATCAGCAGTAATAATAATGGGTATTGACAATGCTAGTAAGTACTTAGATTCTGATAGGTAATGTGTGTTAGATCCCAGGGATGTGATGAGAGAGATCCATCTGTATGGAATTCAGAGTCCAGTGGGGAAGGCAGAGATGAAGGCAGTGAAGACACAAGGATCAAGTAGAACAATAAAAAATGTTGAACAAGATACTATGGAGGGAACTTAGAGGATGTAGGGCAGGCAGGATGATCTAGTCGCAGGGATCTGAGAGCCTTCCCTGGAAGGTGATGTTTGGCTGAGATCTGAAGGTTGAGGAGCATCTGAGCAGGAATGAAGAGGCCGAGTGGTTGTCAGTGCAGAGGGCAGAGTATGTGTGCAGGATCTGGGCTGGGTGTGACTGTGACTTTACAGAACTGATGGAAATAAAGACTGAGGTGGAGAATGGAGGTTACAGTGGATGGCGCAATGGCCATGTCCACCATGCTGGAAACTATGACGTGAAGTCAGAAATCATTGAATAACTTTAGGGGGAAGAGACAAGAGGGAGAAACATGATGAGTTTTGACAAGGTCACTGGGGCTAGTGCATGGAGAAGGGCCATGGGCAGACAAGGGAGAAGCAGGGAGCTGATTTAGAAAATTCTCTTAGGAATCCAGCAAGGATTATTGCAATGGTGATGACAACACGTCCCATCACAAAGTCCTCTGTTGCTAACAGAGAGCCACAGTGTTGGTGGCTTGAACGGAATCGTGAGCATTCTGTCACATAAATGCAGCTCAAACAAAAAGTCCAAGGACAATCGGAAACAGGGAATTTATTGTCATTACAATCGAGCTCATTTAGGATTCTGGCCTGGAACACTGGCAGCTATGATTCTCTCAAGCACAGTGAAGACCCAGCTTATAGAACAGACACTACAGGAACTTCAACCAGACCCACCTGCATTCCAAAGGGACAGGAGACATGCCAGGCTCAGGTACAGCTTCCCCAGAGGAGCACAATGCAGGAAGCTTGGCATGTTGGTGACACCCTGGCCCACCTGGAAGCAAAGAACAAGCATTGGGAGCAAACAGACTGGGTTACTGACCGCACCCATGTGCAATGTCCTTGACAGCACCACATTGGGAGCAGCAGACACAAAATCTGTAAAAGGCTTGATACTGGTTAGGGTAGGTCAGGTTTGCTGCGGTTGCCAATCAGCTCCTCAAACTCATGGGCTTCATTCAACAACCAAAGTCAATTCTTGTTTATGGTCCATATTCACTGCAGATTGGTGGGGGCTCAGCTCCACACAGTCACGCAGGGACCCTGGTGTCAGAGGCTTAACTTCTTGTAGTTCTCCATCTGGCCCCTGCAGCCTCCTTAATCATTGGTTTATTGTGGCTGTGCTGAAGATTTATGCACATGCTCTTAAATGCTTTGGCAGAAAGTGCCAACACTCAAGTTCATTTACAGCCCACGTCAGCACACCTCACTTGGCCCTGCATGTGCATGAGTCAGGAACTGTGGGAGGGAAGAGCACACATTCGGGGAGCATTCATATGCCTGGCTTGAGTTTTCTGGCTGTTTTGAAAGGAAATGCCCTCCAAATACAGCATTAGTGATGTTTATAAGTAGGAAAATAGTCTTAGAACACGAGTGTGTATGTGCTCACACTCCCACCCGCTCTCTGCAGTGTCAGCGCCCGCTGTCCTCCTGGGCATTTCCTGTGCAGAATCAGCACAAGAGTTATAGCTGCAAAGCTGAAGCTAATAAGAATAATGGCAAAAGCTTGTTGAGTGCATTCTGTGTGCCAGACACCACACAGAATGCTGTCTGACACACATTACTCTTAACTACAGCATCTCATGTGTAGGGATTAATGTGATGCTCATTTAACACTCAGCTACACAGACATTTGCCACTGGGAGAGAATGGGGTAGATTTGGAAGGTGGGTTAGTGAGGTGGATTGGAGTAAAGTCCAGAGAAAGCACCCTGGGGCTGGGGACAAAATGCCTCAGGAATTGAGCATCTTATTGCAAATTATATTTTAAGGAGTCCTGTGGTCAGCTTGGGATGGAATCACCTTTGGAATTGTCCTGAGAAATCCTAGTAAACATTTAATTTGCTTTTAATTATTGATAGATCGTGAATGGTGATTCCTCTGGATGGCGCCTTGAACAGAGACAAGCCTTGCAGGGGAGCAAGAGTTGGGCTTTCTTGGAGTCCTGCATGCTCACAAATCTGCTTAGCGTCTGAATCTGTTTTCCTCATCTGCAAAATGGGGATAAGAGAATGCAGCTTTACTGTGTCCTTGTGCAAATTTAAGAAAATGAGTCCAAAGCACTTAACCAAGTGTTTGGCACACAGTAGGTGCTCAGACCCACCCATCTTTGTATGCAGATTGGTGACACCGGGGCAGATAAGATATACCCCCCCCAAAGCTATTCAGTAACTGGCAGGAAATGGACACATGGCCAAGGAGTCACACTCACGCCCACTGCACTGCATTCTGCAGAGAGACTTACCTATTGAGAGAGAGGGAGGGAGAACTAGCATGTGCACATGTGTCTGGTGGTGGGGGATAGTGGGCAACAAGAAAAATGACATGAGAGTCTTTCCTCTGGCCCTTTAGCTCCTGTGACATCCCCTTCTGAGCCCCATGTGTAAAATGAGCAGAGCCACAGCCACTTTGCAGCTATTTTGTGAAGATTGAATGAATTCTTATAACAAGGCGCCTGAGCAGCCTTTGGAAGATGGTAGATACTCAGGACTCCTGATTGCTTTCATGCTCTCCTACCTTTTTCTCTTTCCACCTTCCTCTTCCTCCTCCACACCTTTCCCAGGGGCCCGCAGCAAATCAGAAGCTTATGGAGGGAACATCTCTAAACGTATTGAAAATAACTCTATGTCCATTTAAGAGCGACACACGCCCCTCTTTTTTTAACTCCTATTTCAGTGTGTCAACCACTCACTCTCTTCCATTATTAAGAGCCCATGTGCTAGCATTTATTACTGTAGAACTACAATTTCTGTTGATTTTTATTCCTGGACAAAAGTGCATGTTACCTTCTGTTTAGTTTAGTTTTTTTTTTTTTTTTTTTTAAATTGTCATTAGCCGGATCAGCTACGTGTGTGAAGAAGGGCTACCAGATTTGGCAAAAACAAAAAGCCAAAAACCAGGACACCCAGTTAACATTTGGATTTGAGATAAACAGTGCATACTATCTTAGTGTATCTCATGCAATATTTGGGCTACCCTAGCTTGGAGAGTGGGAGAGTTTTATTAAAGAAACTTGCTTTCCCCGCGGGGGTGCTGAGGAGCTGGCCCTGAGGAGTGTTCTCTCTAAACTCTCTGCTGAATGGAACAGAAGCTGCAGACTCAGCCCAGGAGCTAACCGTGGCCCTCGCCCCTAGCCTCCTGATCACTCGTGCCCCTGTGATTGCATTTCCACAAGGCCCATCTTCTTTTTCACTGTCCGTCTTATCCAGCCCCAGAGAGGACAAATGAGGAGCTGGAGGGAGGAGGAGGCAGCGTGGAGGGGTTGGCGGGGTTGGCGGGGCTGGGAGGCGCTCTGTGCAGCCCACAGCTGACACACGCAGACCCAACTGACTTTAGCCCTCAGCAGCAGCGAGAAGGTGAGAGCTCGCTAGTCTCCCAGGGTCACTGTGGAGTCCAGGGCAGAAGGAGAAGCTGGGCTTAAGGTGAGATGGGCTTGATGTGGCTCTCGATTGACTGGGGCCCTGACTTGTGCATTTTGAGTCAAGTTACACACCCTCCACTCACTCAAGAGGTTCTTGGAGATCATGTGTCACTGTGACCACCGGGCCCGGAACCCGATTACCTGGGTCTGCTCTTGACTCAGTCATTTGCTAGCGGTGCAAGGGACTAAGGCTTCGAGCCTCAGTGTCCTCACCCAAGGCCGACATGAGGACTAAAGCGTGTCATTATTATAAAACACAGGGACAGTCCCCAGTGCTGAGCAGGCACCGTGTGAATGTATAAAGGTTTAACAAATAAACAAGAGCGATGGAACCCAAACGCTGGAGATACCACCACAGGAAACAAGATAGACAACACCCCCAAACTCACATTATTACAGTCCTCGGAGCTGTAACTTGCAAAGATCAGATGTCGGAAAACCTACCCGAAAACTAAGTCTTCATCCTTTCACTGCCTTCGCCATGACTATCATTGGATAATTATTTTTCAATGATTATTTCTCAGTGAGACCAGAAAAGCAAGCCGTGTGATGACGTGACAGCAATACTAATGTACTCAAGGGGATGAGGGTGAGAGGCCCCCAAATACGCTACATTAGCATACGGACGATTTTGAGTCAAAGGTCGTTTGCAGTCTCTCCGCATCTCATCTGATTAAGAACATTAAGAGCCAGAACTGCTGAGAAATGAGGGCTGCCCTAAGATTCCTCCCTGGGGAAGTTTTGTGGCCGTAAAGAAGACAGGGATTCAGCACCAAGATGGCCTTGCACAAACCAGCCTTCCTGAGAGCACCCTGTCTCCCTAGAGCGTCTCCGTAGGCTCATCTCCCACAACTTAGCACCCTAGAGGCTCAACCCCCTTTTTATTGTTCCTTATCATTTCCCCACCAAGTTTCCATCCTTCTGTTAAAATGACATTTAAGCTCAGGGTCTGGCACCTCTTTTCCGCGCTGCACACATGTATATGAAGTACATCTTTTTCATTCTGTTAATCTGTCTTTTGTCGGTTCAGTTACTGAGCTCCAGCCACTGAGCCTCCGAGGACAGGAAAGCAGGGGCTTCTCCCTTTCCTGCGGGGTGACTCACTGAGCCTCCACTGTGGGTCCACCCCTGTTATTTTACCCTTTGAAGCACCTAGGGAGGGAACTGACTTTCCCATTATACAGGATGGGAACTGGGCTCAGAGGTGGGGGGTCCTTGCAGGCTCACATGGTTTCTAACTGGGGCAACTGGGATTCGAACTGTGGTCTGTGAGATAGGAAAGTCAGTGTCCTTCCCCACTGAGCTCTGCTGCCCCCCTGGCCCTTCACAGCACCATCCTGGGGGGCACAAGGGCTGGATATTGAACCAAACAACTATTTCAAAGCATTTCCATGGGCAGGAGGGGTTGGAAGTCCAGCCACACTGCTGCGAGAGGGCTGAGAAGTGCCGTCATGACCAATGAGGGGAGAGTCTGGTGAAATGAATTCCCAGTATGTCCTTGTCTTATCGACAACAGCCCTGGAGCTGGGACTCTGAGTGGTAAGAACAAAGTTGCTGAGCCTTAATGAACCACCATTGTGCTTCCATTTTCAAAGAATCACCAGTTGACCAGGGGTGGTCTAAGCTGCCGCACAAGCCTGGCTTCCTCAGGTAGAGTCAGCACAGGGCTCAGTGGGGAGGAGACTCATCCTGCAGCCCCGTGCCGTGTGGGCCATGGTGACAGTGGCCTGTTTTCAATACTTAAGATGGTCTTTTCCTCACACAACCTTCCATATGCCAGACCCCTCTTCCTGGGGAGCACCCAAAGGCTTAGGGGTACAAACATCTTACCTGTGGTCCTTTGATGGCACCCCTGGACTTTACATGTGGGGCTCCAGGACCAGGGAACCAGTGGTGAAATGTGCAACACCCTCTTACCAAAAATTGGTAATGAAGAAACAAGAAGTGAAGGATCTAATATTTATTGACCATCTGATGTGCCAGGCATTTGACGTCAAGTCACCCACTGGTGCTCAAAGCAGCCCTACTTCATTATTCTTATCCTTATTTTTTTCAACTGGCGGGAAGCAAGGTTGAGACAAATAACAGACCCGAAAGAACGTAGCCAGGATCGGAGCCTCCGCCCCACAGCCCCCACACCCACAAGGGCTTAACTGCTGACTGAGAAAGGGTCATCTTCTAGCTGCTGCCTTGTGGGCAGCCATGTTCTAAGGCTGTTTTCAAACTCATTCCAATTCTTTGGGTTGAAGACCCCGTTTCCTTTACTGCAGATCTTAGCACAAGATGCGCTTCCAGCTAAAGGGGCTTGTAGATCCCCACTGATATCTTCACAGG